GGTCCTTTAACACCCTCCAGCTAAGCATTTAAGCCTCTAAGGACGGGGTTTAAAACGGGGGTGGCTTACGGGAAGTCAGGGATATCCGTGCTTGAGTTATGTTTCGCATCATGTCCCTCTGTCCAATCTCGATCACACATACAAGGATCAGGTCCCCTTCGATTAACTTTGTTTTTTCAACACTGTAGCACTCGGATCGAAGGATGGCATGATTCTGTCGGGAAACACCGGCAGTCCGACATGTCCGACACGCATCATCCTGGTTTATACAACCGATGTGCGTTTTTGAAATTTCTTGGCTGGGGGTGTCTCTTCAGCTGATCAGAACAATCAGCTAAGGTACAATGTGATAATACCTGATATATAGCTTGCCACTTTGTATAATCTCGCTCAGAGATTACTGAGAGTATCCTGGAATAACACACCCCTTCTTCTGTGCGTGTCTCGCATTCAACCCATCCCAATAATCTTTTCAGAATATTCCCTGTTTTGTTTACTATTATTTTTTGCCGCCGTGAATATCGCCACTTGTCCGACGACGTTCAATGTCGTCCCCATCTCCAAACGTTAACTCTGCATCTTCATCTCCCAACGTTGATTCCTCATCACAATCCCAACAAGACTCGACCCAAAGTACACTCCAGCAACTCTTCGGCGGCTTGTGCAAGCAGAAGCTCTTAGAAGAAGTTGATAAGCTCAAGGAAGCTGTCCAGAAAGACGACCCGCAGAAAGTCATCATGTCTTTACCCATGCTTCTAGCTTTGACTGTCTGCCCAGCTATGCTGGGTACGCAAGAAGCTATCAGACAGTCTCAGGCAAAGACGAAGCGCGAAGAACATCGTGGCCGACGCTGCAACTTAGTTGTCTCTTGTGTCAAGCCGAGTATCAGATCTCGAGATATCAACAACAAACTTGTCGTCTTGAAAGATTCAAAGGTCAGTCCTTGTGCTTTTAAAGCTATGCAGTATGATAGCTAACATCAGAACAGCTTTATATCGCCAATGAACACCCACTATACAACCATGATCCTAAAAACAATGTCAGCAAAGGCTACGCCTTTTCAGGATACTTCCTCCCCTTCCCAGACACAGAGTACGAGGGTCTCGTCACTACTATCAGTGATGACCCTCCTTTCTTGAACTGGATCTACATTGACAAGAAGACATATGAAGTCAAGTACGGTGTTCGTGCCGATACAGAGGGTCATATCACTGGTCCATTTGACTGCACCAAGCAAGACCGTCGCATGACCTGTGAGGGCTGGGAGGGCTTCTGCGCTGTCGAAGAACTCCCCGGAATCTGGGCTCTGTACTACGACCGCGACGATGATGGCCTCAAGTCAAAGGTCGCCATGGGAACTCGCGTGCTAGAAGTAGAGCTCACCAGGCGAGAGAAGAAGGAGCCCAAGCCTGCAGGAGAACCTGAACAGCCCATGACCATGGATGAGAAGATGAAGCAGCACAAAGAGCAAACCGCCAAAGACGAGGCCGACCGTGCTGCATTTGTCGCAACTGGCCGTCATCCAGGTGCTGAGCCACCTTCCCCAGCTTATAAGCCTGAGCAGAAGAAGAACGGGCTCCTGGATCCAGACTCCAAGGAAGCTAAGCGCCAGCGCATCGCCGATGCCCTGAGCCGCCTAAATATTGATAGCCCAACCAGGAGTGAAGGAGGGTCAGATGGAAGTATTTTGACGAGTCTGAGCCAGGACTTCTCTATCTTCTCAATGGCCAAGAAGTTGACTGGGGACGAGGGTGGTACAGTGGCTAGTTCAGTTTGGGAGCCAGAGAAAGAGAAGGATAAGAATCACAAGAAAAACGATTCTACGAGTGAGGCGGGATCGTATAGGAAGCCTACTGTTGAAGATGCTACATCATGATAGAATATTTTGTTCGGTAGGGTATTGCTTTCACATTCGTTTGGTCACTGGCGTTTGGGATCAATGATATTACGGAGAAAGAAACTATCATGTACACTGGATCTACTCGAGGATTTACGGTTATTCTTATGGCCAACATTGGGGCATGTACTGTAATGATAGTGTCAAATTGATTTGAGTTATCTGAGAACCTTATCCACGTTTCGAGTGCCTAATTAACCAGCAAGCGATGCCTCCAACCACGAAACTTATTCTCAATTGATTTCATAGCCTAATTGATATCCTTGAAAAGTTAATTGATGATAATTTCTACAATAAGACGTCACTGATGAGCTGTCTAGCATAAGGACCATGCATCCGGTTTCTATCCGGTCGCCCTCAGAACCGCCACAACCGCCCCGGGAACAAGGACCAGATTTAATGCATAATTCTGCAAGGACAAGTATTCGTTGCCATGCGCCATTGAGAAAAAATCCGGGGGCGCATGCATGCTGCAGGAGGAGTTGCAGCATCAGTTTCGCAAGCCTCACTCTGTCAGATCATGTGTATCACGGAGAAGTTTAGAAATGCTCTACCGAGCCGAAGGATTCGATGAAGATTTGAAAACATATGGATTTCTCTAATTGTTTGAAAATTGGGAAAACATATGATGATATACTAGAATCTTTCGATTTCCTGTGACTGTGTTTCAGATTAAACCTCACGCGACAAAACATGTCTCGCAGATCGGTAACGAAGTGTTTCTTCCACGACTCCTTAGAATCCCGCTACGACCTTAAAAATCTGACAACGGAGCGTAGATCATGTAACCCTCCTACTTCTGGAACAAGGCGTCACCATTGGATGTTGAGATTTCTTCCCCAGACCGTGAAGCAGGGGTGAAGCAAGTACAGGGACTAGGATCTGGGGAGATCTATCGGAATAGATTCGGAAATGATGTGCTGCTGCGCGCATATCCGGTGCATGTTTGCGCTGGCAGGGTTTGATTCCAGAATAAATTTCGGACGGACGGTTATGCGTGACATCTGAAAGTGAGACATTTGTCCTTGAACCCGATATATTCCGCCATGAGAGTGCATGTTGAGAGAACGGGTCTGACTGATATCTCAGCGCTCAACATCAAAAAGAAAAGAAAGAAGATGTTTCCCTGTCTACGAGTGGATACTGTCTTACTCGTGATCTATTTGAAGTTACAGCTTCATCCACTCTCTCAGCCCCAGCTGAACCTTGTCGGCGTTAATCTCCTACCCGCCTCGATTTGTCAACTTGCACTCGATCAGATGTCGCCCATCTCATCCCGCACCCGCAGAGCCGCTCTGACATGCATATTAATATCCCGCCTCGGAGCCGGAGACAGGTCCTTTTGACATGCAGCAGCGGAGATGAGCCGGGCCTTTGTCCAAGACATGGGCAATTTTCCCACTTCTCCCTCCACTTGCCGGTCCTTCATTGGAAAATTCGTGGAGTAGATGCGTGTTTTCTGCATCCATGGCCATCATAAGTCCTTGTTGTTTCGATATTCAGCTGCTGGATACTTGGATCGTGATACTAGTTCAAGGGTTGGTTCGCTGAAATCAACAAAAGCAAATATGAAGTAGCATTTCGTATTCAGCTTCGGCATATCCACACTTCGTTGGCATTAAACTCCACATGCCAACCCTGTCTGCATATTGGATCAATACCAACCTCTTTTATTAATGCCGCCTGGAAAGTCTACCTCGGTTATCGGTGCGCCATTCATCTTTGGCTGTTGCAGGATGAGAGCTACAAGTCTAAGAGTCCAACTGCTCACACTTTGAGGTTACTTTATATGCTCCTTTTCTCGTCAGAAACCATTACAGTCCTCTCTAGAACCTCCTTGAACCACATCATGGTTTGAATATATTCGCCGTGGAGGGACTCCGTGTCTATTATCGGACGTCAACTCCCTAGACCTTTTATAACGCCAATGTCTCTCTAATGAGCATTAGCTCTGAGGCGAATCTGACTATAACCTGTGTGACTACAAATCATTATCCATGAATTTTGCATACATCGTTTAATTACAGAATGAACAATGTCACCAGCTTGTCGTAGGCCAAAACATCCTTTTGAGGCAAGAGGCTCAAATATGCAGAACTAGAATGATACAGCCAGCGTAAATGTAAGAGACGGGGTCGGGTATGGTTGAGACGTTGATATGAAGTTGGTTTTATGACCAGACTGAGAATACCTCCCGTGTCGTACTAAGGCTCATCGATACAGACATGCAGAAGCACCTAAAACAGGCGAGAATATATAGAATACGTCTTCAAATGCAGCCGCTATTGAGGATATGACAAAGGGGCCAAGGTTAAACTTTCGGCCACGAGTCTCGACTCAGGGAACACCTCTAGCTTACAGTTTAGCCATTGAAGATTGAACTTAGGATGAACTACAGACCTGAAGTTGAAGTTGTGTAAACAGAGTTGGATAATAGAGACACATGCTCTAAGCATATGTCATCTGATGTCGTAATCGGGAATAATTCATGGTAAACTTTCAATGTGAGCTTACAAACACGACAACTGAGGTGTTGTGTATTCAAAAGCCATTCAAGAAAAGCCCAAAAATTGAAAAGGCAAGCATTTGGCTTAAACATGAGGGTACTAGATGAGTTTTATGTCTAAGAATGTATAAAGATCCGGCCGAAGACTGCTTGATATCACTCGAGTTTGTGAATTGCAACTTTGGGTGGCTTTCTTGATATGAATGAGGCAGCTGTGTCGTCGAACGACCCAGAGATTCTTCACGAGATATGAAATTACGAGAAAACATCTAGGAGTCTGGCCTCTTCCACAGATTCTCCTAGATCAGAAGAGGATCGCATAAGATAGTCATCGGCTGAGAATGAGTTCTTGACACGAGATATCTCACTGAGATACCATAAGCTTCAACTACCAATCAGTCAATCATCGTCTGGGCGAGGCTTGTTGAAATTGGTCATCACGAGGCAACCCGTCATCGCTCTAAAGTGATTCCCGGCTACTGAAACGATCGTTGTTAAATCAATGAAATGAAACAGTGCTCAAGCACTATTGATTCGGCAATGGCACCAGAGCTTGTGGTGCAGGGTATGTCAAATGTTTTCGATAGAGACAAGGGCTACAATAATAACATAGAGTAGCTATATTGACGGTGATAAGGAGATAAGTGTTAATTCTAAACCTTAAGTGCACTCTTAAAAACATGTAGTAGTAAAATCATTATATGACGAGGCATAGAACTGTTTCCTGTTTGTTCACCTCAATCCTTATCAGCATCAATGATGATGATGATGATGGTGATGCATCTCCCCTGTTGTAAAACACCATGGTGACGCGAGTGTGGAGTTGTCGCGTGCAAGATGACGGAGGCTTACGTGGCTGTGCGGCTACGTACAGTCTGGCTAGAACTTCGATGGGCCTGAAGATCAGACCTTGATTAGCAGCACTAGCTGATCCTTCGATGGTTTCAGAGCTAACATGGCAAATCTGAGGCTATCTCAAGGCTAGTCAACGTCCGGGCGTTCAACGGTCACTAGCTTCTGGAAAAAAGATGATCAAAATGGTAATAAGTATATAAAATAGACAGACAATGTCTTAGACGTGTCAAAGAGTACTGTTGAACATATATGTGTAAAAATCCAAGGAAGTGCAAATGGAGCCCCAACGCCACCAACCCAAGTCATATGTCGTTCATTGTTTTCCCACATGAACAACAACCTAAAGGTCATAGCCGTTATTTAGTTCCTGAGAATGTTAGCGATGATCATGGCGATAATTGTTGTTCAACTTACAGCAAGCAAAGAGTAAGATCACCATGGATTCTCGCCTTAAGCTGAATCTCAATCTCAAGGTTCAATTCAAGATGCAGGGAGAGGGCATCACTCTTTCCACCACCACCCTGTTGCTGCTGCTGTTGCATCTGTTGCTGTTGTTGCTGCTGCATTTGTTGTTGCTGCAACTGCTGCTGCTGAGCGTTGTAGTTGCTTTGGGCCATCTGGCTGTTGTCCTGCTCGTCATCGTAGTCTTCGAATCGGGCGCGTCGCTTGCGTCGCTCGGACTTTTGCTTCTTGGTCTTTGTCTTTCGCACGGGCTTCTCCTGCTCGAGCTGCTCCTCCTCGAGATCGCTTCTCTGCTCAGCCTGGTGGTGTTAGTTAGTGATTGAGCTACCAGTAAGTATACCTGGGTACATACGGATGATGACGACATATTGCGGCCCGGGAATAAGATCAAAGTGTAAATGGGGGGAGGGAAGAAAGTGTTGGAATGAAGATGTAGAGAGAAGGATACAGAAAAACTCCACCAGAAGATAGAATATTTTTAAATGTCTAGAACCAAAGCCGATTTCCTGATTTCTCCTTTCTCCGCAAATGCAAACAGGATCCATCATCGAGATTGGAAAGAGGCTGACGTGCACATCGTCATAATAGCGACGCTGCCATGATTTACCGCTAGAATCAAGTTCTTGACCTCAGAACTTACAGGGGGTGCGACTTCAAGGGTGCTGTGACGTAATGATGTGGCTGGTACGTAGGGTAATACGTGAAACAAGACCTCGCTTTCAGATGCCATAACGTAGCTTTCCTTGGCATATGAAATAAATGCATGTTCCTCCCTTGTAATAATTGGACCTGTTAACAATTGTATTGTTCTCTTGGTCGTTTTTGGTGTAGGTCACGTGGTGAGCTCGTATATCCAGATCCCCTGGAGGTTAGGTAGGCCAAGTCAAGACTTCATACTGCAACCGAGGTTTAAGCAAGAGCTTCTGAAAACGCAAGCACCAATCACATACAAAAGTCTTCCAAAACTTGTATAACATGTTAAGTCCAGCGCAAATGCTCTATGGGTAATGGTCAACTGCTTTGTCTAATGAGCTTCAGTTACCAAGTATGAAGAAAAGGTATCAATATCACGACGAGCTCAAGTTGTAGGTCCCCGAGTCCAGATTCAGCTACTTGGTTGGGATCTCTGTTGGCTCAGTTTAGAGAATATCTCAATAGAGTGTTTGCTCAAAGCGATGTGCCTTACAAAAAGAATCGACGCATAACCAATGTCTTGCCATGATTATTACTGGAAACCTCCAACCATCACTAAGGAGAAGAATATTGAACTGTCAAGTCTCTTACTCTCAGTGCAAAAAAAAAAAAAAAAAAACTCGCCAATACAGATGTTTGATCCCTGAAATTACATGATAAGCATGTTGATCTGTATCAGTATGAGAAGAGCTACTCGACTGTCTTGCCTTGAAGGTATACCTTACAGTTACCAGCATGTTTGGGAGCCAACGAAGTTCGCCAACATGTCATCGCAGTATGATTATCGAAGAACTTTGTCAAAACTCAGCTCCATCAATTTCAAAGAATACTCATAAGCATTTATGCGAGTGTGCTGTTGATTCTGAAACCAACACGCCAAGATGCGGGGGTCTGACCGTTGAATTCTGTATAGATACTGGATCGGGTAATAATCCGAGAGTCGCTTAATTGATTGTGCCATTGTTGGTGCTACTCTGAGTTGCTTTGCAGCTCACCTTCCTTTCACTGCAAAGTTTGTTCTTATAACCTTGCTACGAGAGATAAACAATCCTGGGGCATCTGACTCTCTGACTCACGTTGTAATGCATGGCGGCGGGCTTATTGGATGAACTACAATTTTTTTGGGGCAAGTTTGACTCACCTTGTTGAGATCGTCGTTGTATGAGACGTCTCACTGCATTGATCTAATGAAATTTCAGTAGTATCTTAGAGGGAGACGTAAAAACAACGCCTTATAAAAGGGAACAGGAGCCTTTTCTAGCTCAATTGCTGTGACAGACTCACAAAGATTCCTATCAGAACCCCAACTCGCTTCACAAGACAGACTCCATCAGCTTACCATACTTGAACTCAACATGACTCGAACTACTCTGCTTGACCGAGATTGCGTTGTCACCGATCGAGGAGGCATTATCGAAAACACGCACGGTGTACACATCGCCGTAACGGATACAGAGGGTAACATCCTCTTCTCAGCTGGGAACCCCTCTCGTGTTACCCATTCGCGATCCGCAGCCAAGCCTGCCCAAGCCGTAGCTGTGATCGAGACTGGTGCAGTTGATAAATTTGGATTCGATGAGACTGACCTTGCTCTCATGTGTGCCTCGCACTCAAGTGAAGATTTTCACATCGCGCGCGCCAAGAACATGCTGAGCAGGATTAAAGCAGGGGAAGATGATCTTCGATGTGGCGGTCATCCTGCAGTTTCTGAAGAGGTGAACCGTGAGTGGATAAAGACTGGGTTTGAGCCAACGGGAATCTGCAATAATTGCTCCGGGAAGCATGTTGCCATGATGGCCGGTGCTGAAGCGTTGGGAGCTGATGTCAAAGACTATCATCTGCCGGACCATCCTATGCAACTTGAAGTCAAAAGAGTCGTCGACGACCTGGCACATGATCCGAAGCAAGTGGAATGGGGTGTTGATGGATGCAATCTTCCAGCACCAGCATATCCTCTGTTCTATCTCGCACAAAAATATGCAACCTTCGCCGATGCCGCGGACGCTGTCGAGGCATCGTCACCGACGAGTCAAAGGACCCAAAATTTCGCACGTATATTCAACGCCATGACGAAGCATCCAGAGCAAGTTGGCGGAACAGGACGTTTCTGTACAGTGCTCATGCAGAGCTATCAAGGGCAACTGTTTGGCAAAGTTGGTGCTGATGCGTCTTATGGAATAGGCGTTCGAGAGTCTGAAGATACTCGGCGCCTTGGGGCGAAAGGGGGACTTGGAATAGCCGCAAAGATCGAGGACGGTAATCTTGAGATCCTCTATGCGGTTGTTCCAGAGATTCTCGAACAGCTAGGAATCGGTACCCCGGAGCAAAGAGGGAGACTAGATGGTTTTCATCATCTTCAGCGGAGGAATACCATGAATGAAGTAACAGGGCGTGTGAGGTTCAATTTCAAAGTACGACCATTAGGGGATAGAGTGGACTAGAGCTCTGGGTATCTCGGCAGGCAATGAAGATGTTGTGTTGGGAGGAATTGATATTGAACAAGTCACAAGGTGAATGCTGATTGGTGGTAAAAGAATATCCCGGGACTAAATTTCAAGTGCAAGGGTCATGTTAGTCGACCAGCGTACACTGGTCTACTGCTTCAAGTATGATATTTGCCTAAAGGCGATAGTAGCATTAGTGCCACGGAATAAGAGCATTTGTAACAAGCGTGTTCTTACCAGATATTTCTAGAGTTTGACCACTTTGTATCTCTTTGCCTGCTGGCGCCCCTACCAAGTCTGTCTATCATGCACAGAAGCTTCGCTAGTTGCAAAAGCTCAAACCCCTTCAGAATTCCCGATCCGAATGGCTTTAGATCGAAACAATAATTCTCTACACAAGGATCTGAGTCTCCTTCCCATCGGGGTTGCTCCGCACCCCACAACTCAATCACCCCAGATCGACATCCTTTCCTGGGGCTAGCAACGCGGGGAATAGTCAAACTAATCTCATACCCCGTCAGAGCTACGACACTGCGTAGAATAGATAACAGTTTCCTAGATTATCCTTGGTGGAAACACTGTGGCCGTGGCAATAAAACATGGCCCCTAGTTTGAGTGGTAGTCCGAGGTCTGAGAACAATATGCGTGACTGACTTATAAGACGTCTGATGCTCAAGTCTTGGTATTAGGGAAGTCAAGAGAGGTTTTAGTGTCGTGACTACCCGTTAGCCAAAGTGGCGCACCTCAATATGATGTCGATGTCTTTCTTCCTCTTGACTGCGCTGGCTTGGACGACAAGTGCAGCTTCTCCTAAGGCCACAACATTAAACGGAACATACGTTGGCAAGAACCTACCCGGCTGGGATCAAGATGCCTTCCTAGGCATTCCTTACGCTCAGCCCCCTGTTGGGAATCTCCGGTTCAAGTGGCCTCAAAGCCTGGACAGTTCCTTCAAAGAGGAACGCACAGCCACTGAGTATGGAGACAGTTGTATGCAGTACACTCAGAACTGGACCATGTCCGAGGACTGCCTTTCTTTGAATGTTATTCGACCAGCCGGAAAGCCAAAGAAACTCCTACCAGTTCTGTACGTCCCCCAAACAACAAACACTTCCTCAAAACTGATAGCAAGAACACAGAGTTTGGATTTACGGCGGTGGTCTATACGCCGGCAGCTCTGCCGACCCACAATACAACCTCAGTGGGATTGTCAAAGTCAGTCAAGACATCAAAGAGCCTATCCTAGCAGTGAGCTTTAACTACAGATTGGGTACGTCAGGGTTCCGCTTGAAGCACCGCTACTAAGTTTCTGACCTCCAGGGATGTGGGGGTTTCTCCAGAATTTCAGCCTTCTGAAGGAAGGTAACGCCAATGCTGGCCTCCTAGACCAACGACTTGCACTGCGCTGGATCCAAGAGAACATTGAAGCTTTTGGAGGTGACCCAGAACGAGTTGTTGTGTGGGGTGAGAGCGCTGGAGCTCAGAGCATCGCGTATCAGATGTTTAGTTACGATGGTCGAGATGACGGGCTGTATCGGGGAGCTATCCTTGAATCAGGAGGCATTACAGGGGCACAGGTATGAACTTCAACACCGCTGTTTTTGAGTTTGCCGATTGACTTTGACTAGATTCATGATCTCAGTTACTACAATGTCGCCTTTGAAAATCTCACAAGGACTGTCGGGTGCTGGGACAAAAAGGATCAGCTTGCGTGTCTCCGAGAGTTGGATGAAAAGTCGCTATATGCTGCGCGTCCTTCATTGACGTTCAACCCTCTGATTGACGGTACTTTCTTGACCGGTTACCCCAGCCAGCTCATCCGCGAGAAGAACTATCACACCGTGCCTCTTATAATTGGTGCAAACACTGACGAAGGCTTCTGTATCGGAAAAGTCAGCACGGATCAAGATCTCTTCTACGAGGCTTTTCGGTGGCGGAACTACGCTCTGAGCGCCCCAACGATCCGAAAGCTCATGGAACTTTATCCTGACGATCCATGCCATCAACCTCCCTACGCCATCACGAATTGCTCAAGACAAGATGGAAACTACCAAGGACGACGTGCCTGTGCTATTGGCGCCGACATAACCATGATCTCAGGACGCAGGAAACTCGCAGAACTATATGCCCAGTCTGAGGATGTGTACTCCTACCGGTTCGATCAAAGACCATACCTGAGATCTGAATGGGATGGAGTGAAGCATTTTGATAATGTTGCATTTAGCTTCCAGAATATATCTGGATTGCTAGGTCCAAGTCCGCAATACGATAGTCACGCTGTGCTGGCAAACACCATTGGACAGGCTTATGTAAGGTTCGTCAACAGTCTGGATCCTAACTCCAAGAAGGGGAAGCTTCCAAAATGGCCAAAGTACAGCAAGTCAAAGCCCAAAAATATGGTGTTCAATGCTACGAAGAACTGGGTTGAGGATGATACCTGGCGAAAACAGGGTATTGATTATATCAACTCCTATGAAGTGGCACGAGAACTATACGGTTAGAGATGGGGAGACTTGCCAAAAGATACCAGAACAGGAAATATATCATCAAGTTGGAGGCTGCTCTAATGACTTCGCTTAGCCTAACTAGGGGCTGGCACGAAACTCAAGAATTCAAACTCAAGTGGTGGTTCTACGGAACACATAGCCAAGTTCATGATAATTTAGGATAGATTTTTCCAGGCTCGTCATTTTTTCATTTCCGCCCCCTGGACGGTCTTAGGTCCTCGAACGCTCCAAGGTCCTGGTTTCATCTGATGTCCAACGGTACTCGTATAGATCGGCGACGCCGAGGCTCGCTTCTAACAATGCGAGTATTACCCTTGCATATTCCTCCATCTGAACTTGCCTTGTAAGGCAATGCTAGCCCGGAAGACTCCAGCTACCGACGCTATAAGAGTTAACCTTGTGTCACAACTCGAAGTAGTTAGGATTTTCGGAGGAGATTCTGAGAATGGTAGTATCGATAGACCGTGCAAACCTTGTATAGTGCACGGAATAAATATAGTCAAGTGTATCCTGGACTTTCTCAAACTCGCTTGCTGGGTATTTGTAGCACGATTAAACTCTATTTTGAACTCTTCAAGACGCTCTGATCCAAGACTGTACGAGCCACTTCACTTGGCACTCTTAAACTTTCTAATACTTAGCATGTCAACATAGTAGAGATACCGTAATAGCACTAAGGGCTTTAAACATCTCCATGAATACCGTGCTTCTTGCTGTGGGGAAATAAGCTTCACGGAATGCCAAGACCCATACCGAAGAACAAGGGGTCAAACCCTTGTTTGAAATACGAGTGGATATTCCAGCAGGAAACAAGGAGACGATATAACACCTGGATCATACCCTTTTCAAGCTTGCTCTCCTCAACGGCGACTACCTTTACTATGACCGTAAATTCCGGCCAATATGACTGGCAAAGTCGATAAACTCATCTCATCCGTGACACTGGCTGGAAGCCTTTTATCTTGTGTTGCCACTACATGTGTGCTTATTTCGTTCGTCATATATCGCCGGCATCTCCGAAACTTTCGACATGTCCTCGTGTTGAATCTTATGGTTGCAGGTGCGCATGTCTTCCGCTACTGTTGACTAGAAATCTAATATCTCTTTCTTAGAGTTTATCAACACTCTCAACAACTCAATATCAGGCAGCATATTCCTCAAGACTGGACAGCTCCAAGCTGGAATACCATGCGTCGTCAACGGGTTTATCGGCCAGTTGTCAGTTTCAGCAGCTGACTTTTCAGTCCTGGCTATTTCGGTTACAACCCTGCTCACTGTGAAGAGGATGTTGTACATACCGACAACTTCAAGAACGAAGAAAGCATTGATTTGTGCGGCAGTATGGACAATGCCTCTCATCACAAGTATCATACCGACTGCTGCGGGTGAGATGAAGCCAGTGGGCGGGAACTGGTGCTGGATATCAGCAACACGACCAGATTTACGCTACGGTATGACGCATGGTTGGCGCTTCTTCGTGATTTTCACTACTATTATTATCTACATCTACATCTGGATTTACTTAAGAAGACATCTGGGCTCAAAGCCAAAGCAACCTCGGCAGCCTCTAACCTTCTCGACGCACAATACCAATACACTCTTTTCCAAAGGCTCCAAGGGCGCGGGATTCCAAGTTATGCAAGAGGACGAAGTAGAGCTGGACACTTTCAAGACGAGATACGGGAATACTGATACTCCCATTTCGCCCATATTCGAGCGAGGGAACAAGATAGACGAGATCGAGGATATGGAAAGAAAAGGTGAGAGCGAGGCGAGCAATAGCAGAGCAAGGGGAGAATCTGTCCGTCATCGGCCAACATCATCAAAAAGAGGAGCAGAGATGGCCTATACAGGACTTGCTAACACTGAACCAACCGAAGCATTACCGATTCCGCAGCACCAGATCAACATATTACAAACCAACGCCAGCGAATTCCCTCAGCGCCGGGCCACCCACGATGTTGAAGTCGAAATCAAGCGGATGATGTTACTGAATGGGTATCCGGTTATGTATGTCCTGCTCTGGATTCCGGGACTTACGAATCGACTCCTGGAAGCGATTCAGACGCCGGTATCAGATACGACGATTGCTGCTCTCAATACCTCAACGCAGTTCATCGGCTTTGCGAATGCGGTTACTTATGGGTTTAATCACCATCTAAGGGATAGGCTGGATGCGCTTTATTGGACGCCTATGATTATGAGAATGAAGAAGCGGTTTAGACAATAATGTTATGTACGTATTTTTATGACCACAAAGATTATTAAGTAGAAGACCTTTTGTTGGAGTTTAATATTAAGAAGACTTTCTTTAAAAAGTTTGTTGTTTAAAAGCAATACCACTCAATACCTACAGGAGGAATTGCGAGCCGCAAGAATACACTTTGGATAGCTAATGCATGTAATTAAAAGACACGGTGTACCGCTCAAAAGGGGGTACAAAGGTACTCAAGTAGATTCCCTGATGGAAAGTACTTCGGATCATGGCCTAAGAGCCATAATTTCAAAGTGAGGGAAAAAGGTATGTCAACTCAATGCTAGACGAGGAAGTTGTCGACGTCAAGCAGGTCCAAGTAACCTCCATTGAAGAAGAAGTCGAGATCAAGAGATTCAACTTGACCTCCAGCCCCAGAATTGTGACATGCCTTGTTGGCGCTGGTGCTCTGAGTAGCATGGCTATGAAACTGCGACTCTTGCCGCACAACCTCGACCGAATTAACACCATCTACCCTCAAGAAATTGTCCCAAGCCCGTTCAACACTGAGTCGAACTGCCACAGAATACGCATTCGATTCATTACAACGACGCTTCATTTCCTGCAAGGCAGAATAGAGCTCATTTTTGGCTATCGCAGGGGGCATCTCATCGTATTGACCTAGAATAAGCAAGGAATAAGCAACGCAGAGGGAGTGGAATTCGGGTAAATCTCCAGAGCTTGAACTTGGGATGGCGATGAATGCCTGTATGACTCGGAAGCTAAGTTCGTATACGTGGCCTTGTAGGGACTTTGTGGAAGGGTCTTGGAGATGCACTGTAGAACTGCGGGACGTCTGTGGTGAGAGCGACGAGGCGAGATTCAATGCATCTGCTTCAACCCTATCCAGAGTTCGTTTTGCTAGGATGACGTTGGCAATGCAGTAACTGAACTTCAGCATAAGACCTGTAGGTAGATCTCGCAACCATTAGCACCCAGAGTATTAGTAGAATATCATGAATTGCTTACCAAGAAGGTATCCATATTGCTGCTTCCAAATTGCAAATTTGGAGCTGAAACCATCGTTTGTGAAGGTAGGTTTAACGCAGTCTTCTTTCTGGAGTGTACAGTAAAGTGAGATTTCAGCAAGCAGCATCGCATCGCGCATTGTGGTCTGCTCGAAATTGAGTAGATTCCTGCACTGGCTGAAGTACGAGCTAGGTAATATGGATGGTCTCCCTGTAGTAGCTGACCAGCTTTTGAAACTACCATCAGCTTTCCGGCTTTTCATAAACAAAGCTATGGGGTTCACTCACTGCAGATGGTTCAAACATATGTTTGCCCAGATTCTCATGGATCGAAGGTCCAGCTTTGTTGAAGTCCCAGCATTGGTTCGCTGATGAATATCTGAAAATTGAATACACAGCATCGCCTGCTGTGAACAGATACCACTCAAAAGCCAGCTATCGACATATTCAGCCTCGCACTAGATCTATCAGTAAAAATACATTCAGACAGCACTGGAGGCATTACCGATGGTGATCCAGCGAAAAGAGAACAAATGAGAACACCAGTAATTTCTTCAAGATGCAAAGGGCTACCCAGCACTACCTGACCAAGCATGTTTCGCATATGCTCGTAGACTTGCCTGTGCTTCAAGGCATCTGTCTGGCTCGTGTGGGTAAACCTCATCTCGTGCGAGCACAACACAGCATGGAGAAATGGTGATGTTTGGATCAAAGAGCCTCTGGTTACCAGATCGCTCTCATCATTTATAAAAAGAACGTGGCGACGTCGTCGAATAAAGCTTTGGGCTGGTATCAGTAGGATTCTGAGACTTAATGGGAGACGGGAACCTCTTACGATTTGACAAGGTTCTCAGCAGTTGTGGCATTCAGCATACCCATGTGTACAACATCCTCTTTTGTGTGGAAAGCTCTTCTCAAGTCGCCAGTCACCTGGCAGGCGACACGCCGGATGACTTCAGCTGGAGCAGCATGAACATGTTGATCCGCGGGCTCGATCTCGTCCATCAACACACGACTGTTTGTCGATGCTTGAGGAGAAGTACTTTGCTCGAGGACACTTTGCTGCGTTGAGTCGCGTCCTGATTGGAGTTTTACTAGCTGGGCTCTTATATCTTGCATAGAGCTTTCCAAATGTAGCACCTTCTGATGTAAACTATCCAAGGTTAGGAGAAATGTTGGCTGAGCTGAGAGAGGCATTGGTACCTTTTCACGAGATCTTGCTGATGGGCCGTTTCTTGTGTCCCATATGACTGATCCAGACTATCACTTCTAAGGCAGGGTATTCTCAAGTTTCGACATCTTGAGCAAGTGTCAGAGCCAAAGTCCAGCTCGCATCTGCATTTTAGTCGGCGGCAAGCGTCACAAGAGAGGATCCGACGACGTCGCTTCTTGGAGGGTTCATTTTCGACTGGAGTTACTGATACTGATTCCTGAGCTCCAATTGAGCCAGTTGCCGAATCCTCACGTGTTCTTTTGTCAGTCATAGTCAGGTAGCAAGAGGTAGTAAAGCTGGAGAGAAAACCCCGCAAGCCGTCGGAAATCGGCGGAGGATAGGCACTGGTCAGGGGTACACTGATGTACAATTCAGTTGCGAGCCAGCACATCAACAAATCCGGTATGGTGTAGTGGCTAACATTTCGCGCTCTCATAACCTGAGAGATCAGTTCCGCGGAGCCCAGGGTTCGATTCCCTGTACCGGAGACAACTACTTTTTTCCCTTTTTGCATATACATTCAAACTCTAACTATATATTATCATTTTTACTCTCACTGCCCAGTTTGCGATTGGAAGGTACTCTAGCAGTGACGATGTCGTATAATACCATGTATCTCTTGTAACTATTAATACAGATATTAAATAAATAATAATATGCTACTGACATACTTCTATAGCTCTCGGAGATGTTAAGGATGTCGAGAACATCTCACCTCTAATTCAATGGCTAAATCTTAGCATTAATTGTTTATATATGTTGAACTCTATTTCCACCTCTTAGCCTTGCATTGGCGAACGCTTTAATGCTACCGGGAATAAGTGTTTAATTTCAAAATGACTCTGTATTATCGGCTTTGGAGAAGCTCTAATCATTCGAGATTTTAAAATGTCAGTCAATATACAAGAGAAAGACTTGTGCAGTTCATGAGCGAAAAGAGATAAATAGACCGTCCTCCCAACTGTCGTCAACAAAAGGTATTGAGTTGGCCTCATGCCCGAACTCCTCCAACACGAAACGAGCATCCCCAAGTATGGGCCCATCGATTTCTGAGGAAACGTTGTTTCCTGCCCCTGAAGACCTAGCATAGTCACTAACTTCCGGAAACACTGCCACTTTGTGTTCAGTTCTTCCGTCATGCACACTGCCCTTGCTCTCGCTCTCGCTCTCGCATACGTCTTGCCATGTCGATGGGTAAACGACCAACAGAGGACCTGGTATCTCAGCCTCATCGCATTCAGAAAACTCGAGCCTCGAGTTGAAAGGCCAAGCGCTCGGTCCAATGGCAACAGACGCTCCCGCGTCCGTTTTGCATCGCCCATAATTCACAATGCTCGATCCCGCCTGCATCGATTCCCACCCTCCTTTAGGATAAACGATCCGGCGGACACGGTATGCAAAGACAAAATCTGACGACTCGCCATATGTTTCTTCGTCGTAGATATCCCTGGATATGGTGAACTGCGGTCCGCCATCGAATGGCACGCCCAAGCTTTCACCACCAAATCCAGCTCGTGCACCGCCCCCAACACGTCTCAGGGAGGAGAATGAGCCGACTGCACCACGTGCTATCTTGACGCCTGTTACCATGAACAGACGTTGCCTGCGCTTGACGGCTTCAGAAGCAACGGCTTTGACGCCGTCTTTGACATAATCGTCTGTTGGCTCTATGGAGTATTTATCGAGCCTTTCGCATGTGTGAGACACATCATTGGCGTTGTTCCAGTCAAAATTGGATTTTGATGTAATAGAACGTTATGGGCTGAGGGTATGCCATACTAGTGCTTCTAAGGGTCTCCGTCTTCGTTGTTCCTGAACTTCCAAAGTGCATGGCGTTCAGCAAGGCTGTGACGACAGGTACTGGCTGTGAGAACTGTGTGATGAAGTGCTGACTTCTTATAGCCCTCCATGATTCAACTGCAAAATTTCCTGGTAACTTGAGAAATGTTATAGCTAAAAGCATTTTCGTTGAAGTTTTGCCTGACTGTTTATTTTCTTGTCTGCCCGACCAGCTTATTGTTCTTTTATTGACGGAGTATACCTATTCATCAAGTCTGTGGTTTATATACTTTATACCTTCTCTCTTATCAGATTTAAAATGCCTTCAACTCTATTGAATAGATTTGCCATGTTAACTCATGGTAATTGTTAGAGCGCCCCATGCGTGTAGTTGACTTGGACACCCAATCGTTGTCCAGTGGCCCACGGTCTGGCTTCCAACCAGACATATTGATATAGTATCTTCTGCTCTGGATATCATTGATCATGGATATTAAATCATCTATTTGTTCAAATAATTTTTATCGCTCGTTTCGGAAAGTTTAGCCGACAGCTTATTGAAAAAGGCTAAAACAACGACCACTTTATTTTTCCCCATAATAGCGGTTTATCCCGGCCCAGAGAATAAGACATAGTCTGGAGCAGCCCGATTCTAGACTGAGCCGTATGCTCCTAATGGGACTAGATTAATATCTTTTTACGTAGTAGATTGATACAATGTCTATGGAAGTTACCAAAACAAGCTTATCCATCGCATAATTGTCTCGGATTCTGGAGCCGGCAACCGGGCACTAGCGTATGCAAGCCGAGTTCGGATGTTTTGTAAGTCAGACTTACACGTATGAAGTATATCGTGATTCCGGAATTCCGATAACAGCCGCATCACTGGTCGTTTCTGTGTGTCATTAAACTGATATTGATCTTATCCTCGGTTCGTGCGTTCGGAGGACTAAACTAAAGTGCGGATCTTTTAGGATGTCGAGATTTGACCTGAAGGAATAAGGTGCAAGCATACAAAGTATGGCTTTGAGTTAATGAAAAGCGAAAGACTTCTAGATACTAGATAAATACTTAAATTTGGACTTTCCTTGAGGTCACTAGATCCTTAATCAGTCTATTCAGAATGTGTCTTGTTGTCATAGCCTTACGAAGAGCCTCAAATAATCTGCCGTGCACCACTAACGTTTTAAAGCCTACCTAGTAGCCCTTGAGTCTGCGATACCCCCATGTTCTAGACTCGATTAACTCAAAGACTGCCCCGCAGGATCCATTGACCTTGAATAGCTTGGCCTAGTTATTCCGAGGGCCACTCCATGAGACACAAGGTTTGACGCAAGAAGCTTGCTTATATATACCCGCCCAGCTTCATCCTGCAGACTGTTCCCCCTTCGACCTTTTATATCAGCCACATTTTGCCAAACTAGCTTCTTTCCTGCAGCTAAGCTATTAGTTTTGACACTCGATTCGACTTGATCATCGCCAAGCTATTTTACTTGTGTTTACAGCAACTCGAATCTATGCAGTGAGATATTGAACAGGATTATCTGGTCGACGTCCAACTCACAACCATGACTGCGCACTCAGTATCCTCCACGAAACACGATGAGAGGATTCTCATCTCCGAGCACTATAAGCCATTGGGAGACAGGATAGGCAATCCGGTATGGCATTTTGGCGCCGGATGATGCAGACAGCTAACAAGGACCAGGCTCCTCTTGCCATGGGCGGCTTTGCTACAACATTGTTGTCAGTTTCGTTGGCGATGATGGAGTTCCGAGGCATCTCCTTACAGACTCAATTTATCGGAGACCTGTGTTTTGTTGCCTGTATTGGGTTACTTATCTCTGCCCAATGGTCAATGCTCAAGGGCGATACCTTCTCATATACTGTTCTAACAGCCTTTGGTAAGCTAGAAGCCATATATCCAATGTGATAGTGAAGCAATGCTAACATAGTCAAGCTCTCTTTTATGGCGGCTACGGCGCAACACTACTCCCCTCATGGGGCATTATCGACGCTTACGGAGGAGTCAACACACCTCAATACAATAATGCACTTGGATTCTTTGTGTTGATATGGGCAGTGTTCAATGTATTCTTTCTCATCGCTTCAATCCAGCTGTAAGTCTGCCTACCCTGGCCTCATACTCTCCTGCTAATTGCACGCCAGCAATCTTGTCTATATTTGCATTTTTATTTGCATTGAGTTATGTCTTATATTTGACGCCTCGTCTTACTTTGCTTCCGCGGATGGGAATGCTGCACAGAGCAAGGCGTTGATGCACGCTGCCGGAGTGTTTGGCTTCATCGCAGGTCTGCTCGGCTTTTATACTGTAGCTTATTACCTTTGCCAAGACGTACTGCCATTTCCTGTTCCAATGGGCGATACTTCTGCTTGGTTTCAAGCTCGTCGAGAGAGAAAGAAGCTCAATTCTTCCAGTGCTTGAACTAATGATCGCCTCGGCGGGTAAGGGGATAGTTGATGAGGATGAGCTATGGGAATTGCGTACATTAGACATAGAGAAATTAATAGAGAAAGGCGTCTGGTAAAGCTACAGAGTATAGAATTCTGGAGAAAATAAACCCATAATATCGTCCCAGCCTAGCTATCTACGCTCGATACTTGGTGCAGGGTCGCGTGCTTGGCGAGGCGAAACGCATTTTTCGTACTCGAAATCGCCGCTCTCTACCTCTAGTAATACCTCTCTCGGATCCCAGACTGTTTCTTAACATTTACAGGGTAGATTTTTACCTCAGATACTCAATAGAACACAATCGCATCATCTCCGTACTTCAGTGTTCTGCTTTGTCGTTGGCTCAGAAGGGTCGGCAAATCGCGTCCCCATGGCCTTATCGGCAACATTACACCTTGCGAATTAATTTAGGACAGCTGTATTTGTTTCACCAAGATGAGGAGATATCTAAGGATGAAATGTGCAACAGGCACAGATTGCTTTTAGGAGGAGACTGCAAGGAGTGAACCGAGAGCAGAGACAGATGGAGAGGCAGTAGATATGGATTTATGGTGGTACGTATATAGATATTGACATCATAGTTTCTAGTATGAATGCATATTATCTCCATTTGACAACCTGCTCCAGTCTGGGTGCTCTTGTCTGATACTCTGATCTGTCAAGTCTACAAGACAACTTCATAAGATGAACAAGATCATCCACTGCTACTTTAAATTGTAGCAATCTCGATTACCCAATGAAAGGAGTTCATTTGCGGAACTTAGCAGCAACAGCGTCGTACTCCTTCTTCGTAAGGGGCGTCACGGAGCCATGCTTCAATCCTTTGGGAAAGTTGGGAAAGTCTGACTTCTCCCAGTCCGGAGAAAGAATGTTGGAAGTCTGGAAAGGGATATACTGAGTGTAATCATCGAGCAGAAGATGGTATAGTCCAGGTGTGCGAAGATCAGCAAATGCACCTGGGCCTTCAAGGGGCGATTCGGGTCGCACGTAGCCGGGAACACGGGTCCAAGTTCCGAAAAGACCGGTCGTTGTGGTCTCCTGATACACTTGGTTAATGGTCTCGTTCTTGAGGAAACGCGCGAAATGCCCCGGTTTGCCTAGGTACAGAAACTCTTGATCGATGAGGCCAGTGTCCTCGGGGGCATGGTAATCCTTCGGTGCGCTGAAAGTCTTAAAGTCTTTGGTTGTAGCATAGCGAATGCGATCGAGAGTTGCGGTGCCTTTATGCTCCGTGTCAGAAGCTGAATAGTGCCTGGCTGCCCAGAAGACATAGTACTGCTTTGTAGGATCATCCCAGACTACAGAAGGTGCCCAGGCCATGCCAGCTGTGTCTGACTCTACACTATTCAGAATTAGTGAGATCTCGCGTGTGAACGAAGCATCTTATATCTTACATTCTGAGTGAAGGCTTGGACCAATTGATGAGGTCTTTCGAAGACCAAACAACAAGACCCCGACTTCCGTTGCGTGTAACAAGATCCCATGAGAAGCCTGGAGCATTAATGTCCAGATCTTTGGCATAGCCTGTTAGCAATGTGCCTACTGACAATGTTTCAGTAACCTACCAGTGGCGATAGTAAAGTACTCGGAGCGGGCAGTATTGGTCGTGAGAAAGATGTCCCTGACGCCCTTGGTTCCAACATTTGAGGTCAAGACAGGCTTTCCTCCGTTGAGGAAGTTAAAGCTCGAAGCCGAGTTGCCGTCTGACAGATGCCATTGAACTTGAGGGGTCGGGTCACTAAAGGTAGAGATGAGATAGCCGACATATTTGCTATTCGTGGATCTTGGGTTATCGGCAGGAAGGGCTTCAACAAAAGGAGATGCTGAGAGTGCCGTTGCGAGGAGCGAAACGACACGCATATTGGACTTGTCTTGAGACGATGAGTAGGGCTCAGATTCAATATGCACGACCTGTTGTAAGTCAGGACAGATCTTATATCTTATCGTCCGTAACATCAGTATACAAGGTAAGTAACTGTCTTTATATAATATGTTCATGCGTAGTAGGGACGAGCCTCCGCATCTCAAATGGCCCCTGCACGAGTCCCGATGGTTGTGATCATTCAGATAACCAACCTCATGCAGACCACCCGCGTATTCGATCGATCCGTGCAAATCATATTCTCCTCTCCAATTATGCCTCGGGTGGAGGACGGGAAGCCATTGTTTCCAGTGTCGATCTTTCGGTCCCGGCTCATAATACCCATGTAACTTAGTTGTTGAAGCGCTCCAGTGAACAGGCGGCGCATAAATGAATGAGGGGTGAAGATGCATTTTCAATAAGCTTAAAACCCCATGGAGAAATATTTCAAGCTGGGGAAGTTCGATGATTACGACGAGTTAGGCAGCTCCCATTTGATGTATTGGCGCTCGAGTCGGGCGACAGGATGAGGCTATGATGATCGATACCAAATAGTGAGATCACGATTGCTCAACCTCCGCCGCAAGAAACTTACAACAAATATTAGCGAACAAGATAGACAACTCGATCTCAAATCAAATATTCTATTCAGACGCTGCGATATTAAATATACAACATCGCTACTTTCCGTAGACTCAGGGCATATCACAGTTCTCTGAAGGGCAGCAGAAGTTATGAGCTCAAAGGGACGAATAGCAGGCTGTCGATAACAAAAGCAACTGGATAATGAAGCATGGCCTCTCTAAGACTACTATAATAGAATTGGGGTCCCAGAGATACATTGTAATTGGACAAGCAACTCACACAATCAGCCTACTATTGAAAACGTGAGCGAGTGGAAGTAGAGAATCCCGAGTTCTTGATCCTAATGAGCATATTTAGGTGGATTTTGGACAATTCAGATGATCTCAGACGCTCGTCGAATACCTTAGCCAATTCTTGCGCCCAGTTCAAAGGTCTGAAGCCAGTCATTGAAGGAGCAGGTATTCGTAGGTAGTCGGGATTTGCTGATACAATCACGCGATGGAGTCACGATTAAGACTCGGTTATCGGTGTAGACAAAATAACTTTTTTTTCTCTCAGCAATGTCTCGAGAAAAAGTCATTATATACCGTAGCATCTAAAAGCAACTCCATATAGTCTATAATTATTTCTTTTTGCCATATTGTCTTCACTTCTATTATCATCATCAACGGTTGTCGGCCGGGTCGGTCAATTGCACATACAGTGTATTACAGTGCTCATCGCACACATTCCCATTTTGGGCAAAGCTTGGATTGCGTGCTTGACGGCGATGAGGGATGAAGACGACGACGAGCAGCAGTCAGTCGATTCTCCTCTTTCACCTCATATTCACTCTTCGCACGTCTTCGTATAGAATGCGGGTCTCATTTGATCAAATCGGTTCATTCTATGCTAATATCGAAGTACTTGCTATACTGAGATCATCCTCCGTCCAACCTCCACTCCCATCATCTACCATCAAAAACAATCTGGGCAATCCGAATCAAAGGAGAGCTCTCAATACTTGCGGCGCTAATTATAACAAGGTCATGTCTCATCAAATCGTGGCTGCCACGGCCTTTCCTGTGTCAACTACTCCTTCAGCAGCAGCCCATAAGCGGAGTAGTAGTGACAACCTGGTACATGGCTTTTCCGTCCTGTCTTCTCGTCAAAGATATGGCATCCCTTTTTAGCTACGTTGGGAGGAGTGTACACTGCAAAGTTGCAGGTTAGTTTCTGTGACGAGTGTCGTGGATTAAGGGCATTGCCTACAGTGGAGGGATACAGCAAAGTCGCTACCCCTGTTGGATACACGATGAAGACCTAGTTCGTCTGCCATATATGCGACAGAGTTTTCTTTATATGTTCTTTCCCCAATGATCTTCATTGGTTTCTGTTCTTCATCCTCGTTCGGAAATGCGTATCGAGTCTCGGTGAGGTTGCCCTTCAGAATCTTCATCAAGCAGTGGGCGTTGCCGTGGTCGTGGATAGGGGACCCCTTTCCAGGAGACCATACAAGAACAAGCTATCAAGGAGTCAGTCACGGTTGGTAAGGGTCAGAGTTTACTCTAGCATGCTTACCAAATTACTTTTGCCGTTACCTTCGTCAACGAGATTGCGGGTATATCCCCTACTGCGATCACCGAAGGCATAGGGCTTCCACATGTTGTCGGAGCCGTCATATCCTTCCATCAGTTGTTGAAGGAAGTCAACATCAACATCATCAGAAGTCAATCCCGATGATGGACCAAGGGCATCCTTGAGTCGCACCACGAGTTCGTCGAAACGATTTTGCTGGCAGGGACCCACGTTGGGGATTGTGCTGTGGCTGACGCCGAGTGCAGAGGGTTTGGTGAAGATACCGATGGCCATGATTGCTATGCTGTCGATGATGCTTGGTTGTTTATGATGATATTGATGTTCTACCTCTTGAATATATGGTATCTGAGAAGAGGACAACAAAGACTCTGGAACAAGGGGCGGGGTCAACACTGTATGGCCATCCTCTTCCTTATTCCTATCGGTCAGATCCGATACTGACAAGCCGGCAGATAGTGTCACCGACATCTTGCTGTGGGTCGTGGATTGCAACCGACATCATATCTTGGGGCGGCACAGACAGGTTCAGTCGGCGAACGACACAGCAGCGCTGGTCCTGTGAACCGATTTAAAGGCTCTGGTTGGATGCAACAACGCTAAGGAACCTCCAAGAATCCAACAATGTACCTGAGGTACCTTGCGGTATACGAGTTAGATACCGCTTTGTCTGTATAACAAAGAGGTCACTTGATACAAGTCTGAAGATGCGATGGGAGAAATCACAATTAGACGAGTGCGAAGGGTTCATGGGGGCTTCTCGATAAGCCAGTTTATGTGCAAGCTAATACTTCTTTTTTTCTCGGGGACTCAAATTCGCAATATTGCGACACCCGCTATCGCCGACTTGAGCCACATGTGGACCCATTTAGTGACTTGGTATTCTCTTGGGCGGGATTAGCGGTTCTCGGTGACTATGAACAAATCCATCATCGCCACGGCTGTAACGGCTTCGTCAAGGTTGAAAAAGCAAGAAAAACGGTTTTCCTTCTCAGCTTATTCCCATACTAAGACTTATTTCCTTCTGATAAAACATTAAATTACAATCTACATCATATTGAATTCTCAGATTTGTGCCATATTAGCGGCTCTAGCGACCTACCCTCCATCCTGATTGGCCAGTGAGCCAGAAACTTTAGCTTTGCATCGTCACATCCAGCGATCAGCTCACGTAACATCAGACACCCTTGAATCCTCAAGAGCCGGCAATATGTCTGACTGTACCACTTCAACTCCGAACGGCGCGGTATGTAGCGACTCTACTCTCAAGCCTTGCGAGTCGACTCTGCCGTGTAAGGAGAATACTGGCTGGAGGAGACTTGTACGCAATTTCACACCATCGTAAGTCATGTATCCATTTTGACAAGGGTTGACCACTAACATCATCAACAGATGGTTCGCTGTTTGTATGGGTACAGGCATCGTTGCCATATTGCTTCATAACTTTCCTTACCAGGCGATATGGCTTCAGTATATCTCTTACATTTTCTTCGCGCTTAATGTTGTTCTGTTTATTGCCTTCCTTGGTATAAGCATTGCACGTTATGCGTTGTATCCAGAGATTTGGTCGGCGATGCTTGCCCATGCTGGCCAGAGTTTGTTCCTAGGATGCATGCCCATGGCCTTTGCAAGTGAGCTACACATTCCCTAGGCAAAGTAAGTGCTGACGTTTTGATAGCTGTCATCAACATGATGGTGTTCTGCTTACAGCCATGGGGAGAATGGGTAATATATCTAGCGTGGGCATTCTGGTGGGTTGATGTTTGGCTCTCCATTGCCACTTGCATCACGATGCCCTTCATCGTTATGCACCGCCATCGTCCTGGCCTCGAAAACATAACAGCTGCACTCCTGTTACCCATCGTACCAGCAGTGGTTGCGGCTGCTACTGGAGGAATCGTCGCAGAGGCTCTTCCCAATCACCACCATGCGCTTACAACTCTGGTGGCCTCATATGTTCTCTGGGGCATCGGCGAGTTGTTCTCGGCCTGTGTTTTAGCGTTATACTTCCATCGGCTGACCATTCACTCACTTCCTCCGAAGGAGGTGATAACCTCGTCTTTTCTCCCAATAGGACCGCTTGGTCAGGGAGCTTTCGGCATTCAGCAACTTGGCAGAGTTGCTATGCAGGTGCTTCCCAAGACCAATGCTTTCGGCGATGTTGCGGTTCGAGCTGGTGAGATACTCTATGTCCTTGGAGTATTCCTCGCCCTCATCATGTACGGTTTTGCTCTGGTCTGGCTGGCTTTCGCCCTCATCAGCATTGCTACAAAACCCCCGTCGTTCAGTATTGGTTTTTGGGGATTTACTTTCCCACTCGGTGTATTGGCAACCTGCTCGAACTTATTAGCAGAAAACCTTGATAGCAAATACTTCAAAGTCTCCACGGCGGTAAGGAATTGAACATTCTTTACTTATCAGTTACTAACTTGACGATAGATGATATCCCTCTCTGTGATATTGCTGTGGATTGTGGTTGCGACTCGAACCGCCAAGCTTGCTATCACAGGCGAAATGTTTCACGCACCTTGCTTGAAGGATCTTCGTGACAAGTCTCAAGCTGCAGGCTCAGACAGAAGAGTCTAGGTGACTTTAATCTGTCTTGCATCTAACAGCTTGACTGTGTACAATACATTGATAAACAGTGGGTGCATTTCATATTGGATAGACACCAAAATAATGTTCAATCCTCAAGGGGAATGAATTTAAGCTTGCTTGCCCGGCATTCCGATACCATTACACATAGAACAAAATAGTATTGTACCATATTAGTTATTCTTACCTCCTTTTGACAATTCGCCCGAGACCTGGCCATTCCGCTCCAGATCGTGTAAGCTGCTATCTAATCGCTGCCCCTCCATTGGTGATGCGTGACGATAGCGCAAAGCTCCACTAAAATTCTCGATTCCAGAGGGCGGGGCAACATTGCTTTTCCCCAGATGTCTCTTCAATTATTTGTGTGTGCTTGCTCTTCCCAAATTATTCCCATCGCAAGTTCCAAGGGATAGTCGGGCAGTTGGCAGATTATCACAATGGATTGGGCAAATTACTCGTCGCCTTCGCGGCTCGACTCCTTTGTCGATGGTGAGTCTCGTCGCTTTCCCATAGTCGCAAATCTTACCGCTGACTCTTACAGATCTGGTTGATGTCTGGCATCTTCACCGAACTCCAATTCTCCTGACTCTCTGTGTTATTCTTGTCGCGATTCGAACATACTTTTACATCAATGGTCAAAAGACGGAAATAGTTGCGTTCAAGAAGGTTTACGAAGAGCCTGCCAAGCCCAAGGTTGTCGTCGAAGAAAAGACCCCCACCATCGAGCCAGTCGAAGAGAAAAAGAATGTCAAGTCTCAGGGCCCTCGAAGGATCAAGGGTGGAATAGCGAGGAAACCATCGAAGAACAAGGAAGAGGAGAAGGATCTCACCCGACCTGTCGCACCTCTGGTCTTTTTCTCCTCCATTACAACCAAGACAGCAAAGATTGCCGAGGCGTACATTGAGGATTTCTGTGGAAAGCTGGATGAGTTGTCCAAGCTATCCGGTCGCCAATTTCTCAAGCCTGAACTTCGAGACCTCACCGAGATCGATTTCGATGATTATTTCCTTGCGCCGTACAAGGGCCACGGTGACGCCGATCTCTTCTACCTCTTCCTGATTCCTAGCTACAACATCGATACCATCAACGACACATTCCTTGAGCACCTCCAAGAAACCCATCATGACTTCCGAATAGATACCGCCCCTCTGTCAGGTATTCTAGGTTATTCAGTATTCGGTTTTGGCGACAGTGAAAACTGGCCTACAGAGGCAGACGGTTTCTGTTTTCAGGCTATGGAAGTCGATAAGTGGATGGCTAAGCTTACTGCTAGAAAGAGAGCGTACCCAGTTGGAATGGGTGACATGAAAAGTGATCACGAAGAGCGCCTACAAGAATGGAGTAAGGGTGTGCAAGAGGTCATTGAGCATGTCGCACGTACTGGAAGCTTGGGCGAAGGAGTTCCCGGTAGCGGAGCAGCCGAGGAAAGCGATGTTGAAGATATCGCAGAGGACGAAGATGATGGCGAAGTTGTCTTTGATGACGAAGAACCCAAGAAGAAGTCGAAGAGTGCAAGAGATCTGGATGATGTTGAGGACCTAGGACGCTTGATCAAAAAGGACGACGGTTCGACGACTCAAAAAGCACCTCTCGCTGTTGATTTCACCACGTATGGTTCCTCCACAAAGAAGGCAGTCCCTCAGGGCCCCAAAGAAATGGTCGCAAAGGAATCACCAACATACAAAGCTCTCACCAAACAAGGTTATGCAATTGTGGGATCTCATTCCGGAGTCAAGACATGCCGGTGGACAAAGTCGGCTCTCCGCGGAAGAGGCTCATGTTATAAGTACTCATTCTACGGAATCAAGAGCCACTTGTGCATGGAAACGACGCCTTCACTGTCTTGCTCGAACAAATGCGTTTTCTGTTGGCGTCACGGCACAAATCCCGTTGGAACAACATGGCGTTGGGTCGTTGATCCTCCTGAATTGATCTTTGAAGGAGTCAAAAAGAACCATTATCAGAAGATCAAGATGTTGCGCGGTGTGCCTGGTGTGCGAGCGGAGCGATTTGCCGAAGCTATGCAGATCAAGCACTGCGCCTTGTCACTCGTTGGAGAGCCAATCTTCTACCCTTATATCAACGAATTCCTTGGTATGCTACACGCCGAACGTATCTCCTCGTTCCTCGTGTGTAATGCTCAGCATCCTGACCAGTTGGCTGCTCTCAAGGTTGTGACTCAACTCTACGTATCAATTGATGCAGCTGATAAGGAGTCACTACGGAAGATTGACAGACCTCTCCACCGAGACTTCTGGGAGCGATTCAACCGATGTCTTGATATCCTTCGCGAGAAGCGCTTCCACCATCGTACTGTCTTCCGATTGACACTCGTCAAGGGATTCAACGTCGAGGAAGAAGCTGAGGGTTACGCAAGACTCGTGGAGCAAGGTCTGCCCTGTTTTGTCGAGGTCAAGGGTGTCACATACTGTGGCACATCGACATCTTCCAATGCCGGATTGAGCATGTCCAATGTCCCCTTTTACTGGGAAGTCTGCGACTTTGTTAAGGCGCTCGAGAAGAGGTTGAAGGAAAAGGGACTCAAGTACGGCATCGCTGCCGAGCACGCCCACAGCTGTTGTATCTTATTAGCTAGCGAGAGGTTCTATGTCGATGGCAAGTGGCACACTTTGATCGATTACAAGAAGTTCTTTGAGTTGCTCGAATCAAGGGGGCCTCCTGATGAAGGTGGTTGGACCCCCGAGGATTATATGGACGCAACTCCAACTCCAGAATGGGCAAACTGGGGTAACGGTGGGTTTAACCCAGAGGATGAAAGAGTAGATAGGAAGGGACGGAAGATTGAGGCTTAATAGTCCATAAGTAGAGGAAAGAAGAAGATAATTAAGCAATTCATTTGCCACATCTCTTGCACTCACTTGTCTACCACAGGTCGATGCCCCGGGTGACATCCCATAACCGCATGTTAGTACAAGATCTCTTTCGATCTTTTAACCAATCTACTTGTATTCGGCAAACAGAATACCATAGCTAGTCAACAGGTTCCTCCAATCGACCATGTTGCATATTACGTCACAGGCCACAAGGCATATATCGAACTTGTTCATCACGAATGGTCTTGGATGGTGCATGTATCTTGGGAAAATCCTGTGGCTTCCTTTCCCCAATAGTTGGCATCCTCATGAGGCATTGTGCTTCTGAAATGCAGCCAGCAATTGTTGTTCATAAACCTATTCGTTTCAACGTACATTTGTTTACACAAAGCTCTATGGAAGCTGGAAGAGCGGAACTATGGTACATTGAAGGCCGTCAGGTCTCCATTAGACATTTCTTTGTGAAAGCCTGTTGTTCAGACTTTTCATGGTACAGATTTGGGGGAAAGGGAGTTAAAATTCAAGAGCATTTCCAACGTCTGGGTATATATGTGCCAGGAGCGGAGAGGAAACTCGGACAGATGACATCCCTCTTTAATCGAGACCAACGTTAGGAATGTCAGAGAGATTGATGCCTGCGGGAGCGGCGGGCGCTCGAATGTCGAGAGATGAGTCGTATGCGATCATCTCAGCCAAGATGTCTAATATGGGCTGCACAGGTGTTAGCGAAACAACTCAACTTCGAGGTTCATTCTCGCCATCATACCTTGGGAACAGTGCTGTCGTAGATTCGGATCAGGTCACCGGGGGCAGGATAGACCTTGAGACCCTTATAGAAGGCCAAAGCAGACTCAAGAGCCTTAGAAGCTGTAGAACAACAGTCAGCAAGTTATTAGTGGTGTCTAGACCAGGGTGTTTCCTACGATCTTGGCTGAGCATCTCTCCGGCCATGACCTGCTCGTTGAAGAAAGCTTCCCGCTCCTCGACACCAGTAGGGAACCCCTCCTCCTTGGCCTCCTCCACTCTGATGCGAATGCTCTGACGTTGTTGCTGGGTAGAAGCCTCTGCCTCCTCCTTTGCGACGCGGGCCTGCTTGCGCTCGTTCCTCCTCAAGTTTCGGCGGAACTCGGCCTGGTTTCGACGTTGGTAGTCAAAGTAGATGGCGTAACCTGATCAGAGGGCATCTTCGTTAGCCAATGTGCACTGTAGCTTCGCTGGTCTGTGACTGATCGACTGTATTGTACAACGCAATCTCATGAAGCAGAATGAATGGCGCAGTCTTACCGACAATGGCGGCGGCGGCGGTAGCAACGGATGCCGTTACGAGAGTGGTGGGCTGCACCATTTTGGAGATTGATGATGTAGGTGAGGAGGTTTATAGCTTGGATCGTAATAAGCAAAAGACCGGATATATTCCCACCGTATCAATTACAACGAGTAAGTCCGGGGCTCTAGATGTTGCTTGGTGACGTCGGAGACCAAGAGATGGAAGATATTATGTCGTCAATGCTCGAGGTCGGGTTTATTCTCTGTTTGAGCGTCGGGAGCGGCAAGCTTTAGTCGTCGCGATAAACCAATTTTTTAGAACCGGAGCAAGCACATGATGTGGCGCTAAGCCTATTTGGGTCTGAGGTTCGAAGCTGGGCAGAAAGCTGGATCTTCAGAAACGGTAGGTAATTGTAAGAGTAATCAAGTAAAAAGACTCATTCTGATAGCTTCTTTCCTCTATATAGAAGTATTTCTTTCTTCCGCGTTTGATTATAAGAAATCTTATCTGCTATGGAGTATTTTGGACAAGGTCTGTCTTATCGATGCTGTCAATGAAACCCACGTAACCGGCTGAGGCTGGCTTGTTCGGTACGTACCCCACCTCCTGATGCACTGGACTTCCATTCCGAAGGTAGCTGCTTCACTGAAGAGGCCTGACGATTACACGTACAGCTCATGGAATAGACCACCTGTCGGCTGGCGCCAAAAGCCAGACAAGCATTTTAGACCTCGCTCAAGACACCACTCACATTATCCTACTACTTTGCAATTCCAGCTTGATACCGTCTTTTACTTACCAAGCTCGAAGCTGTTGAGTCGCCATTGTACTTGCAACACTTGCCCAAGATGGAGGATCGCAATAAGATATCCCTCCGCAGCGGCAAGAGAAAGAAGAGGCCAACTATTAGTGCTCCTCGCCAAATCTCAGGTCCGATTGCTCAAGATGATACAAACAGACCGCCCCCTCCAGGCGACCCTGGCCAAGCTCGTCCTCGCCCGCGTCCTCCCCCGATGGCTGGTGGAAAGGTGAGTCTCATTGAGAGGCTGTCTCCGGTGTCGCTATGCTCACATCGTCTAATAGACCTCGGATCTTGTGAAACGACGATACTCAACTCGATTTAATCAACCGCCCTCAGGTCCCAATGGCGCTGCACCTCCAATGCCGCAGATGCCCTCGCTTGGCAATTACGAGCCTCCGACTGCTGCCGCCATCAGAAAGCCTCCCTCGCGTGCGGGGCCTGGGGTTGCTCCAGTTGTCGATATTAAGGGTCTGCGAGATCCGAAGTTGAAGCCAGACCGATACGTCCAGGCTGCCTTGAGCGATGCAACCGAAGACCAAATCCGCGAATTCGAAGATTCGTTGCGAAAAGTCAAGACGCGTGTGGGAATGGATCTACAACAGAGCGTTATGCAAAACAGGACACAGTTTATCAAAATCAGCAAGGAAGCGGAAAAGCTAAAGAGCGAGATGAGGAATCTCAAGAACTTTATGTCAGAGCTCAAAGTTAACACGACGGCTATGAGAGCAGCCGCTGCCAAGAACGATGAGTCAATGCCTGGGGATCTCGTAAGCGCCCCTGGTATCAGCAGCAGAAGAGATAGGCGCACCTCTATCGCCGATAGAAGCGCCATGTGGAACTCTCAAATGCAGGCCTTATTCAAGGGCGTGGAAGGATCGCAAAAGTTCCTCCCTAATGCGGCGGGACGTCATGTTGTCCAAGACGCAGGCCCTTGGATTGAGCTTGATAATGCTACATATAAGTCGCGCCGAGCGATGCAGATCTTTCTGCTTAACGATCACCTCCTCATCGCATCGCGTAAGAAGCGAAAAGCAGATGCGCCGGGTTCAGACGCACGAGGGCCGATGATGAAGCTGGTGGCCGACCGTTGTTGGCCACTCTTAGATGTTGAAGTGGTGGACATGTCAAGTACCGGAGAATCTTCGAGTAGTGGACGCAATAAGCTTGCAGATGCTATCATGGTCCGGGGTGTTGGTCAGGAATCTTTCATCTATCGGACGGAGAAGCCCCAGGACCCCGAGAAGAAGCAACTACTCCTCAATGTGCGCAAAGCTATAGAACAGCTTCGCAAGGGCCTTCGATCGGAGATGGAAGCCAACAACAAGGCGCGTGAAACGATCAACTACTTCGCCTCTCGCGATCCCGGTCTTCTTCAAAAGACAGAGCTTCTAGCCACGCTGTCGGATATCAAGGATATGCTCATTGAAGTTGACGGCAAACAGCAGAACTTGCGCTGGGTTGAGAGCGAGATGGATGATCTCGACATTGACATTGCGATGCAACGATTCGAAGACGCTGTAGCTCGTGTCGAGAAGCTCAAGGCGATCGCTCGTGGGCTAAAGAACCATGCCATTGCTCAGGACTTCATCAACTTCAAGGTTGGCGAACGATGTGCTAAATTGGCGGACATGATTGTTCGTGAGCTCGAACTGACGCACGATAACAATACAAAGACAAGGCGGAATGTCAGCTGGTTGACGAGACTTGGGTTTGAAGATAGCGCCCGAGAATCGTACCTGGCGGCGAGAAGTGGCACTATCCATAAACGAGCCAGGTGAGTAATGGTGTAAATTACAAGAGACGACAAGCTAACGTGTTATCAGACAATGCATTTTTCAGGGAGACTTGCATTTATACATCTGGGAGCTCTCGTTTGTGTACTTTATGGTTATCCATAACACGGTGCAGTGTTTCCAATCTTGCTTTCCACCGCCCATGATGAGTGTATGTGTCAAATGGGCCAAGGAGGAAGTAGATGCGTTCAACGTCATCCTGGCACGCCAACTTAGTAGTACGGAGCCTGGGGGACAGGTTTGGACTCAGTGCATGGAGAGGGCGAAGGAGCATTCTAAGCTGCTATCGGAAGTCGGCCTTGACTTTGAGAACTTGGTCGGAAAGAACTTGTTGAACTATGAGCGTGTGGAAAATGAGGCTTCTGTCGGACTTGGGTTGTCATGAACAGGAGATTTAAGATGTTGGTTGAGGTGGATGGATTGGTTGGTGCTAGTAATCCTTTGGCTACCTTGTCAGCGTCACATATTACTCGTATGGCAATACCCAGGCTGGAATTGGAGGGCCATTGTAGCAATTTATCGAAGAAATGAAGCTGGTTATGATCAGATGTGGCCCAAGTGATGTTGACGTAGCTGCTATTGGAGAGACGTCAAGCCACACCCGTCTTCAGACAAGCTTTGGGCTGCAGCCAAGGTACCTTGACTTTATGACCACCGCGGTTCAGTGTAGAAGTGCTGCATCTCGAAAAATCAATTAATTATCAAACAAGATCGCGAGGAACTCTTTTCACTTGGTCGTCCTAGAATTCTTTGTTGATATCCTGGTATGGAGGTTACATTACGCCACGTGAGGCGCTACCTATGGTATGCAAAGCCAAGGCTGGCAGTGGAAGGGGCAAACACTGGCACTGCGCTGGCGGTGCCCCAACTTGGCATGCTAGTGCTAGGCTGTCCGCGGCCTGGACCTGGGCTGGTTGGCAACCACCAACATCATCCATCCCTCTCCTCCTTTCGCTCCCCATCATCATCCATCACCTAACAACACCCACCAAAAATTCTTTCACTAACGAGCTTCGCGCGTCCTCGTCATCCTGCGCCTTTTTTCGCATACTCCTTTTTTACGGCGATAGAACGATTTAGCGACAGGAACTGCTGCTGCTGGTATCGGCAGCTGCTGATTATCTCATCTCCCTTGTTTCCCTTTTCTCCTCCCCTGACGGCCGCCGCCTTTGTGCCTCGTGCGGCGTGCCCCACCCGACTTCTCGCGATTCAGACCGCATCAACGTCATTTCAACCTCGCTCCCGTTAATCAACACATCAATAACCGACTCGACACCGCTGAGCCATGGATACCAATATGGAGGATGTTGGGCGAGCGCCCGCTGAAGCTTCACCCGTGCTCAACTTTGAGCCTACTACGATCCCCACCCTCGACGGTTGGATCGAGAGCTTGATGTCTTGCAAGCAGCTGGCCGAAGCTGACGTTCAGAGACTGTGCGATAAGGTGAGGAGGCTGTCAACTCAGCGGGATGTAGAGCCTGGTCTGATGCATGGTGCATTCTATGATCGAGTCGCGATCAAATTGAGCGTGCATCATACTCGACTGGCTCTGCTTCTCGCGTGATACAACCAAATGCTAATATGTCATGTAGGCACGAGAAGTTCTACAGGAGGAGTCGAACGTGCAGCCAGTGGTACGTTATAACATGCGCCGGCAAGCTAAGTGCTTGAGCTGATACTGTCTCGCCAGAAATGCCCCGTTACCGTCTGTGGTGATATCCACGGTCAATTCCACGACTTGATGGAGCTCTTCAAGATTGGCGGTCCTAACCCCGATACCAACTACCTATTCATGGGTACGCTTCAATCATCTTTCAGCCTCACGAAGTCGATACTTACTCTCGATAGGTGACTACGTTGACCGAGGCTACTACTCTGTTGAGACCGTCACCCTTCTTGTCGCCCTCAAGATCCGATACCCTCAACGAATCACAATCCTCCGAGGAAACCACGAGTCCCGTCAGATCACTCAGGTCTACGGCTTCTATGACGAATGCCTCCGTAAATATGGAAACGCTAATGTCTGGAAGTATTTTACCGACCTCTTTGACTACCTCCCCCTCACTGCCCTGATCGACAACCAAATCTTCTGTCTTCATGGCGGCCTCTCCCCGAGCATTGATACTCTGGATAACATCCGAGCTCTTGATCGTATTCAGGAGGTTCCTCACGAGGGTCCCATGTGTGATCTTCTCTGGTCAGACCCTGACGACCGATGCGGCTGGGGAATCTCTCCTCGAGGTGCGGGGTACACATTCGGACAGGACATTTCAGAAGCTTTCAACCACAACAATGGCTTGACCTTGATTGCTCGCGCCCATCAGCTTGTTATGGAGGGTTACAACTGGTCTCAAGACCGAAATGTTGTCACCATTTTCTCAGGTACGCTCAGCACGCGAGACGCCACGCTTCTGTACAGCATTAACATCACTACAGCACCCAACTACTGCTACCGATGCGGTAATCAAGCTGCTATCATGGAGATTGATGAGCACCTGAAGTACACCTTGTGAGTCGATCCAATCTCAACATGAAATACACGAACTGACCACAACCAGCTTGCAATTTGATCCATGCCCCAGAGCTGGCGAGCCCATGGTCTCAAGGCGTAGGTGTCACCCACAAGCGGTTACAAGGACTCAACTAATACTATAACCAGGGACTCCCGACTACTTCCTCTAATCTCGTCACGTATACCCACGTTTTACCAAATTCGAGTCAAATGTCGAAGTGCCATGCCTGGTGCAACCACACCAGCCTTAAGTCCTTTGCAGCTCGACCGTGTACGATTCCACGACGAATTCTTCGAACGAAAACAGAACTTCATGGAGCATGTGTTGTACGGATGTTACATCTTTGCTAATGGAGAGCTTCCGAATATTGCAAAGCGATCGTAATTTTGGAGGTACGTGCAGGGAAGGGTTGGTAGACTTGATTGCGGCGCCCACCTCATGGCTGCTTAGATACGCATATTTGAGTTACGCGCTGTAAGAGAAAGAAACACGCATGCATGATCAACACTTGTCTGTCTCTCCTTATGATATGAGTAGTGAAGCGACTAAAGAGTCGATATCCTCACATCATTGGTGAACAATATCCCCCTCCTGAGGTCTCGCACGATCAGGGCATGATGGTAGCAGATAACGCCCATCCCTTGGACGCTTTGTGTTGATATGTTGAGCTGATCTTCAGTATTGGTCTGACTAAGTATTTCCACAAGTTGATATGTTTCGACTACCTTAATACGCCTAGACTACATCTCGTATAACACTTCAGCCTAGGGTCAGTCATGATGTTCAAAGATATATTGTTGAAACTTTACAATCCTCTTCGGGCGCGTAGGCCACCCCCCTCTCTATGATGTCTTGTACAGAACAGCTTGCATTGAAGGCGAAAACGGTCGCACAGAATCCATATCCATTCTTTATACGCCCACAATTGACTATGTATTACAAATAGTCCAGTCGTGTAACACGATATTCGACATCAAACGGTCTCTTCCTTGAGCTCCTCCTTTAGACCCGCCTCCCAGTTTCGCTGCTGCTGTTGGCGCTGCTCCGCTGTTCGTGGTCGCTCGTCATCACCAAAGACTTCCTCTTCAGTATTAACACGGTACATACGCTCTTGGGTCTTTGTATTGCGACCAGAGTAATCGCCGGGGGCATGGCTACCGTCGGGAATGTGGAAGCGTCGATCGAATCGCGAGAGAGCGTAGGAGAAAACAACGATGATCTCGATGACGTAGTTGAAGCAGTAATAACATGCTTTGCTGTGATACCAGGCTGGATCGTTCGCGGGCCGCAGCTTGAAGGATACGCCAGTCCTGAAAGCAGCACCGAGAGAAAGCAATATAGTTGTGAAGATAAGAAGCTGGATTTTTGTTCGCATGCGGCCTTGTCCGAATTTGTCCATTGGTGCTCTTCGGGGGATAATGAAGCACGCTCCGACAATAGGCAATGGGAGAAAAGCGAGAATGGCAAGAAACGTGCTGCCGGTGAGTTGAACGTCGCGAAGTTGCTGTTTCGTATGTGGGTTCAAAGTGTAGAAGTTATATACCACAGCTGTAATTAGCATCACAAGACTTGCAAGGATGCAAAAGTACAAGAGCTTGAACACCAGCGAAGCAGGTCTGCTCCATCCAATTTGTGGATGATACGCCCTCAAGATGCGCTGGGCAAAGATCAGATTCACAACGAACAAGAGCACAACGCCTGCGTTTGCAAACACCTGGGCAGCGATAGCAAGACTGGTGTCATGCGGGTTCGAAGCCCATGCGATTCTCAACACGTTCGCGGTGATACGGGCCATGCAAAAGCCGAAAAGCAAACCGCTGAGGACGAATTTGTGAGATCGCTTTTTGTTCAGCTGAAAGATGGTCATGTTGAGAATGGCACCGCCGACGAAGAAGGCCAAAATAACAGCACAAATGGGATCGTCGACGCTGGCCGTAGGTCTGCCGCCGAGACCAGCTGTCTTGGGGAGATAGGGAGGCCCCTGGGGAGGTATCTCGCCTGAGGTTTGCGAGGACATCTTGTTGAAGAGATGCTATGTTTATGTCGATGACTTATGCATAAGAGCAGCAGGTGTTGAATCAATCGAATGTATGCCTGTTATCGAAACGGAAGCTCAAAATGATGAATGTAAGGGCACCCTGATCTAGTTGAAAACAAACCACCCTACAAACGGGAGGATGTCGTCTATATACATACCCCTTTGTGAATGCTCATTCTTCAGCAACGCCAAACCAGACACTCGGTATCGGTCATCGGCGTCGCGAACCAGTAGATAAAGCGTCAGGTCTCAATTGCCCCGTTTCCTCTTTGGGCAATGTCTAAGACGGCATGTCGGAGGTTGACTTGAGCGCGAGAGGAGCGAAAAGGATATGATTGGTGAACTTAGACTTAAGGCTGAATCTAAGAAATATTTCACACTAGAGCGAGTGTGGGTTTTGGATATTCTGATTGGTGAGACTCTAGAGGTGAGCCTGAGGCCCCTTTAGTCATTGATCGGGATCGTGCATGGTTAGAACTGGAGATATACAATGGTCTTTCCGAGCTCCGAAAGCTTTTCATGTTCTATCAATTCATGTTCATCTAGTGCCAGCATCAGTGTATAAGTAACGTGAATGAATCTCAACCTTATCTGATGGCAATACGACAACAGGGTTTCATCGTCCGAAGCCAAACGCGCCAAGCTTTTCTATAATACCCCCGGCCCCTGCTTCAGCCCTATCGCCCCCATCCTCGGGTTCAACTTCCAGCTGGAGGGCCAGCGAGATCAACTATTGTTGGTAAAGGAATCTGGTAATTTGGGAACACTGACGAAACCCCTGAATGATATCAAGAAGAAAAGCCAAATGGGTGTTACAGGTAGATACTGCCATCAATTCATAACGAGATATCTTGTGTTACAACCTGCCGCTCCCTCCAAGGGTATTTTATGTACTGCAAAAACTGAGCCATCCGTTTCTCGCCTCCACTGCATTCGCGAAGACTAATTTCTGGAGCCATGATGGTCAGCGGCGGCGATCATGAGAACCTCAGATCTAACTACCTTCACGTACCTTCGTGTTTGATTATCCTATGAGTCCCACGAATCAGTTCTATACCTTAGACAGCTGCAGGATGGAAATGAAAAAACTAGGGACTGAAAACGGCACCCGACTTCCTCTCCTCAAAACTTCAGCTATGGATAAACTTGCTGGCCATAAGGTTAAACTTTAGGCTGCTAACACGGATCTTAAGAACACGATGTCTTTTTTCACAATATAAGCTTCTACCCAGCAGCTTCCACGATGACCAATAACTTATTTCGTAACCAAGCCCGAAAGGGCTTGCAAAAGGAAGAGATCAAGAGGTATATAACTTTGAGTGCATCTCTGGACAAACCACCACTCTCCTCAAAGCTCCAGCTTTCATAAGGGTAGCACTTGTCTTCGCCGCGCAATATGAGCTACTGCGTATATATTCGCGGTAAATTTGACTTTGTTCATTGACCTCCATTCGGATCATTGAAGAAATCCATACAAGCTTCATCAGTGATGAGACGTACTGTATCTGTCGAACCGGGCTAAGGCTTGGCGATGAACAACAGCGAACATGTCTTCTGAGATGAGAAATGATTCGATATGGCTGGAGTTAGGTGATTAGGTTCACGACCAACGTCGTAGAATAGACCTGGGTGACTATAAAGGACCATTGACGAACTGTTGTTTGATGGGTTGGATAGCGAGATGGATAACAAAAAGATGAATCCGATTTATGTCTGATGGGAGGGAGGAAGATGATGATGATCATTAACACACGCTGGAGGCAGAACTGGAATGTAATCTTGTAGTTGCATGCCGCAGGTCTCGCATTCTCTGTGTCTTCTCATCATGGAATTATTCCTTGCTACATGATGACTTGCGTTCTCAAGATACCTCAATTAGGAAGCCAGGACGTTGAGGAGAATTAGATTAGGTTTTTCTTTTCTTGGTCTTCCTCTGGCTTTCTTAACTTAACTATCGAGCCCCGACTCTCGAGTTGTGCTGGTTCTCCTGACAGCTTGGGCTACCTATATTCTATTCTTGTTTGCATATGCCATGTTATACGCAGAGAGTGAAGTTTAGTATTCTGTCAATAATAATTACCTATCTACCTATACATGGGAACGATGTCTCCCCCCATTCTATTTAACTCGACTGCTAGGTGCTGTACGTTAGCAGAGGAATTAAATGGGCTTTTATCGCACTCAGGTCTTTCTCCCTCCAGCATTGGATCCCATGGCTACAACTCGCCCGCGCTTCCAGTTCTCATCTCTTACATTCTTTACCCTTGACTCCTTCTTTTATTTTACTCCCAAGTCGTAGCATCCGGCCTGCAGGCTGTCGGAAGGTGGCGCTTATAAGGCAGTTGACATTTTCATCATTTTCCTGCCACTGAGAGGCACCTGCCAGTAACTTCAAACGTTCCCGCACACTGCTTCTCTGATTCACGGGCTGTTAGGCACTGCCGCATCCTTACTCCTTTCTGTTCTCCACCCTGTGATTCCATTTGTTGTTTATCTTTTCATCTTGCATCTTCCTTCCATCATCGTCATCGTTCATCGCGCTGCCGCTTCCTTTAGGCAAACAGAATGCCCTACGTCCCAGACACCATCTTGAACCTTTACGCAAAGGTCCAGGACCTCCTCGATAGGTCAAAGAGATCATGGCTTGCAGCGTGCGAGGCATGGAATGAGGAGCCGCCATCCAGGATTGCGACACCTGCGGCTACTACGGAGGTACTGGTACGCAAGAAAAGGGCCACAAGGGGAAAAAAGAAGGAGCCCAAGATTAGCAGCTCGTGCCATCAGCTTGGGCCGTTGACCGGTATTTTTGTCAAACCTGCTGCGGTGGCTTTGACGAGAGCTCAAAGTGTCGCTGGCGTGTCCAGCGATGGCTCTCGGTTGATTATCTGGGCTGATGCTTCGAGAAAAAAGGATTCTACAGGCTTTGCCGTGGCATTTCTAACTGGCTCTAACTGGGTGCGCGTCACCGCAAAAGGACACGCCGCTCCTACGGAAGTTGCAGAACTTGAGGCTATTTGTCTTGCGCTGGATTATGCGGTGCAAGTCACCAAAATACAGAAGGGAAGCCTCGATACTTTACGATCTGTCGAAGTTTTCACCGACAGTCAATCCGCCTTGGGTCTCCTAAGGGTGACGAACAGACCCATGGTTACCCCTGGACCTCATGGCAATGCACAGGGCGGCAATCCTCGCACGAAAAGGGGGGTCAGAAAACGAACAATAGAGAAAGTCTGCGTCATGATAGATGAACTTCAAGAAGCTGGAGTGATGGTCGAACTGCACTGGGTCCCACGGGGCAAAGTCACAGGCAATGTCATTGCTGATAAAGGGGCAGCGATAGCAAGAATGGGATTGACATCTTATCACACCTCCACTGACGTTCTCGTCGAGTTTCTGCCTGTAGATGAACAGCAACTCGACAGTGAACATGGGATGATTGTGTAAGTTATTTCTCCTTTCCTGCTGGCGTTTTACTCTTGGATGTCCATGGCTCTAAAGTGCCTTGTTATACAACGCAATAAAGGACTTCTAACTGATTGTGTGAGTAGACCTTTCAAGCGAACGTCGGTTCCGCGTACACGATTGGCACATCAAGTTTCTGAAATCCTCAGTTCAAACAAGGCCACCGACATTGGCAAAAAGGAGCCAGAACAGGCATCTGATTTGCAGCAGGCCCAACAAGAACTAAATCATGACAATTGACATCTGAGCTGGCAAAACAGTTGATCGAGATACGCTTGTGCATAATCAACAAATGGGGACATGCTATTCTAATACTCTAATCATTTTCCAGGTTTATTATGTGCTCAGTTTTTGGAGCCCAGCAACGTTAATCGCCCTAGCGGATTTCCACCATCCCGCGTCAAAGTCTTGATGCATCCGGCTTGTATGCAGGATAGCTACATGGTATGGTCAGCAAAGTCAGTCAGCGGGAATTGATACTTACTCGGTGTAGCCGTGTTCATCCGGCGTGTAGAAGAGCGAACGATCATACTTCGTCAGCGGCCAGCCATTTTGAATTCGGGCTGGTAGATCGGGGTTTGCTGTTGCTAGTTCAGTACATCATATTGGGAAATTTTGATCACATGACTTACGAATAAAGAAACGTCCAAAAGCTACAAGGTCATCGGTCTGAGCTGCATGCATAACTGCAGTGTCAGGTGTATAACCTCCTGCAACAACGAACTTAATCTCTGAACTGCCAACGACTTTTCGAATGGGAGCGAGATTTTCGTTCTCTTCCAATGTTTTGTCAGGAGAATCACTTCCTCCTGCGATCCTAGGTTCAACTGCATGAATGAATGCCAGAGATGGCTGGGCCTTGATGATGGCTTCAGCCCAGGGGACGAAGACGGCCAGAGGTTCGGTCTCACGCATGCCTTGGAATCTCGAAAAGGGGCTCATGCGAATTCCAACGCGATCAGGGCCGATGGCCTCGCAGACAGCGTTGAGGACTTTCAATGGAAAGCGGAAGCGGTTTTCGAGAGGACCTCCATACGAATCCGTGCGGTTATTGCTGTTGGTTTGCAGCTATAAACGTTTTAGTGGCAGTTTTTGGGAGAGAGTACTGAACTCACGAATTGGTCAATAAGCTATATGGAAAGTTAGCTGCGCGAACATTGCTTTGTAATTTTCGAGACTCACATATCCATTTGCTCCATGAATTTCAACTCCGTCGAAGCCTGCCTCGATGGAATTGAGAGCAGCTTGTCGGTAATGTCCCACGAATCTATCAATATCAGATTCAGTCATCACGGTGAACTTAGCGGGCGGCTCAGCCGACCCAGTACCCCTCGCATCGAAGGGCACAGAACCGGCGCTCCAGACATGAGGAACAATCTTCGGGTTCGCAACTCGACTACAGGTCACAGTTAGTATCCAGTCTCGATACACACATATTACGCATTGGTGTGGTTACCCCAGGGCCCAGAGCTGACAGAATATGAACCCTCCTTTGGCATGTACAGCATCCGTTATCGTCTTCCATGCTGCTATCTGCTCTTGAGAGTAGAGACCCGGTACACGCGACATTCCACCGGCCTCGTGAGCAATGAAGGTGCCTTCAGAGATGAGTAGACCACCAGAAGATGCCCTCTGAGCATAGTATTCTGCAGCATAGGGCGCTGGGACTGCTGTGGTCTCATCTGCACGTCGTCTTGTCAAAGGAGCAAGCACCACTCGGTGCTGAAGCTCGACTTTTCCCACTTTGACGGGAGTGAAGAGCTTTGTCGTTTCCTTGAGCGACATGATGTATGCCTAATGATGTTGAGTAGTTATTCTTGGACTGAACATCTGGGAGTAGTTAATTGCGTATTAATAATGCATGCAAACTAGTCCCGCATATGCCTCGGCTGATACTACCAATTCGGCAGTGGTAGACGGAGTAGCTTGGGTTGACTTGCGCCTATATGATGTCTACGCAGATATCACGTATGTTTCTGGGCAGGTGTCTTCTAATTCTTTGTTGAGAGGGCTTGTATATTGTCTCGATACAAGTGTCAAGTGCTTGACCGAGTGGCAGCTCAAGTTAAAAATACCGATGTCTGTAACAGAGAGTTTAGGGTAGCCATTTTGTAGCATAAACAAATGACAAGCTACCTAACCTCTATATACGCTTGGAAGACCTATTTTCTTATCAACTGGGCCAAGAACACAATGTAGATCCTATCGAGAAATTGTAAGAAAGATAAGGCTATCTGAAATCTGCTCAGATAATTACTAACATTGGACTGCCGACTCCAACAATGATGTCTTGCAACCTACGACGCGATTGGCTCCTCAAACATACGTTAACAATTAATCTCCAGGTCCAAGCACTTGACCAATCCGATCAAATTAAAGAGAAATCGTGAGGACGGGAAAGCATTGACCGGCATCAAGTATATTAACACAGGTGGCTTCGCCAAAGACGAATATTTTCGATCACGCCGTGTCTCACATTCATTCTATTACTTTACTCCGTTCTCTGTGCCGATAACAGTTTGTTGATCGACGGACTACCAAGCAGCTCACTTCGCTTGACCGGTAATGGCTTTTAGACAGCGATAGCGCATCCTCGTTTCGACAAATACTCCCCTAGCTCCCCCAAAGAGCAGCGGAAAACAGGGTCACATCGTGGCATGACAAAGCGGTTCGTGATGTTCCTAGTCCAGGCGAAACGCACTTCCAGCGAGAGCAGGGATTGGACAAGGGCTGGAAATTAATCTGCAGGAACCGGAGCTTGTTATATGTATACGTACCTATATTTTATGTATAAAATTATTCGTTGATACTTAAATATAGCTTCTGGCACTTCGATACTGGGTAAAGTTGGGATTGTGAAGTATTCAAGGTCAGGAATTTATCATCATGAGCTTCTGGAGGCAAGAACTCTGTCACATTCCCTGAGCATCAATCTTAAAGGCATTGTGTTGTATGTTTCAATATCCATCATGATACAAAACACCCACTTTATGCATATCGGCATTACCATCGCAATTACTGGAAAATCCCCTAATACAATCCATGACATATGGCAGGGTCTCCACTAGAGCACGCAAGAGGCACAAGAAGGTCATAATGTTACGCTGCGCGGCGATGCGACGTTGACAAGAGCTACTGGGCGAGCTACACAAGGTAATAGAAAGGTAAGCACTCGTCCTTAAAATACCGCAAATGAAATGTGTGTATGAGATATATTGCTGACGTGAACAGTTGGCCAGAGTTGCGACAGAGCAGATGTTCAAAATGTAATCTTGAAAAAAAAGTAAACATTATTTACTAAGCTGGGGCACGTCTCAGCCAGTCGCTCATCGAACTGACAGTTCACATTGACAGCCAAGATTGGGGTGGCTGCACGGCAGAACGGTGAGAGGGTTGCATCCGATGCGTTTCTTTTCTCTTGAACCATATTTGGACAAGCGTTTCCGTTTGTGGTTGCGTATAATTACCAGCAATCGCCGAGACTTGCGCGTTTTCTCTCACAAGCTTTGTTTTCCACTTTGCGCGCAACGCTGGGTGCATTCTCCGTACATCATGTGTGACGATAAACAGATGAAGAGCGGCGTTAGAAAGCGAAATAACAGCAAATCAGAAAGGGAGTAACCAAAAAACTTGCTTTCGCTGTTGTGCATGGTCGCGCAACAGAAAGTCATTAACGCAAGGAGGTCGATTGACTCGATGTCGAGCGTGGAGGCTAACGTTGTGTCGATGAGATCCGACTGGGCTAGAAGTTTCATAAATTCTGAGTCTGACTAGTGCACGTGGAGTCGAACGCAATTGGGAATAGGGAAGGCAAAGTTGGATCTGAGTCGAGACACAAATGGGTCAAGATCTGATGTGAGGGGGAGGGAATGACGATGACTTGCAGACGAGATGCTGTCGTTGGAGGCGACTAACTTTTGGGAGAGTCCCTCCTTGCAGATTGCATTGACCGCAACAATCTGTGTGAGCGTTGTGCTCTGCGTCCGTATCTGTGTCTGTGTCTTAGCAACAGAACCATTGTTGAACATATCATCAACAGAAGATTCAATGCAAAGTCTCGCTAACTAAGTTATGGAGACCCAGCAACGTGGTGCTGATGCTAGGTTTATGGGGTCATGTAGCGATAAATAGCGGCCCGGAAAGGCCATGGAACGCGCTGTTTAAGTGGTGGACGGCTAGAATGACGCTAATGACCCTGCTCGGCTTCCGTTGGATCCCTGTTCCCCAAGATTAAACAAGTTCGGGCTAGCTGAGAAGAGAAGGTATCTGAATCATACAATCTTGGAGTAAAAATACATCTGAGACTTGGCCGTTATCCCAGCTGGCCCTGGTCTATTCCTCTTTGGGCCTAGAACAACCCGACTCACCCTGGCTATCGCCATTTCCCTCCAGTCAGTTTGTTTGGCCAGGAGCATGGGGTCCAAACACCAGGCGCCGGCACCACTTTCGCCCACTCTGATCATCCTCAGGTCCTTCATGTTTCTCTAAATCCCTGCTTCCTTCTCTGCCTCTCTCTTCTCTTTCTTCCACTGCCCTGCGCACCCGTGTCATCCTTCTCTCATCGGACCCCCAGGCGGTTCACACACTGCCTTAACGCACCCCCTAATATCCCAGCCAGGGTCAATCTTCAACCGCCATCCGTCGCGTCCGCTGCCGGGTCTGAAGTCGCTGGGATCTCTTCGCTCGAGTCGAATTTCTTCTTCTCTTCCTTCTCCCCCTTCCTCCTCCCCCCCACCCGTGCCCAGCCAGTGTGCGTAGCATCACCTGGTTTGCCTTCAATTGCACGCGCTCAATTAACTCGAGCCTGAACGACAATCGAAAGGAACGAACTTCCAGGTCCGTTTTCTCTCGAAAGGGGCCGTTTCTCGAGGACCATCTCACCTTCTTTAATTTGTTTACGACATTCGCTCTTTCCCTCCGGGGAAAAATAATCGTAATTTAATCTTTCACCAACTGTTACTATCGTTTGAGAACGTCACGAAATCGATTGCGCTCCGACAATTCGACTTCTTCAACCTAAACTAATCACACATTCACTCACTTGTTTGCTCAGGAGAGCAGTTTTTGGCTACGATTATTAACCGCCCAACATCTCTCCATCGATCATTGCATCGACCACTCCAGACCACCTTCGACAACAACTCTTTGACGAATCAGGCAAATCATCCAAAGCTCTTATCCCGATGACCATGACCTAGGTGTTATTGAAGCTTAAGACATCAACGATTCCTGCATCAGCTTGTCGAACTTTGACCACCAACCCAACTTTACAGATGGCTGCGCTCAAACAAGACACGGACCCTTCGAGGGTTCGCCAGTCGCGGAAATATGTCACCCCTAAGAGTGTCATTCTTGGCTTACTTTCTGCATCACCAATGGTTGTTTCGGCTCAAAATTCGAACTGTATATCTTTAAAGGATTCAAAAGCTTGCCCAGCATTCACATCTGCATCCATCTCTACCGGAGATAGTCTGCTTGAGTTCTTGTGAGTCCTCTTATCTGGTGACCCCTCAATCTTACTAACTTCATAAACAGCCCCTTCTTGCGATATGTTTCCGACAGAGCATCTTTCGATAGCCAGCTTTCGAACTATGTGCAGAGAGATTATATGCAGAGGCAGTAAGTCAACCAATGAATAACATTTTTGAGCAATTCTGACAACTCGTAGATATCAATCCTTGTTCGGATGTAGCAATCTTGACTTGACTAACACCAGCGACTTGTATGCTCGCTTCACCACGACCGTGTTATGCAATGCTATTGTCCAGAACTCTATTGAGCCCTGTGGCCTGTCATCATCGCAGTCGCGACCTCTTTGCGCCGACAGTTGTGCTGAATATGCCCAAAGTGAGGCTTATGTAACATCAGACGACGAGCTCTGTTCGAGACCGTCAAGCAATCTGCTTCAGCTGATTAGAGCAGACTTCACGAACTGTGCCCTTCCTGGTGGCTCTCTGGACACTAAGACATGTATTCCAGCAATCGAGAACGAGTCACAGAACTGTGGCTACGGCAACAGCACCGTGGGACTCTGTTCCTATTGTGGTTCAGGCGGCCTTAACTCGACCGACACCTGCTGTTACAACTCAAATGCCGAGGAACGATGCAAAGATGTCACATTACCGACTTTGACCGCCACCATGACATTCACCCGAGTATCACCAACATCTTCAGCTACTGGGTCAAGCACTGCAGGTAGCGGAAATGACAACTCCGACGAGGATGACGATAAAGGAGGAGCAGGAGGTGGTCTAAGCGGCGGAGCAATTGCTGGTATCGTCATTGGCGTTCTTGCCGGTCTCGGTTTGCTTGCCCTTGGCCTCCTGTTGTGCCTCAGGAGAAGACGACGACCGAGCAGTCCCAAGGGAAGCATTTTCAACCAGCCTTCGCCTGCCCGACAAGGTGGAACAACTATGGCTCAAGCAGCACCCTCAGCCGCTCCTCAGGGATACGAAGTTCTTCCAGGTGGACGTATAGCACGGATGTCTGCTCTCGAAGGTCATTCCGGCGATTCACCTTCTCATCATCGCGACACTTCATCAGCCGCCGGTGGAATTGGTGCTGTTGGCGCATATCCACGTAGGGATCATTCTTCTTCTGATGAGTTTACGTCAAGCCCACCCTCGTCAGAAACGCGCGGCGGAGTCCTTCGCCCACCACCGACTAAGCCTCGACGACATGGCTCACTGTCAAGTAGTTCGGCCCTTGGCAGCTCTGTACCGCAGTCCCCATCTAGTGCTGGGGGGTTTTCATCACCTCAGGGCGTCGCTAGCCAACAATCCGAGCAGTTGCCATTTTTCAAGGACTACTATTCTCAGGACGACATTCACCCCGGTGACCGAATAGCTGTTCTTTGGGCTTATCAGCCACGGGCAACCGACGAATTCGCCTTGGAACGGGGAGATATGCTCAAAGTTGTGGGCATATGGGACGATGGTTGGGCAACAGGTGTAATGCTCAACGAGCGGGCAGATGAGTGGGAGGCTCGACGACAAGCTCAACGCGATAGTGGCGTCTCGAACGCGTCGGGACGCCGCGACAGCTCCCCTGTTGCAGAGGGCGAGATAAAAGCATTCCCTCTGGTTTGTGTCTGTCGCCCCGAACACTGGAGGAAGACGATTGAGGGTGATGGATCAACGGAAACTGGTTCCAATGGCTTCAATGCTCACTCATCATTTTCATGATTAATACAGTCACGACACCTTTAATTGAATACGGCACTGGAAGGTACATGTTATCGGTGCATTGGTTTAATGGCTATGGCGTTCTGGTTTCTCGGCATACCCTGTTGGCATCTGCAGCACAAACTTCATCCGATATCTTCGCAAGTTCAGTACGAATATCACTTACCACGCTCCGCCGTTCGGAGATATCCCAATCCCGATCAACTTACCAACCATCTGTATCACGCCGTTATTCGTCTTTGACCTTTGAGATTATGACGAACTTAGGACTCAGGTCCTTACTTTCAATTCTAGCGCTGAATTATATACCCGGTGCGAACCACCCAGGATTGCTGTTTTGCAGAATTGAGGACCACAGTGCAAGTGATGCATGGGGGAAACAAGGGGACGATAGGAGAGAAGATGGCGGCAAGATGAAGTAGCCGCACCACGTTCCTTACGCCTTCAAGGCTCCTGATGATGATGTTAAATAAACAAACACTCACTACCATAGATAGAGCACCTTCTTCATGGGCGGCTACGACGCCTAACGACTTTTTAGCGATACTGCAAATAAGTTCATTATTTCTGATGATATACACACCACTCGGTCTCTTCAAGCAGTGAAGCTAAAAGTAGAATTCCAGTTGAATGCCACAAGCACGCCGGCTAATAAGCGACCAAGGGTCCATGTTTGAGATCTCATGAAATGCGGGTTCTTCTGTCTACCGCTGTGGAGTGGTGTCAACAGAAGCCCCACCGTGGGGTGTTCCCTCCCATCAATTCCTCCACTGCTAAAGAGGGGCAGAGTTCTGAAGGAGATTCCTTTCTGAGCTTGTAGACCACAGCCAAGTCTTTTCAAATCTCAAATCAACGATGGCCGATGTCAAAGCAAAAGCGGAGGCCCTTGTGCCCAAATTCAAACTCGATCGCGTCCTCAACCAAGATCAAGCAGGACGTCGCATCTCCCTCTACGGTTCTATCGACGACCAACCAGCTCTACTGATCCTGGAACGGGCTCCCTTCCCAACCTCACAGACCTACCTCACCGATGTTCCCGCTCAGCTCGCGCGGATTCAGAACCTGGGCGCAAACGATATCTATCACTGGTTCATGAGCCGTAGCGGCACTGAGACGACCAAACCTGACGACGCCGACTTCTTCGCTGATCTCAAAATCAACCTGATTTACCCATGTACCGAAACGCACGTCAAAAAGTACAGCAAGCAGGGTGTTCGGTTCGTGACGGAGACACCAGATATTTACAAAGATCACATTCGACCGTATATGCTCAGCAAGAGGGAGGAAGGACGACTCAATTGGGTATTTAACATTATTGAAGGACGCAAGGAGGTAGAAGATGTTATCTACAGAACGAAGCTTGGTGAGGCCGGCGATGAGGGTTTCCTCATGCTGCCAGACCTCAACTGGGATCGCAAGACGCTCGATGCGCTGCACCTACTAGCGCTGGTCGAACGACGGGATATCTGGTCGCTGAGAGACCTTCGCAAGAAGCACATCCCCTGGCTACAGCACATGAAGACCCATCTTATCGATGCCACTGTCAAGACGTATCCATCGATCGAGCCGGACCAGCTGAAACTCTATGTGCATTACCAGCCAACATATTACCACTTTCACATTCATATTGTTCATGTCCAGCTCGAAGCGGGGGCCACTCAGGCGACGGGCAAGGCAGTCGGACTCGAGAGTATTATAGAAACGCTGGGCGCAATGGCGGGAGACGACGAGGCGGGTATGGATGGCATTACTATGAGCTATACGCTAGGAGAGGCAAGTGAGTTGTGGACCGAGATTTTCGAGCCACTCAAGTCTAGCGGCGCAGCTTCTCGATCGCAATAATTAGATCGTTGACGCCAGAACCGTTGGGACAGTCGGTCCACTCGCCACCGTCGCGGATGCAGTAGATTTTGTTATCGAGACGAATAGTGGCGCTCTTCGTCACACCGGCCTATCGATCATATTAGCACGCGCATGGCATTCAGACGAGTTTGGCATACATCTGCAGTTCTCTTGATGCTATCCCGTAGGAGGCTCAAACCATAGGCGCCGTCCTCCTTTACAGCGCAGTCGCTAAGTTGCTGGAAATCGATCGCGGACTCAAGAGCACAGTCTTCGACGAGGGACCGTTCGGGGATTTCGCTGTAGTCGCGGCTTAGACACATGATGAAGCCGAGGTTGATCTTGGGATCGGGGTAGAGTTCGCGGGCGCAGAGCTCGATGATGTTGCCCATGCATTCTGAAGGGCCGTGCATGCAGTCGACACCGTCGTTGGCAGTTGGCCTATGGAACCGAACGTTAGTCTCATATTAGAATAGAGCTGTGTATCGACATACCGGCCAATGTAAGATAAGGTGAAGTTAACCTTATCATGAACGCGTTGCATCACGGGCAGTACTAGTAGTTCAAGTCCGTCCTGGAGATATTGAGCATTTGTTATCCTGCACAAAGATGGGTAGATGTTTACCTTTGCGTCAGGACATTTACTCATGATGTGCGCCTCCAGTGGCACAAGTCTATCGGTAGTATGAACATCGTCACTCGTGATATCGACCATCGTTTGGTCAAGTATAGGGTTGAAAGGCTGCCATATCCAGAATGTATAAACAACAGCTATTACGAAGGCTATTGTGAGGGTGGGTCGACTGCGACGGAGGGAACGAGGCGGCGACATGGCTCGTGGAGCAGGGCGTTTCTCATCCATTATATATGAAGTGGTGATAATTAAGTATACTACTCAGGTAGAGAATCCGGGGGATGTTAGGTGGAGGAGATGTCGTTATGGGCAGCTGAATGCGCGTCACATTCACATGCGGCTGCATTGTTTATCCGAATTTGGTTAGGGAAACCGTTTTGGGATATGAGCTTCAGTGATTCATAATGCTTTCGTACTGGTAATCATATACGCTGTCTAACGTCTTCTGTATTATCCAAAGAGTCGAGTATTCCTAGTATTACATACCTAAATTCCCAATTTTGAAATGTGCCTCAAGTCGGAATTTAAAGATCATCAGTGCATCCCTGATAGTGAGAAGTGCTGCTGTAAGTCAACCGTTTCAGGGGTAACCGGCGGGGCACAGAAAGGCTGATGTTTGACCCCGCAGAAAATCGCGTGTGAATCTCTCGATCAATTCCTTGCTTGGTGCATGCATGAGATGAGATGCATTCAATGATATGATATAGATACCTAACTACTAATCATTGATTACGGCCGTCAATGTCTAATTGTCGAAATAACCGCTAAGGCCAGATATATTTAGGTCGTGGTTCCACGTCATTGCATCAGGGTGCAGCTTCTCTGCGCTAGCGTCTGCGCTGGATCGTCAACACAGGTGAATAACTTCCACCTTCTCATGACTTGCGATTCATACTTATTCATTCTCACATTCACAGCCTGCCTAGCACACCAAACTTACCTATAAGAGCCTCTCCTACGTTCGTTACTCGATTATACAACCCCTAGCACCCTTCTACCGGCGATCTACTTTCAATCGATCTACGTCTGCCTAATGCCGGTATCAGATTGTCTAGAATGATACCCTGAACTACCTCACATCAACCTCATAAAAACCACCATTCATGTCTTACAGCGACTTTACTCAAACCATGGCAACCCCTGTATCGATTGAAGAGTTCTTGGAACCTTTATATGTCGATATTGACAAGATCAATCGACTATCCCAACTGTTTCTCGAGACATTTGAGAAGCTTGCCGCTGGCTCCGAGAACCAGTTCTTACCTACGCCCATATCTGAAGCTATCCTACGACCAGAAGCGAAGCGAAAACAAGGCTGGTGAGACATTCCTATTCATGGATTGAAAAAAAATAAAAATATATGGACTGACATAAGATGTAGCCACTTAGCCATAGACATGTCAGTTACTGGCCTTTGAGTTTCACTATCTCTTATATATCTAACGTGAGAATAGAGGCGGCACAAACTTGAGAGTGGGTTTTGTCCAACTTGGCAACGAAGCCGCGTCATCTGACCAAGCCAATGGCCATATCACCAACGGATCCGATGCCAGTTCTGCTACAAGGCATGTGAGGAGGCTTTTGGAGAAATCCTGGCCCATCGATGAACACCTCAAGAACGAAAATCCGGATAGTCTCTTCCTTTGGATTGGCAAATGCATTGCTGAGGTAGTCCAAGATGGATGCGATACGCTGCACCTACAAAGCGACCAAACATTGCCTCTTGGTGTTACCTTTAGCTTTCCCATGTTGCAGCACTCACTCTCCCAAGCTACACTTATGCAAATGGGTAAGGGATTCGCCATTTCCCCCGATCAGGATCTGGGTGACCGCCTCACCGACGGATACAATCGTGCAAAGTCACACGAGCTACCGCCTATTCGAGTCGATGCAATTGCCAATGACTCGGTATCGACACTCGTCTCATTCATCTTTAACTTCGACGAAGCCTTGAATCGACGTGCTGCTATGGGTCTTATTCTCGGAACAGGCTGCAATGCAACGATTCCGTTGAAGTTGAGCCAGCTGAACCCATCTAAACGCCCAAAGAGTGTTGTTGCCCGACCGGAGGAGAGGGTAGAGGATGTCAAGATTGCGATCAATACTGAATGGAGCATCAACGGTACTGCACCTCCCTTACACGAAGTTGGGTTGGTCAGCCAATGGGACAAAACATTGGACATTCAAGGTGAGTTGAATGGCTTCCAGCCACTCGAATTCATGACGGCAGGCCGTTACCTGGGCGAACTCGGACGAATTATGCTGGTCGACTACTTGACGGAACACTTGGGTATTGCTGCAGGAACGTTGCCTCAGAGCTTGCTGCAACAGCACAACCTTACAACAACGTTCTTGAGTCACTTCAAACCCCTCCGACCATCGGCTCTTGTCGCTATGCTGCAGCAAGAATTCCCTGAATCGACAGGATCACCGCCGTTTGAGTGGACCGAGGACCTTGCCACGGCAGTATATCGAATTGCCAAGGCCATTGAGGTTCGAGCGGCTGGTATTGTGGCAGCAGCCACACTGGCTCTGTTGACATTGGCCGAAGAAGTTCCAGGCGAAGGGTCAGAGGCATTGGATCGGGATTACGAACTCGGCGTAGGTTACACCGGGGGATGCATTGTTCACTTTCAGGACTACCTGCAGGATTGCCAGGACTTTTTGGACCAGCTCCTGCGCAAACGATTCGGCGAGGAGAGCCCGTTACGAGCCGTACTCAGCCCGTGTCACGATGGAGGCGTTACAGGAGCGGGCATTCTTGTGGCTGCAGCATCTCAGAGCAAGACGATAGAATAGTTGCAGGTTTGGGTTGCATACTGCATTGGGGGTGCTAGGGGGGCGGCTGGACCGCTTCGGTAATTGATCAGTCCAACTTGCAGATGGTGGGCATTTGTATCTGGCTGGGGTGGTTCATGAACATGAGCATGGGTGGCTGTAAGCCGGGGTTAATGAAAGGAGGGGAAGGGGGAGAGGCCTGAGATAAGCTAAACCTGACGATTGATTATTAACTGGTTTATAGAAATGATAACTATTCTCACGAGTTCAGTTGTATGTTTTGTATAGGTGCCTTTCATTGAAGAGTACTAACCACTCTTAGCAATGGATTTACCAGCAACTCTATCTAATTGAAGTTGGCGGAGATTCCGACTTACAACAACAACACCAACTGACCCCTCCACACCGTAGTCTTGCTCGCGTGCAGGTGACTCCTCTCCTTCTGTGATGGTCCCGCATAACGGCCGGCAGAGATAGTCATAATACTCTGCCTGACTCACACTTCCACTCGCACTGAGAAACCTTTTGTGGAAGATACCGCATTTCTAATCCTCCACTGGCAATGCATCTATTATAGGCAGTCCGAGTCGGGAATATGCCGATGATCTTTGCGGGGCCACTTTCTGGATGTATCCGCCGCAAAGTCTGCGATCACGACAGTGAGACTCCACTCTTTTCTACATGGTCCCCCAACCTATTTCCTTTTAAAGGTTCTGTCGGATCCTTCTATTTTATTGTAATCTTTCCCTCTCTTCCTTTTCTTCTTCGTCAGTTTCAAACAAGACTTCCTGCCGAAGTTATCAACCCGCCGTTATGTCTCCGGTCTCGGACCCCGGCCGTGCCGCTCTCGCTCCCGCTCCCGCTCCGGTACCTGTTCCGGTACGGAGCAATTCTCGGAGCAGCGACAGTGACGGAAGTGTCGTTGATCCAGCAGAATTCGAAAATCTTTCGAGATCTTTGACGACTGGTGCCCACTTCCTGCAGCCTGAATCATTAGAGAGTGCAATGCTAAGGCCTTCTTCTTATAAGGCTAGCCATTACCTTCACGATGAGGAGCAGGAGGGAGTGATCAGTGAGGCTGAAGGTGAAGATGATAGTGAGATCTCGGAGGACTTGGATAATGTGCGTCCTCATGAAGGGACTCCTCTTATAAGTCACAGCCGACGCCATTCTATCACAGCAAGATCAACAACTTCTGCTGTAACGGAGATAGACACGCCGTTTCTCAACAACACATCTCCAACACGCTTCTGGTTCATCTTCTCCCAGATTCTGACAGCATACTTCATATCTTGCTTCGATGGAACAATCATGGCTTCATCACATCCTGTCATTACATCATACTTCAACGCCTCAAACTCCGCATCGTGGCTTTCCACGGCTTTCCTCCTCACTTCATCTGCCTTTCAACCTTTACTGGGCCGGCTCTCTGATGCCCTAGGTCGGAAGCCGCTTTTTGTAGGAGCCCTGGGCATCTTTGCAGCCGCAACGACATGGTGTGCTCTTGCAAACAGCATCGAGAGCTTTATACTCGGACGAGCCTTTTGCGGAATCGGTGCTGGTGGTGTTATGACCATTGGTTCCATCATTGTTTCAGACCTTGTGCCCATTGAGAACCGTGGCGTGTATCAGTCATACATCAACATGAACTATGGTGTTGGTTCAAGTCTGGGTGCCGCTGCAGGAGGCGCAATGGCTGATTATCTTGGCTGGAGATGGGAGTTTGGAGTTCAGATTCCGCCACTATTGATTTGCATGGTTGTTGCATGGATTGCCATCCCAGATGATCTGGGTATTCAGGGCGAGAGAAAGGGGGTGTGGCAGGCTCTTAAAGAATTCGACATCAGGGGCTCGTTGCTCTTGACTACCGCTATTACGTTTGTGATTCTGGGCCTGAATCTTGGAGGCAATGTCCTTCCATGTAAGTCAACATCTAATTTCACGCTGATGGTGACTGACTAACATCTTTCAGGGTCACACCCCTTTGTCATTGCAAGTCTTGTGATATTCGCCATCACATTCCCCGTGTTCCTATGGGTTGAGTCCTGGGTCCATAAACCGATCATGCCCCTTCATCTCTTGAACCGACAACCTCGCGGAAATCTAATTTTCTCGAATGTTATTGCTGCTATGGTCGCTAACTCAATCTTATTCAACATGTAAGTCATTCCCCTTTGTATAATAAGAGACTTGTGCCGTTTGATGGGACTGTAGCATATCTGTTGCTGATAGAGGTGCGACGTGACGCTCCTTGTGGGCAACTCGTTTCTGATACACAGCAGCACGCTCCGTATCTCATTGCTTACCGTGTTCTCAATTGCCTACTAGCAGCCTGGATTATCTCCTGCAGCTTGAAACTGCTCTTTAGTATCCTATTGCTAACATGACATACAGTCCACTCTATTTTCAGGCTGTCCTCCTCACATCTGCCACCTCTTCTGGTCTCCGCCTCATCATTCCAACAATCGCTGCCTCTTCAACCGGTACTTTCGTTGGTTTTGCCGTGACTTGGACTGGCCGCTTGAAGTGGCCTGTCTTAAGTGGTACTATCTGCATACTCATCGGCACCATAGGCCTGGTTTTCCTTCAGCGTGACCTCCCATCATGGGTTTATCTCTTCATCCTTCTCCCATCATCTATTGGACAGGGATTCCAATTCCCAGGAACATTCATGGCGATATTGGCTGCATCTCCTCAAGCCGAGCAAGCTGTTGTGACATCTACACTCATGCTGTGGCGAAGTCTCGGCCAGGTACTTGGTGTTGCAAGTAGCTCACTTGTTGTTCAGAACGCTCTACTCCATTATCTCAAACAGTACGTCACAGGAGAAGGTCGTGATGAGGTCATTCGTCGCGTGAGAGAGTCAGTTGAGGAGGTGGCCAAGCTCGAGCCCAAGTACCGAGAACAGGTCATCGTGAGTTATGAAGCCGCACTGCGACTCACATTCATCACTTGTGCCGTGTTTGCATTTACCTCTGTGGTGATGATCTGGCCGATCAAGCTTCCCCGTCTTGGTGTGAGAAAGCACAAATAAACTCAAAAACATATATCAAGTGAAGACAAAAGGAGGAACGGAAAAGATAGTAAGTATACAAGCGTAATGCCTAGCGGACAGATTGTTAGATTAGACCCAGATATGCTAGCCTCGATTGAGCCCCTATTTATACACCATGAATAACACATCAATTAATGAACCCCGTTAACTCCAGATGCCATGAGCGCGTCCAGCTCTTCCTTTGCATTCCTATAACTCTCCTGTGCTTCTCTCTCCCGTCGATTAATGAAACCGACTTCCTCACGTAGAGCGCTTAGTCGTCGCTCGATAGCCACGTCCTCTGAGATAGCCAGCGTCTTGAAACCAGCCAGGGCGACGCGTGCCTTCTCCAAAGCCTCGGAAGCATCGCCCATCTTATCACGAAGCATCTTCTGTCGCTTCTGATAACCACCGAGATGAAGTGATAGCTTCTTCTCTAGCTTAGCGCCTGCTTCAGCAGAAGCCATGATGGAGTCTTGAACAGCCTGAATAACAGTTAGTATAAAGGTTCACTTATGCAACTCATCAAAACTTACATCAAATGCAACCTTCATGACCGCCCCTTGCTCTTCCTCGTCATCATTGTAACAGCCCAGACCGAGGAGTAGCGAGCTGCTTGCTCGTGCTTCGAATGCTGTCTGGATATCCTCGAACTTAGGAAGGGGTTTCGTTTCGGACAAGATCAATAGACGTGCCTCCGCGAGAGCATCGTCGTCGATTTGTTGGAGAGGCTTAGGGGCGCCACTGACTTCGCCACCAGGGACAGGATATTTCATCGCATCATTCGCCATCAGGTTCGCTGACTCCTTAGCAATAAGAGACTCAGCAACATCTGGAATACTGGTAGCCTGTTTCAATAAACTGGGCAGATCGATATGAACCGGCCTGGGGAGGTTCTTCTGCATAACTTGAGTTCGCCTACGAAATTCGAGGGCTTCTTCGGCTGCTTGCCTCTCACGTGCTCGACGGTCCCGCTCTGCAGCATCTTCCTCAGTCATCTCATCAACTTGCATAGACTCCTTCTCTTCCTCGGGTATATCGAACTCCCATTCCGTATCTTTTGGTTTGGGAAGAGAAGCCAGACCTGACTTGAGCTGAGTGCGCAAAGCCATATCTCTCATCCTGATGTCTCTGGGTGTAACCGAAACCATCGACATTCCCCCGTCTTGATTCAACGATAGGGTGTCTCTGGGTGTTCTCATCGGCGTTTGTCCAGGTCGACCAGGCGTGGCCCCCACGCCATCTGCCCGTAGAGGGGTGGCCATTGGGTTTGGCGTAGAAATGGTCTGCTTTCGAGGAGCGATGCCATCGAAACCAGTCGAGGCTGCGCCTTCATGAAGCGGGGTGTTCTCACCACCGAGAAGGACAGAATTTGTGTCGTTGAGCGCTCGAATATTTCGGATTTCGTTGGCAATGTGATCTTCTTGTTCAGGTGCTTTTGGTGTTCGAATAGGGGTAGCGGAGTTCAGAGTAGAATATGTGTTGACAAGTCCTCGAGTAGCGTCGTTCTCACTCTCCTTTGCCCTCAAATTGGCGGCCTCACCCATCCTACCCATCTTGACGATATCCTCCAACTCGCCCTCGCTGACTTGGGGAGCGGGCAGAACCAGGCCACGACGCTTACTGCTCTGCTCTGCCTCTCGGATCTTCTGTAGCTGACCAGCCTTCAGAGCAGCCTTGTATGATTCCGACGCCCCATCCTTATCGGTCTTCTTTCGCTTCCGGTCGTTGTCATCCTCGCCCTCACCCTTGCGCTTGTTGGCCAGCTGTTGTTTCCGGGGATCGAAAGCTGCGCGTTGCGCCTCATTCTGCACCATTTCCTCTGATGTGTCGTAGAAGCCAGGGAGCGCTTTTCTCTCGAAAGGAATATCGGCGTTGTAATCCATCTCGCCCTTTTTCCTGGTTGTGACCTTGATATTAATTCCAGCTGTCTTAAGCTCTCGTCTCTTCTGCAGAGCCGCAAGACGGCGCGACTCCTCTTGTTGACGCTCTCGAGCCTTTCTCTTGGCCTTTTTACCCTGCGTATTGGCCAAACGAGCTCGAGCCTCACTCAACATCTCCTTTTCGTCCTCGTCGAGATCGATGGTGTCGGGTCGCGCAGGCTTCGTCTCAGGATCGGGATCTAACTCGCCGGGTCGGAGTCTTCGAACATCATCGGCGCTGGGGGCTTGTGTTTCGCCTCCATCTGGGCCCATCAGCCCAAGGCTGGACGATTCCTTCGCTTCGGCTTCATCGAGGAGCTTCTGGTATCGTTCGAGACACTGGTTTGCTGTTCGGCCAACAATAGGAGCGATTGTGCGCCACTGAGTGGGCATAATCTTGGCGAGATGGAGAAGTCTTTCATCTTCCTCCTTGCTCCATTCGATCTTTTTGATGCTTGGGTCGAGCCATTCGTTCCATCTGGCTTTGCACTGCTTGGGAGTCTTGCGCGCCAGCAGCGATGAGACACGCGCCCATTGATTCAGACCATACTTGGAGACGGAGGCCTTAAGGATTTCATCCTCAATGTTGGTCCAAACGCCTCCTTTGACGACGGGCATCGCGGCGGTGTTTGCTGGGGGCGCTTTTGATAACGGTTGAATATGATGGAGCCTGGACTAAGCTGCGAAACACGCTTCTTGAAAATATCCAAGTTCCATCTACAGCGCGCAATTGTTGCTGACTCAGTCAGATTGGGGTTATGATTGGATGAGTGTCAAGCACTCGAAGCCCCACAGTTGCGAAGCAACGCCAGCTGCAGAGCCATGCAAGGGGAGGCAATAAAACACTACTTATGTACTATGTAGTCTATGTATGACCTTGATCCTGAATGGTACAAATACTTAGGTAAATTATTACAAGCTTACCGGGCTCTTGGACGAGGCATTTTGGTAAGGTCTGAAGCTTCCTTGTTACCTGAGGTCATGTCATTCAGGCCACCAGCCGTTAAGTTAAGTCGAGGAGAGAAGCCTCATTTGGTAAGAAGGAACAAAGTTTGAAGGCTCGAAAGACTCCTATCATCTTTCTTTCATTCGTCACGCGTGACCTTGATGGGGTCATCAGGGCGTGTATAAATTCCATCATGCCTCCTTATGTGTCGGCCATTTTATATTCCTCAGCATCACATAAAAGAATGCCAAACACGACTTTGACAGGTCGATCCTTTGAGCACAAATAGCCAAAGTGACACCTTACTCATGGGAATTCTTGCTTGACTGACATGTCTACTAACAACTGCGACGCATTCCTGCATCAATGTCCGGCAAACATCAACGAGCGAATCGGTGGCATGAAGAAGCGAGTTGCGCCCCTACTGGATTTGTCACTTCTATCAGGTCACCGATGACGAGCGAACAGCTAGATGCTTACATCATGGGCTTTCGCATAGCTGAAATCACGGATCAGCTTCGCACAAACGACCTCAATCATACGAGCGGGACTTCAACTCGGTGCTTATCGCCTACACCAGAATATGATAATGCGGGCAGGCGAACCAACAGCCGCAAGCAACGATATCGTAAACAGCTGGAACGAGAGAGAGAGAGCAACTGGTGCAGGCTGCTTTGAAGACAATACCAGCTTACCGACCACCATATGATTACCGTTGGAAGAGAGAGACGTTTACCGACAAAATCTACCTACCTGTTGCTGACTTCCCCTATGTGCCTTTCATTGGGCAAATTCTGTGGCCCCGTGGCAGCAGCTTGAAAGCTATCAACGATCAGTCGGGAGCTAACGTCGTCACTCGTGGGAAAGGCAACAGGGACTCGCCGAGCCACTGCCAACGATTGCAGAGAACCCCTTCATTATTTGATCACTGCGGACTCACCATTCAAAGTCGACCAAGCCAAAAGGGCCATTCAAGACGTGATTGAAACAGCCACTACGACACCGGATCGCGACAATAAGAGGAAGACCGAACAGCTCCGTTCTCTAGCGATAATGAATGGCACCTTTTGCGACTATGAGAGGTCAAAAGAAAACATGTTGGAATTGACTGACAGCAGCGAAAACCATAAAAAAACCAGGACTTGGCCATGTGCAGTTTGGATCCAAGTCAAGCACAGGTTCAGGACTAGACGCTCACCTGGACGAAGAATACCAGCGATTGATGTCCGAGATCTAGGGGGTATAACCAACAAGTTTGAAGCCCCTGAGCTTTCTTTGCACTAATAAACTATAAGGAAATATGAATATGGCAATCTTGGGGGTTCTAAGCCACCTTGTTGTATGTGTGGTATCATGCTATTAAAGTCAACTTTGACATCAGATGCTCATGAAGAGGTCCTGAAAGGTACAGAGTCCGAGATAAAGCAATAAGCAAGCTAATCGTTAACTATAATAGTAGACGTAGCAGGTTTGTAGGAATACTCGGTCATCGATTCAAGCAGATTTATAATATGATCTTATTCCATACCGCGCGCTTGTTTCCTGTTGATCCCGGACTTTGCGGAGTCGGTTGGATCAAAACCCGAAACCCGATGCGATTCGGTGCCACACTTTCAGGAATCAGGAGCAGTAGCCTATCAAATCAAGCCAGCGCGAGACCATGAGCCACGCCAGCACCCATGATAGCTGTTAGCTTATCAGATACTGCCAGATCCCAGCCTGCACGGTATGCATAGGACGCAGGGAATGCGTCATTCATTTATCTATCTCGACAAAGGTGCCAGAGAAGCAAATCTGGCATGAATCGAGTGATGCCGTGATGGGCCCGACAATGGCACCAGCATAACGTGATTGAGTATCAGAATCACCAAGGCATTAACGTATATAGACGACAGCAACTCAGAGACTGACAACTGTAAAAGGAAAAGCCCCATGGCTTATCAGGTCTTAAAACGATCGTGTTTCGTCTGGCTTTGGGACAATTGGCATGGCCCAACGTGGATAGCATGGATGTTGGACTCCACAACACCATCCTAGCACTTGGACTCATCATGTATCCGCAAGAGAGCTCCCCAAATGCGCCTAGATCATACATTATTAATCCTCCACAGATCCCTTCTTCGTCACACTTATCTCATGCCAGTTGCAAGCGACACAACCCTCTCGCTTGTTTTGACTTTTGAGACATGCAAAAACTAGTCCTTGTTATCCTTTCAAAGACTCGTCCATCTCTCGATTCCTCCTTGGCCATGCCCCAGAAACATCGTGATTGAATACAGGCTTCACTGGCCATCACTTTGCGGCGCGCGGCACTTCACTGTATCCGACCCGAACCGACGAAACTTGACCCGCTTGCGCGCTAGGAAACCATGGCGAAGAATGCTAGTATTCACGAGGAGGAGACAGCGATCGTAGACGAAGCAACACATTTGCTGCCCACCAGCTCCGAATCTCGCGATGCAGGTAGTGAAACATCCTCTACAACTCCCGCTTGGGATGCCTTCAAGGATTTTGAAGGCCTACCCTGGTGGCGGCAACCATCGGTATGCGCTTAGACGTTGTTAAAAACCATATTGTTCAGCTCTGACCTTGCTTGCAGGTTTATTGGCTGCTTGGTCCATATATCATATTTACCCTTGCCTTTGGAGGTGTAATGGTTCCTAAACTTGACCTGTAAGTTTCCGTTGTTCGCGATGTATAGAATTTCTTTGCTTACCAGTGTATGCGATAAGGATCCTTCAGCTCGTTTGCAGGCAGTATTTCGCAGATGAACACAGCCGTAATCCAGATGCAGTCTTCCAGCCTGTTCTTCTTGGGTCTGAAACTCCCCAATGCGATATTCCCGAAGTGCAAGCAAACGTGGCAAAATTCATGCTGGTCATGAATTTGTTCACTGGAATTCTAAGTGCTATAGTCGCGCCGAAAATCGGCCATTTATCTGATCGATATGGTCGTACACGACTTATGGCTCTAGCTTCTGTAGGTGGAATCTTGGCCGAGTTCATCACTATCCTGGTCGCCAGATATCCGGACGTCGTTGACTATCGCTGGCTGCTTCTAGGGAGTGTCTTCGATGGTATGACAGGATCCTTCACTACGGGAAGTATTATGACACAGTCTTACACAAGTGACTGCACCCCTCCTTCAAGGCGCGCCGTGTCTATGGGTTATGTGCATGCGTGCTTGTTCACGGGACTTGCATTTGGTCCTCTCCTTGCGGGCTTCTTCGTCAAGTGGACTGGTAGTTTACTATCTATTTTCTATGTTGTCATGGGATGTCACATTGGTTTTATGCTTTTTGTTTGGCTTGTTGTGCCCGAGTCATTGTCTCAAAGGAAACAATTGGCAGCGCGGGAGAAGTACGAAAAGGACAAGGAGCTGCAATCGCCTGTCTCTTCATCATGGGTGAATACCCTTCGAACTGCAAACCCCTTCGCTCCTCTCAAAGCTCTCTACCCTACTGGACCGGGCACGTCGCCGGCTCTTCGTCGAAATTTGATTGCCCTTGCTATCAACGACACCATCATCCTTGGAGCAAGCATGTCTGCAGGTGCTGTCATTGTTCTCTACTGCGGACGGACATACCACTGGGACCTTTTAGAAAAGTCCGGGTTTGTGTCTCTTCTCTCACTTGTTCGCGTCGTGGTCCTTATGGGAATATACCCTGTTATCAACTACTTTGGCCGCATCCGCCCAGCAGCTCGTCGTCGTCGTGAGTCGGGTGTGGCTGCCGTCGAAAAGAACAGTGGAGCAGACGAGCTCGACGTACTGATCCTGAGAATCGCTTTGATTTCAGATGTTATTGGGTCTCTTGGATATGTATTTGCCCGTTCATCGCGAGTGTTTGTCGCCAGCGGCATGATGACCGCTGTCGGAGGTCTTGGGAGTGCAACTGGGCAAGCTATGATCACCAAACATGTACCCTCTGAAAGAGTTGGCCAGTTACTCGGAGCAATCGGCATGATGCATGCTCTTGCGCGAGTGTTGGGACCAGTCTTGTTTAATGGAGTGTATGCCCTTACGGTTGGACGATTCAACCAGGGTATTTTTGTCCTGCTGGCAAGCGTATTTGGATTCGCTCTTGTGGTAAGCTTTGCTATAAGGCCACACGGTAAGTCAAAACTCACTTTATAATCTGACTCTGAGACTAATGAATTGTAGTCGTGTGGGAAGATGAGCCTGAAGATGAGCGACAGCCTCTCAATCAGACAGAGGAGGCTTTCGCAGTTCCAGACGGACAAGTTCCTCTAGATGAGGAAGATCAAGTCAGATTCTAAGAAATACCCGGCTCTTCAGTAGAAACGATTTTCTTTTGTTGGTTTTATGTTACAGTACAAAGGTGCACAGGTCACCGTGATTGGTAACTCTTGTACAATAGTATCAGGCAACACTTTGGAGCATTTGGCCGTAGAATATACACGAAGCAACTCACGAATTGACCATTAAAAACTCCTCAACAATGATGTTAAACACTCTTCGGCTGAGATATGCTGGAGATCTCCGCCAAAAGGCTCAGTGTTAGACAATTGGCGCAAAAGATGTGGGTCCCATTTGAGTTCTCACAGGGGAACAGAGCTCACTCATGACATCAGATCACCACCTTTAAACGACGTGTTTTATACACAACGAAGGAGTCGAAACTCAGGCAACGCCCTCTCCTCATTTCATTATAGACCAATTACTCCCGCCAACTGATCAGAATTCCAAGAGAGCCACCGTAATAGCAGAAAAGGGTCCTCTACCGATTGGAGTATGCTTGCATCTAGAGCTTGGGCAACTGCAAAGAGTCGTTCAGTGAGAAACATCATGACTGCAGCCGGAGCCGCCGGACGAATTATCAAATTTGGGCCCTTTGAGGTCACTAATCAGGTGAGGAACCATGTTGAGCCTCGATGTCAAGCTCAGATCCGAGCTGGCTCTTATCATTAGTAGATACTGACAACTCTCCAGGTCTTCCTCACCACACCGCACTCTTTCGCGCTGGTGAATCTCAAACCTCTGATTCAAGGCCATGTTCTCGTCTGTCCACATAACCCGCATAAACGTCTAACAGACCTGACGTCCACTGAGATCTCGGATCTCTTCACAACAGTGCAGCTTACCCAGCGTCTGCTTGCACGTGCTTACTTCCGCACCCCCGAACCCGAGGCCGGAAGCTTCTCAGTCGCTGTGCAAGACGGAGCTGACGCGGGGCAGACGGTACCACATGTTCACGTCCACGTTGTTCCGCGAACGGCTGGGGACATGGGAAGCCCGGATGCCGTGTATGTTAAGCTTGCGGGAGAGGAGGGTAATGTTGGTGGTGCGTTATGGGATAAGGAGATGGGCGCCCGGCCGAAGCCGGGTGGAGGGTTGAGGAGAGTCGATGATGAGGATCGAAAAGCAAGAAGTGTTGAGGCGATGGCTGAGGAGGCGGAACGGTATAAGGCTATTCTGAAGGAGATGGGCATTGAATAGTGGTAGCAAGGCATTGTTTGCAGATTATAGAAGTCGGGCTACATATGCGATAGACGTAATTTTGAAACAAACTCGTGAGTGTCATAAAATATTCATAATATTGATCTCCGAGCTTTTCACTAGTATAGAATGCGATCGCTTACTTGGTTGCATAACAGTATCTGTTGTGATATGGCTCTCATAAACTAGAAACAATGGATCTACGTGAGAACTAAGAGCTGATGAAGCTTTTCCCGAAGTCCAAGAAAAAGAGGCGATAGTTACGTGGCTTCTGAATGGATGCACAATAAACGCGAGCGTGCCTGAGAATGCAATGTATCACAGAGAGAACAACAACATGTGGACGTTGAGCTTCGAAACACGGAGAGTACGCGTATGCTTCTATGTTACAAGGCAAAAAACTCACGCCGGCACCGTTTATTGGCTACAGTATAATTGAATATTCCGTGTCTAACGCCACGATTGATGTTGAACAATGACTTATCCCCATTCGCCACCCTAGACTATCACGACTGGAATGCCAATATTTGAGTTCCAGAACTTACAGCACAGAGTTCACAGCCACCCTTTCACGACCCTTTTTAGCTAGATCCGGGGGGCGTCAACGTTTGATCTGACTTTAAGCATCTAGATGGCACAGTAACGTCTTCTTGGTCAGCTACATCTCCAATGGGGCTGGAGAAAGAATGAGGGGTTCAATCAGTTGCAAGTGGTCCAGCCGGTAAGGCAGTTGAAGAATTCCAAGTTAGACTAGTGGTAGACACATCTTGCATATGAGTTCAGGCAAGCTTGAGAAGATGCATGCCATATGTAGCACGCATCTGAAGCTGCTGATGTGCCACTTCAACATGGGAATCCCATACGCTAGCTAACCGAACAGCTTATGATAATGTGAGGCTTGCAGCCGGGCTACGATATGCGATCGCCCGGTGTGTTCACAACGCTTGGGCATCTGATCTTATGTTATAGACGGATCGGAGGTTAGAGAATATAGGACCTCGATCCCAAGTAATGAACAGCATAGTTCAGTCTACAATAAACTAAGAGACTTTGTCAAATCATCCCAAGATCGGCGGCCTAGGTCCTTAGTCTTGTTGGGTGAGGGCTGGAGGTGCTCATGTGATGGAATAGAGTAAAATGAGGCTTTTCGGGATAGTTTCCACAGTGGCTCCCAGCTCAAAACACGCTAATGCTGTTGTTTTCGCTCACTTGGAAGACTGGCAACATACCCTGGGATATATCCCCACATTACATTACAAGTCAGTTTCCCTGTGCGGGGATTGCCAGCATTTGCTCGCCTATCCGCAATTAAACGAGGCCTGGACCTCAAGTTTTGGCTTGGTAGCTTAACCTGGTCTGGTAGTTGCGGATCATCGGGATAGCTTGGAAAGAGTCCTGTGGTCGTTACAGTCAAAAGTGCCAGGCTGGCAACACGAGTCGCGCTTGGGTCGGTGAGCGAGCCGATGGTCCGAAGAGATGCAAAGGTGATGGAACAACTGAGCCTCAATTCTATGACCAGTTGAAGACTTCGGACCGTTAATGTGAAGATCCTAGTCCGGTTTAATCCTTCAATCAGCAGTCTCACATAAAGATCAGCCTGAAAGCCGCTCTCTCTCATCCTCGACTCAGGTGTTGCCGTTGTCGCAGCCGTGTTCATGGTGTGTCGTTGAAATAGTCCCACCTTGACTGGTGGAGTCGGCGCAGAGGACAAGGCGGGAACTAGCGCAAGCAGTTTTTAGCCGCTTCGTTTGATGCATACGCTGAGATGCGGTGGGTAATTAGTGCAGGAAGCCCTAGACGACAGTGGGCCCAGACAGGTCTTTGCAATGCGTAGCGCAAAGAGACGAAGAGGAATCTCTTGGAGAGCACGGGGCCAAGTTCAAGAGAGCCATAGACCACGCGATCTAATTCATACTTCCCCCGCATTGAGAATGCTAAAGCGTCTGGTCACCAGAATCTCCCTCTTTTCCTTTGGTAGTCCAGTTCATGCCTTGCATGTGAGTGAGGGTTGGTAGGGTCACCAAAAGGCGGTGGACGTTGACTGCTGCAACTGTATGGTGGCTGGGTCTCATTGCTCGCACTACCACAAGAGCCTAGAGGTAAGCTGGTGACTCGGCACGGAGCACTATCGGCGATTGACCAAAGTGCAAATTGCATGAAACCATGACTGCAGCGCAGGCAGCGCAGTGTGCTTGGGATGCAGGTCAACAGCTGGTGGGTTGCACAACGACAGGCCAGACGCTGGTGATCTGCGAGATAAGCAAAGACACTCAATTTAGGTTGCCCAAGGAAATGACCTTTGTGGATGCATGTGAATCGACAGTCAAGCCATGAAAGACCAAAGAGCACAAGTCATGTATCATTTCATCGAATGACATACAATTGAAGGTCAGATGGGGAAAATGACGATGTTTGACAAAGGGGAATTGAATTACTCGGCCATCGAGATGGAGGCCAGAAAGGGTGTGTTGTGGACGGGACGAGGGAGGCCAGAAGATGGAGGGGTGTCAGTCCTGGCCGTAAAGTTTCCGAGGAATCTCACAGAGACCAGAGTCTCAGATGGAACCAGCAGCGGGCGTAGGCGCACAGACTCCCACCACCAGCCAAGCAATGCAAGCACCAAGTCAAGAGACGCCAGCGCCAAACCCAACTCGCAAAAGTCGCACGTTGCAGCAACATCACCTTTTCCGCTTTCAATTGACCTGCAGCCATCTAATCTCTCTGCTTTAGCCTCAAGGTCCCCTTATCCGCTCAATGGATGCACCCGGTTCTCGGGATGTTTTTTTCCCCTCAGGGTCGCTTTTGTTGACATGTGTCCTTCCACGTCGTTTGTTTTGAGCGTTGTTTAGCGCGCCACTGACAAGATAGTCAACAGTCAATGATGTCGGGAGGTGGTGAATTATTGCTTTTGTCGTATTCTCGAATCTGAAACCTGATCTGCCACTGACGTTGTTGAGCCGCATCCTTTTCCAAGGTTCGTATCTCCCTTTACAGAGATGCTAGAGCTTGAATCCACCAGTAGCGGAGCTTGGCCGGTATTACGCAGGGTTGCGGTCGCAAGGACCTTGTTCGCGGTTGAGTTGCATGGAACCATCTGGATTCCTGGGATCTCCTCAAGTCCGTGAGAGTGAAGAGATGATGAAATGGATACACAGTCACCAACACAGCATACAAACAAAACTTTTGCGAGTATGTTGACAATGAATATCATACATTTTGTCAGGATATGAAGTGGTGTTGAGATGTTGATCGATTTTCTTTCTCATCGTTGGAGCTATCATTGACTTAAACACCTGGATCTACATATTGCGTGGCTGATTCAAGCCAAGACATGGCTTGAGTCGTTACGCGGCGCTTAAGTTGATGTTACGAAAAGAACGATTCAAAACCAGGGACGCTCTTGCGTAGTCGCTCAATGCCCGGTCATCGGCTCCGATGGAAATGAACAAACGAATGCAATGCAACGAAACGACCAGAAGAGAGAATTTTCAATTCCAGGGTGGCGGGTCTAAACAAAAGACACAGCCAATCATTACATACGCTCAAATCTCAGATACCGGATAAAGTCATACGCTAGAAGGAAGCTCTGGCCTCAATGGCATCCTAGGGGTGGCCCACCGGCAATCGACATGCATGCGACGTTGAGGATGGAACCTTGACACAGACCACCATCGGTCAAGCCGCCCAATCAAGTGACATATTTCCGTTAGCTGCATGCAGAATCCAGGACGCTCCCGAGAGTTCCCCTCCATCATCTTGTGAGACCAAGACACACTTGCCACGGACTTGAGTGAAGCAACACCAGCGCCAACGCCAACGACTCCATCGGTCCCGTCTAACGATGGCCCCATTCACTCTCTGTGTCCAAGTGACCACCTGCCGACAGTCCGGAAATTTGTCTGCGATAGTCCGTGGAGCAGTGTCTTCCTGTATCACGAGACACTTCATGCCTGCAGTCAACAGTGGCAGGAGAAGAGGATGAAAGGTGTGGCTATCTGGCTGAGTCTCGGACCAGAGATGCATGCATATGTATGTATGTGAACCGATATCAGGGAGGCAAGAAGGTGTAGTGTTTCAATGCCATATCCTCGCGGCAGTGGACGGAAACACCAGAAACACCCAATTGCCCGTAGATGATCCAGAGTCTCTTATCTCTGACACCTGACACCAAGACGACAAAGAGGTGAAGGAAGATCAGGCAAACTTTGTCTCACTCTGGCCGCCCCCGGTGTTATTCTACCGTCCAGTTTTTCTTCTCTGGGCCTTGTCGTATGCAACTGTTGGTTCAAATTTCCTGATGGTGTATGCAACTCCCAGCAACAAGGACAAGCTTAGCGACCGCCCCACATGCTGCAAACGAAGCTTCGACTGTTCCACTGCAAGCAAAAGCCAGGTTCTTTTTTCTCCGCCGAGTAAGTTGACGGGACCTTATCGGCCAGGGAGAGCGAGCGAGCAAGCGAAGCGTCTGGGCTTGTTCCAAGGTTGAAGTTGGCCTTTGATTGCGATTTCGGTCTCCACAAAAAGGTATCGCTGCACTTACACGGGCTGCTCTTCTTCTCCTTCTCCTCCAACTTGCGCTTGCACTTTGCTTGACTGACTTTTGGTAGAAATATCTCATCTCCCACCCTCTTTCCTTTCCTTCGTGATTGAACTCTTCTACCTGTCTAACTAACTTTTCATATCCAAAGTTTGAATCACTTCCCATCTCCAGTCTGGGCTCTTGTTCTTCCATCTTAACTGTTGTGATTCTGCTATTGCTGATTTCCTTGTGAAATCCCGTACTAACTGGCTCTCCAAATTCTCCAACAAGACAGCCACTTCCATCCCAAAGGGCCGCGATAACCACCCCTCTGCCTTTTCCAAATATCCCTTCCGTGGAATCGTCGCTTTGCTTATTTCCCACCCAATTTGGGATCAAGGCGGCGATTGTTTTTTCACAAGCTCAACAACTTGCCCTTCTTTCCATCCAGGCCGTGATCCATCACAAGAATTACCATGGGTATGCTTCGCACTGGTCCTCGTGACCCAGATGCATTCCCGGCCATGCAGCTCTTCCTTCTGGGTAAGATCAGATATTGCACCTTAGTAACGCGTGCTAACTCTAAATAAGCCATTGTTCGACTCGCTGAGCCTATCGCTTTAACATCCATCTTCCCATACGCCTGGGCCCTTGTCAAAAGCTTCGAAATAGGCCGCGAAGAAGATGCTTCATTCTACTCTGGCATCCTTATATCCGCCTTTTCTCTTGCTGAAGCTGTTATGGGAACGTACTGGGGCGCCCTGTCCGATCGTATCGGCCGCAAGCCCGTTTTGATTATTGGATCTCTAGGTACAATGATCAGCATGTTGATGGTAGGAGTGGCTCCAAGCTTCGGTGTTGCCTTGTTTGGCCGTCTCCTCGGTGGTCTGCTGAACGGTAATATTGGTGTTATCCAAACCATGGTTGGGGAGCTGGTCACCAAACCTGAGCATGAGCGTAAGTCTGCAGACCATTGCTCGAATTCCAACGACTGATCAATATCCTAGCACGTGCATACTCCATCATGCCTTTTGTCTGGAGCATTGGAACCATTGTTGGTCCCTCTATCGGTGGCATGTTTGCCAACCCCCATGACTCTTGGCCTGAATCTTTTCCGATCGGCAGCCTCTTCCAGAGACAACCTTACTTGCTGCCCAACATCATCTGCGCAGGATTGCTGCTTGTGAGCATTGTGCTCGGTTTCCTCCTCCTTGAGGAAACCCATCCCGACATGGTCCATCACGCTCCTACCAGTGAATACCACGTCAGCGAGGAGACCCCCCTCATGATGAACAACCGAATGGCCACCGAGATTGAGCCACAAGCCTATGGTGCGATAGAGACAACCGAGGATTCAACCGATGGCTCAATTGGGGACTGGGATACTCTCTGTATCGAAAACGAGAAGACAGCTGCAGCTCCCATCAAGATCTGGAATTGCCGTGTTGTTGGCTTTATTGTCGCCTTGTCAATCTTCACTTACCATTCCATGACCTTCGACCACTTGCTGCCCATCTTCTTCGAAGACAGCCGTGTTGATGCTGTGGAGATGTTCAAGCATGGCTCTATCTTTCCTTTCTACTCGCCTGGTGGCTTGGGCATGACTCCACGAGATGTTGGTGTGATTTTGGCCGTCGACGGCGGCATCGCTCTGTTTATCCAGGTTTTCGTCTTCCCCTGGACTGTCAAGATGCTTGGAACCTATCGCCTTTTCCTGCTCGTTACTGTCCTCCACCCTATTGTTTACGTGCTGATGCCCATGCTCCTCCTTGTCCCTGAGAGCCTTTTATACCCCGCTATCTATGGCTGTCTCATCATCCGCAACATTCTCTCCATTATACTATATCCTCTTCTTATGATCCTCATCAAGGAGGCTACACCAGCCCCAAGCGCTCTTGGAAAAGTGAACGGCTTGGCAGCAAGTGCTGGTGCTGCTTGCCGAATGATTGCTTCACCGGTCGCTGGATTCTTGTGGACGGTCGGTACCAAATCAGATTGCTCTGCCTTGGCCTGGTATGGTAGCGCTATTGTCGCTATTTTGGGAGCCGTTCAGTGCTTCTCTGTTCCTCGCCGGCGCAATGAGGAGCCTTATGAGGAAACCTCCAAGGCACCCAACAAACAGACTGTTACAGTGACCGAGACTGAGTTTTATGACTCGCCATGAGGAGCACGCGGCGCAGTTTGAAACCCGATCAGGTCGAACATGCCGAAGCGACTTCGCGGGTTTTGCAACCCGTTTTTAGACTTTGATTGCCTGCAGCAAGTCACACTGTTTTATACCCTCATGAGTTGGGAGTTCAAACATGTTTTGATAATTTGCCTATAAAAACGACTGGTAGATGGGATGGTGTTTATCACGGCCGCTTTTACGAAGTTATGTATACCCCAGGTATAATGATTGATTTGGTTTGGGGTGACTTTTTTACTTTTTGGAGTTTGGCTTGATTATTGAAGAAAAAAGCTTTGATGCGGAGTTTATTTGTTCTTGAATTGGGTTTACGGTTGAAGATGGGATTTGGTATATAAGTTAGATAAAAGTGAGGTAAATAGGAATAGAAGTAATTACAAATATGACCACTCCCATCTAAGTGGTTTAATGAATGAATGCTTTAAATTGCCGCCAATGGACCAAGGCCTGTCTTTCTCATTGAATTTATGTATTGGCTACCTACCTATGTTCAGTTGTTCGTGCGATAGTCAGTGGCCCCTCTCGAATAGGCAAGAAACCTTAGGATCTCTATCCTAAGTGATAGAAAGACTTACATGAGTTTAGGTATATCTTAGCAGGCCTTGAGATTAGTTAATTCTGGTATCCTGAGTATTAGAAAGTTTTTTTCCCCCCTCACGGGGTCCCTCTATATGAATCCTGAGTCGTGATAGTTAAGGTAGCCGATGCCCAATAGAATTTTCGCCGCCCACCCAAAAGTTGGAGAAACTCAAATTTTAGCAATCGAGTCACTCTGAATCCACCCACCAATGACATCTGAAGCATAAGACTCACCACAACAGTCCTGACTTGAAGACAACAGTGGCGGATTCATCTGCTCTAAAAGGCAAAAATGAAAATCGAGGAGATAACCGACAAGCTGGACGAGGCCATGAAGCTGGAGCAGGCCTCACCACAGCCAAATACCAGTGCCACAGAGGCCACCAAACCTGAGCTGCCCCCAGCTCATGCCATCGCCAGCGGAAAGACTGTTGACGAAGTATGGGAAGATCTAAACAAGTCGCCCCTTTTCATGACAGACCTTGATGCCAATGAGGAAAATGAAGATATTGCCGCACTGCAGGCACTCGCGTATGAAGGCACACCTCTCGAAAATGGCCAGGAGTTCAAGGAGCGTGGAAACGAGTACTTCAAACTTAAGAGCTACGCCGATGCAAAGGAGTTTTACGGAAAGGGCATTGCTATTCTCGCTGGCGAAGAGCGCAAGCGCGCCAGAGGCGAGCAGACGAAAAATCAGGAGGGTGTAATCGACACTGAGGAGGAGATTCAGAAGCAGCGCGAGACTCTTGAAGCGCTCTATGTCAACCGGGCAGCGTGCCATCTCGCTGTTAAGAACTACCGCAGCTGCTGGCTTGATTGCGCTGCGGCGTTGCGCCTCAACCCGCGAAACATCAAGGCATACTTCCGCAGTGCACGAGCACTCCTTGCAGTGGATCGTATCCAGGAGGCCGATGATGTTTGTGCGCGCGGTCTTTCGTTAGACGAAAACAATGCTTCGTTGCGTGCTGTAGCGGACGATATCATTAAGCGAGCTAAAGAGATCGACGCGCGACGAAAGAGGGACGCAGAGCGCGAAGCAAAGGAGAAGCGGCGTGCACTTCTCATCAAAGCCGCACTACGAGCGAGGAATATTCCCACACGCACAACCTCCCAACCACCAGAGATGGAAGACGCGGGCATTGCGCTCCTCCCAGATCCTGATGATCCCCGCAGCACGCTTGCGTTCCCAACAGTACTGCTGTACCCTCTGCACCTGGAGTCTGATTTCATCAAGGCGTTTGAGGAAACACATTCGCTCGAGGATCATCTGAGCTATATCTTCCCTCTGCCGTGGGACAAGGAGGGTGTGTACACAACAGTAGGCGTGGAGGCGTTTGTGGAAACCACACAGGGCGGTCTACTCAAGATGGGCAAGCGGGTGCCGCTGCTGAAGGTTCTGGGAACGGGTAAGGTTGAGGTGGTGGACGAGGTGGTGAGGATCTTTATCGTTCCTAAGGATAAGGCAGAGGCATGGACAAAGGAGCACAAGGCAAAGAGAGCGGCTGAAAAGGGAGAGACAAGCTGATGGATGTAAGAAAGAATATAAGTTACTTTGTTTTACAATGATGTTCGTGTACTAACTAAGACTTGCGATTGCTGTTTCCTAGGCCCTAAATGATGTGCTATATGCAGTTATGATATGATCGAGATGTCGCCAGATACTGGCGATTAAGTGATTGAGTGAAATCAAGTGTCCGAACTTTTCCATTCTATTCGCTGTTGATACTATAACCCCCAAAGACTCCTTTGTCGATAGAAACCCATTGCCCCCTTTCCTTTTCTGTCACAGTTACTTGGACAACGAAGTGGCTCGCAGTCTCTTATTACGATGTCCTTCCTCCAGCGCAGGCTGTAATTGGATGGGAGGCGGCGACTCGACGGCGTTGGGAGCAGAGGGCCCCTGGTCCTGCATCCTGAGGTTTAAGAGAAGAATAGCTGCGTCCTTCTGGGCCGCATCAGGTACGCTTTGTGGCGTCTTGATCACTCGTTGCCTCATAGCGCTGGCCTCAGGGGTCGAAACCATGAGAATAGATCTCGGGCTCATGGCGGGACTAGCACTCTCTCTGTAATAGCTGTCCCAGTCGTCGTAGTCCAGTCGTCTCTTAGGTCCCCATGGAGCAGACGAGAGAGCGCCTTCATTCTGAAAAGGTGGGATGCGAGGGACCGCACTGAGCAAGGGATTAGGCTCAGGGCTAGACGGGTTTGCAACGGTCCAGCTGGATCCCGGACGAGAAGTCACCATATAGCCAGGAAGTCCCGAGCCGCTACTCGAGGCTGAGTTGGGAGCTGACATGTAATGGCGTTCGATGTCGCTATCCATGGCCCACGATGGATCACAGAACAGACGGGGTCGGAATCGATGACGGCGCTCTTCTTGGGCATAGATACCCGGTGGAATACTTCGATCGTCTCTCGGATAGCTCGTAGCGCCGTGGAAGCTAGGTGGGATCGTACTCATATGCATACGCCGAGCCATTTCGGCTTCATGGGTAGCTTCGATGATTATTTGCTGGCTGATGACCATGCGGCCGAAGTCAGGCGCGCTGGGATGAATGCAGAGAGACGGAAAGTCTGGGCCAAAGATTGGAATCAAGGCCCCTGCGATAGAGTAACAGAAGGTTGCGCAGACAGCTCTGGCACATGTGTATGGCATCCAATAACCTGCGTAGACTGATGAGCAAACGACCAGAAGGCGCTGAGGGATGGAACATACCTTGAGCAGCTATAGAACCTCCAGTAATGCTATGTGTGATTTCTTTGAGCCCTGGATTGAGGCCCAACATCTTTGCCGGAATTGTCTATTCCATTGACAGTTAGTATATGTATGTGGAGGCTTGTTCTTTCACTTGCCTTTCCGTAGCCGCGACATTTGAAGAAAGGGGTCATGCGAACGAGCCCGACATTGTAGTCCCACATCACAGCGTACTCAGCGTTCTGTTCAGTCAAGGTGAACTCGTATTTGAAAACTGTTAGGCTTGCGTCAATAACTGGTGATCAACGTTAAACTTGATTACTTACCCTCGAAGCTCTCTCGTCCTGTCTTTTCGTAAAAGTCCTTTTTACCACTGTTGTATGGGATGTGAAGGCTTGAATCCTGGATATTCCCAAATGGCTTGACTCGGAATCGGAGTATCTCTTGCAAAGCAATCTCGTCGAGACGCTCGAAAGGGTGAAACTTGACTGGACCGCGCAGCTTCGACTTGGCCATGTTGTTGGCGTCTTTCGGCTCAGCTCTATCAGAAACCATCATAAAACGGTTCCCAGATTGATTTGATGCTTCTTCGAAATTCGGGATTGGTGGAAACTCGGGCGCAAGACTTGGTCGAGGAAAGGGGGAATCATTATCTCCAGCTGGTGCTGGGTTCAGGAGACCTTTAAGGGACAACATGATGGAAACCAGTAAAGTTTGCCAGAAATACCAGAAAGAGAAGTTTGAGAGGCGTAACGATGTTCGCGAGATGTAGGAGGCCAGAGATTTGGCCGTAAAGAGATGGCTAAACCAAGTGGTTTGGATAGCACAGCGGGCAGCGGCCGTGATATAACTACTTCTGGATTGCAGAGAAGGACAGACAGCCGCAACACTACAGCTGGGGGAAACTATTCGCCTTTCAAGTCACTCCTCAGCTTGACAAACAAGTCGGGGAAAGGCAAATATGCCTGCGTGTACCGAAATAGGCAGTGGTGAGGAACCGTAGCCTGAGCTGGCTCGGCCAGCAAAGTTGCTCGGGAACCTGCAACTCCAAAAAGTCGGTCACGCCTTGTTTAGGTCAGGCCGACACTCTTCGTTATGTTTTCTTTGTTCTTTCAGTTTCAATGCCGGCTTCCAAGGGGCTAGAGCTCCGTTGACGAGCTCCCACCGCCTGGTGCTAGCAGATACTAGGAACAGCCACCAAGTGATAGATGACGGAACGATGTCGGGGCAGGCTATTAATGATATAGTAAAAAGAAATTGGGCTCAGTTTGAAGCCTAGGGAGAAATGCAAGGATGATGTTTCCAGATGCTTTGATGAATGGGAACGTATTGTTGCGTTGTCCTACTGCTATGGTTTTGTTCATTCCCCTAGGAGATATGTTTGAGTCCAGAGTCCCGCTTTATCAAACAGCTCCTCTATAGCCTCTAGAATTCCCCTCCGCATTAGGAGGACCATAAGGCAGAAAGAACTGCAACAGGGGTGCGTATTAGAGCTGTTGGGTGTGGATAGGTCAGCCTTCACTCCGTGCCGTCCGTTACACTCCCGGAGACATCCTCTCTTTTGCTCTGAACTCGACAGGGCACCACACAATCTTGGCTTCGTCTAATCAATATTGCGGTTCGTCTCTCATTGATTGAATGGCTAAATCCCTGGTATAGTCTGGAGGCTGGAGATCGAGACTGAACTGTGAGCCGCGAAGGAGAACCAAGAATAACGAATTGGTTGTCTCGCCTTCTAAGACCGCCCCACGGGCTCAGTCAGAATGAAGTACAGGCGGATGCTTGCATACCACATCGTCCAGGACCTTCTACCCCAGTCTGTTTCCTGATATTTGTACAACAGGAGACAGCGGCCCTGCTGCCACTGAGGTTCTGTTGTTCATCTCAGCACTCCCTTAGAATTGCTCGAGTCGCCCCCACGTGTCAGTATGACAACTGACAGCTAGAAGGGACACGCTTCCTTACTGAGACGGCTTGCACATCAACATGGCCAACAGGCCTATCAGACGTGCCTCCTGTTTCTGCGGTCAATAGATATATGAGGTAGCAATGGTTTGTCAGGGATACGTTTCATGGGTCCTTCTATTCTGACCAAAGACCTGTGCATAGCCGTTGCATACTACACCAGTGGGAAGTTTCTGATGAGAGTTCGATGGCGCTTCCAGAAGTCAGTCTGTTAGATTTCCCCCTCATATGATCTATCGCAGTGAAGCCAGAAACGAACCTGTCATGTCTCTGACCTTTGTTACTCTCACGAGCTCTTAGGCGTACAGGCACAAGAAAATTCCCCGAAAGGGGACACAAGCCTATGCCAAATACGCTCGCCCCTCCTGCCCATGGAGTGGCCATCAACGCTTTGGCATTCATGTACCATTTGATTCAAGTTACGATTGCGCCAGTCTTGAGAGAGCCTGGAGGACCTGTTGGGCGTTGTGCCCTCCATATCGTCAACTAGCACAGTATGACTGCACCCCGATCTCTGGAGTACGATGTCAATGACCTGAGCCACCATAACTTTGCATGATCTATTCTACTCTTTTGTCATGAGTAGGCATAAGACTCCGGTCGAAGTCGATGACCTTTTGGCAATTATCACCGTCCCGCGAAATTCATGGCATCTGACGCGACCAGCCGACGGCTCGGGCAGCGACGCTCTTCCGGGGTCGGGTCTTCTGTCCACTTAATCGAAATGGCCAGTGATGGTCCTGTCACTGAATAGGGAGTAACCAGTCAACCAGGAGTTGTAGAAAGGGTAGAGGCAGGGCCCAGCAACGGGTTATGGCGTTTCTTGAGTGAACACTGTCTTGGTCTGCAGCATTTGGACATTTGAGGCACTGTCTGGGTATCTCGGTCTTCCTGATTCGGACAAAATGACATCCGTACCTAATTTTGAAAGATGAACATCATATTTGGCACCTTACCAAGCTTATCGGACCGAGCTCTGACGAATTTGGAAACGAATGATTGCCCACATCGGTATCAGAGTAATGAATTCCTTCCTGGTTCTCAAAGCTTGGTTTCAGATGATTGTACGATTTCGGAGCGGTATGACAGCGGCAGTCCATGGCGAGTTAGCGTTTCTTTTGCACCAGGCGCAGCCAAGGACACAAAACGGCTCCCTGCATCGAATTTCGGGCGGTGTCACCGTTCTTCCTCCCCCGTTGGTGTGGCATGAGTCTCGTTGCCCGCGTAAAATAGCTGTGTTGTGTAGAGAGGCAGTGCTTTTATGATTAGATTTGAGGACTTTAGATGTTTGATCGAATCCAGCCTCACAAGGTACGAAGGAATGAAATGCAGCACTGGCCATACCACACGGGTAGAAGCCAGAATCCTGGCTTTGAGCGTGGTGTAAAGACCATACCAGAATGTGGCCAGAATACCGACTTTCATATTTTCAGCGATGCTACACGATGGTCAACGAAGGTGCCCATCGAATGCTATAGCAGGCACAACAAGCTGTAAGCTAATCTGGCGGTGAGGTGACAGTCGATGTCTCGTTGAGTCCTCTGGTGGTGATACGATCCGCCTCAGTCAAGTTATTCTCGAATATGGTGAAACCAGGAGAATAAACAAGTGTTGTAGGCTCATCCCATGGAGACACACAGGCATCTGGCAGACACTTGCCCTCATCCTAAGTCGCACACTTTGACTCGGCCCGCTTAGCCCAGGCTGAGACCGGTGCATGTCTGACTTCGAGCTTGACAGGCTCTTTTCGGAGAATAAGCGACCGCGATACCACTAGAAGAGGCCCGGCCTCGGATGCTTTTCAAGTTGCCGCAATTTCTATGAGGAAAGCTCCTGTTCTGGGACATTTGTGGCACGTGTGGCACGAGCCGAAGCGTTAATCAAACGAGGAGAGTAATGGTTTGCTATCCTTTTATTTGTTCTGGAGATGTTTTCATTCCATCTTAATCAAAATAAGATCCTCTTTGGCCTGAAGAGGTCTTGAGCCGAAAGTAAGTTTGCATAAGGGGAGCCTTGAGTTCATCCCGTCTTTGAGCGAACCGGTGAGGCGAGGAGTATCGGGTTTGACAGAAACGAATTCATGTCTCCTCCTGAAACTCGACAGATTTTGCAGAGAGACTTTCTTTGTAAGGAAATCGAGTATCAAGAAATGTGTAAACAATCGGCAATTCAAAGCCATTACCTAAATACCTTGGTCAACCAGACGTCTCTTCCACTCACACCAGCTTACAACATCATGTGCCGGGTCACGAGGTCTGGCGTTTGGAAAGAGATGAGTTGGCCTGAGGCATTGATGCGCGGCCCCACGACGGGCGGGAGTGGGTCGCCAACGTCGCGTCCCTGTAAGATTTGTTTACAATAGGGACCCTTGATTGTCACAACAACATAATAAGGTAGGACTGTTTTAATTGTGGATGGGAAGTCTGGCACCTTTTGTTTCTTCATTTTTGTTATCGCGACTCTGTACGCGAGCATCACCACTCGCTCGACCTGGCCGCCCTTCATTCTTGACCCCACTGTCCTTGTTTTGTCCCTCATTGAGACCCTTGTATTCAAACTCATTGTCCTTAAATCCTGCACTGGCGCCCCAAGCCAGATTCTTTGCCCTCACTGCAAACAACAACAAGATGGATTCCGATGCGTCCATGTTCAGTCTTGGGGAGGAGTCAGATGGCTATGTCCCTGAAACCGTAAGTAATCCTTTCTTTTACCCCTCTTTTGTTGGCACAATAAATCGGTTTGCACATTGTGTGCCTATTTCTCTTCCTCCATTTGCCTACTTTGCCTGTCAGTCCGCATCGCATTCTTTCAATCCCTCTCTTCAGACTTATTTACATCAAACACCTTTCTCGCCGAACACTTGCGTATCTGCACTTTTGCACAAACATAACCTGACATTTCCTCAACAGAAGGCGAAACCCAAAGCCGCACCAAAGAAGGCTGCTGCGCGGCCGCCCGTCAAAAAGATGGTGCAAACAACCCTTAAAACGAAGAGCGCGCCCAGAAAGCGCCCAACACCGGAGAGCGATGACGATGATATAAGCATTGCCTCAGGTTTCTCAAACACACCTCCCAAAGCTAAGAAGCAAAAGAAGGAACCTGCAGTCAGCAAGTCTTCTGGTGCGCCCTTGGAGGAGCTTGAGAATGATAGCATGGTAATTGACAGCCCCGCCAAACCTGGCAAGAAGAAGACGGCCACCGAAATGTACACGAAGCTGTCACAACTAGAGCACATCCTCAAGCGACCTGATACATACATCGGTTCTGTTGAGAGAACGGAACAACAGATGTGGGTTCTGAACAAAGAGACCCAGTTGATGGAGTACAAGAACGTCAGCTTTGTCCCTGGTCTTTACAAGATTTTTGACGAAATCTTGGTCAACGCTGCCGACAACAAGCAGCGCGATGGCTCCATGACTTACATGAAGATCAATATCGATCGTGAGAACGGTGTGATCAGCGTCGAAAACAACGGAAAGGGTATTCCTATTGTTATTCACGAAAAGGAGAAGATCTACATTCCTGAGCTTATCTTCGGACATCTGTTGGCGGGTTCCAACTTCGACGACGACGAGAAGAAAACCGTTGGTGGTCGCAACGGTTACGGTGCCAAGCTGTGTAACGTCTTCAGCACTGAATTCAACCTTGAATGCCAAGACAGTGAGCACGGCAAGAGGTACAAACAGACCTGGAGAAACAACATGCAGACGATGGAGAAGGCCAAAATCACCAGCAGCAAAACCTCAGACTTCACCCGAGTAACCTTTAAGCCCGACTTCAAGCGTTTTGGTATGGAAGATGGCATCGATGATGATCTCGAGTCTCTCCTTCACCGTAGAGTTTACGACATGGTGGGCACGATCCGAGGAATCAAGGTTTTCCTTAACGGCGAGCAAATTAAGATCAAGGATTTCAAGGCCTACTGTGATCTCTATGCCAAGTCCATCGCCAAGGAGAGAAGCACAGAAGAGGGAGGCGCTCCGACCTGTACTGTTGAGATGGATAAGGACAAGTCGCATCCTCGATGGGAGGTTGGTTTCGCTGTTTCTGATGGTACTTTTCAACAAGTTTCCTTCGTCAACTCGATCGCCACAACAAGCGGAGGCACTCATGTCAACTACATCGCCGACCAGGTCACTGAAGCTCTTCTCAAGGCTTTGAACAAGAAGCGCAAGGGTCATGCTCTGAAGCAGAGTCACCTGAAGAATCATATCTTCATCTTTGTCAACTGTTACATCAACAATCCAGCTTTTACTTCGCAAACAAAGGAGCAGATGACTACCAAGCCGAGCCAGTTTGGTAGCAAATGCAAACTGGGTGAAGACTTCCTTAAGAAGATCGCAAAATCCGATGCCCTTCAAAATATCTTGGATTTTGCTGAGAAGAAGGCCGACAAGATGTTGGCCAAGGGTGATGGAAACAAACGAAGCCGAGTCAACAACGCAAAGCTCGTCGAAGCCAACTTTGCTGGCACCAGAAGAGGTCACGAATGCACTCTGATCTTGACAGAAGGTGACTCTGCCAAAGGTTTGGCAGTTTCTGGTCGTGCCATTCTCGACCCTGACCGCATTGGTGTTTTCCCGCTTCGTGGAAAGCTTCTTAATGTGCGAGACGCTTCAGTTGACCAAATTATGAAGAACGCTGAAATTCAGAACATTAAACAGTTCCTGGGTCTCAAGCACAAGCAGACGTACACGGACACGAAGAATCTTAGATATGGTCATTTGATGATCATGGCTGATCAGGATCACGACGGTAGTCATATCAAGGGACTTCTTATCAACTTCCTTCAGGTTCAATTTCCATCGCTTCTCAAAATCCCTGACTTCTTCCGAGAGTTCATCACACCTATTGTCAAAGTTTGGCAGGGTCCCAACCCCAAGAAGCCCCAGCGATTAAAGTCATTCTTCACACAGCCTGAATATGAGGAGTGGAAGGAAGATCACAAAAACGAACTCACTCGATGGCACTCCAAATACTTCAAGGGTCTGGGAACAAGCTCCAACGAAGACGCACAAGTCTATTTCACCAACCTCGATGACCACTTGAAGGAATTTGACACCATGAAGCCAGAGGAAGCTGACCTACTGGAGCTGGCTTTCTCCAAGAAGAAAGCAGATGCCAGAAAGGAGTGGCTTGGTAATTTCGTGCCGGGCACATACCTTGATCACTCAACCAAGTCAATCACGTATTCCGACTTTATCAATAGAGAACTTATTCTCTTCAGTATGGCTGATAACATGCGATCCATCCCGTCCGTGCTGGATGGCTTCAAGCCTGGTCAGCGTAAGGTCATATATGCCTGCTTCAAGAGAAACCTGGTCAAAGATAAGAAGGTCGTTGAATTGGCTGGTTATGTCTCTGAGCAGACTGCCTACCATCACGGTGAACAGTCTCTCCAACAGACTATCATTGGCCTGGCCCAGAACTTCGTCGGTTCAAACAACATCAACTGTCTGGAACCCAGTGGAAACTTCGGTTCTCGACTTGCCGGTGGATCTGATGCTGCCAGTCCTCGTTACACCTTCACTCGTCTGTCTCCATTCGCCCGCAAGATCTTCCACCCCATGGATGAGCCAAACTTGATGCATCATTATGAAGACGGCAAGAAAATCGAGCCAATGGTGTATGCTCCAATCATCCCCATGGTTCTGGTAAACGGTGCCGATGGCATTGGTACAGGTTGGAGCACTTCCATTCCCAACTATCACCCGATGGATATTGTCAAAAACCTGAAGCGTCGAATGGGTCGCTTGGACGATAACGATCTTGAGGAAAGGCCCTTCGAAACCATGATGCCCTGGTTCCGTGGCTGGAAGGGTACACCCGAAGTTGCTGGCCCTGACCGGTACAAGTTCAATGGTATTGCCTATCACAACGAACAGAAGGATAACGAAGTTGTCATCACCGAATTGCCTATTCGTATGTGGACCGACGATTTCAAGGGCAAACTGGAGAAGATTATCGCCGGTGTCGATGGCCCAGCTTGGATCAAGGATTACAAGGAATTCAACGATCACAGCACTGTTCACTTTGAGATCGCTGTGGATGATAAGCACATGGGCAAGGTCCTTGAAGAAGGCGTCCTCGAGCGCTTCAAGCTGACCAAGCAGGTCGCCACCTCCAATTTGGTTGCTTTCGATACCCGAGGCATGATTCGCAAGTACGAGAAGGTGGAGGATATCCTTGAGGAGTTCTATCTATACCGTCTCGACATGTATACTGACCGAAAAGTAAGTCCTGATCCGAATTTTAGACGACCCAGCTAACTCTCGCAGAAACATTGGTTAGGCGTATTCCATGCAGACTATCGCAAGCTCAAGAACCAAGCCCGATTCATCAAAGAAATCATAGATGGACAACTTGTGGTTGGCAAGAAGAAGAAGACCGTGCTGGTTCAAGAACTTCGAGATTGTGATTACGAGGCTTTCCCCCCTGGGGGTGAGAAGAAGAAGACCGCAGATGAAGAAGATGATGATGCCGATGAGAACCAGGACGTGGATGGTGATTTGGAGGGTGGTGCTCGCGACTATGACTACCTCCTCTCGGTGAGTACTTGTCGTCTTTGAATACGTTCAGTGAACTAACGTGTTGCAGATGCCCATCTGGTCCCTGACAGCTGAGCGTCTCGAGAAGCTCAAGCAAGCTATCGAGAAGAAGAAGGCTGAGCACGATGAACTCCTTGCCCTCAGTGAGAAGGATCTCTGGTGTCGCGACCTTGATGACTTCATGGCCGAATGGGAAACTCAGCTTGCAGTTGATGCTGAGATCAAGACGAGCATCCGACGCTTGGGCCGCCGCGTTTCTAAAAAGATAGGTGCTGGCACCGCTCGTGGCCGCAAAGTCAAGGATGACGACGAGTATGAGCCTGACAAGAAGGGCCGCGGAAGGCCAAAGGCTGCAGCGTCAAAGGCGACCGTTAAAACAGCGCCCAAGGTAGAGACCAAGAGTGCTCAGCGGTTTGCTGAGATGTTCAGCTCCAAGCCAAAGGTCAAGAAGGAACCCAGTGCTGATGTTATGGAGCTGTCGGATCTTTCTGACGATGACTACGCCGCTCTCAGCCGCAGCAAATCATCCGCACCTGCGATCAAGACCTCCCAGTCACCTCCAACTGAGGCACCGGAGAATCCACGGGTCAAACGAGCGGCGGCATCCAAGGTCAAGACAATTATCGATGATGACTCCGAGAGTGACGATGATCAGATGCTTGGTGATGTTGGCGCCTTGGTCAAGGGCATCGATAAGCCAGCTGGTGACCGCGAAAGGGGCAGGTTTAGTCTACATGCCATGAGCCGGCCAGACTCTAGCCAGGGCAACGCCAGCGTGAGCGGACTTTCCAAGTCGAGGCCCAAATCAGCCAAGGCTTTCGACTTTGATGACGACAGTCCTGACGATACCAACTATGAGCTTCTCGCCAAGTCGTCGCCACACAAGACGGCCACCAAGGATGATCATATAGACAGCTTCCTTTCTGACGATGAGCCTTTTGTTGCTCCATCCAAGTCAGCTGCGACCAAGTCTAAGCCTACCAGCACGGACTCCGAAGACCCAACACCGGCCGGTCTTGCTACTGTGAAGAAGGGTCGTGGTCGTCCCGCTGGCGCGAAGAGCAAAGAGCCAGCGAAGCCAAAGGCTGCTCCAAAAGCAACCAAGACAGCTGCATCAAAGGTTGCTTCGCGTCCAGCAACTAAACAGACCACTCTATCGCCAGCAGCAAAGGCTTACGCTGCCAAAAAGGCTGTCAAGAAATCTGTCCTCGACGACGATTCAGATGAGGATATGGCTGACCCAGACTCGCCCCCTCCTAAGGCTTCCTCAAGAGTGAGACCAGGACGTGCCGCTGCTTCGAGACGACCGATCGTTGTTGACGACGACTCATCGGTCATGCAGCAAGATGATGAGAGTGACGACCCTTTCGAGGTCGACGATGATGAGGATTAGACTATTCGAGCTGTAATTGAGCCCATGAAAGGAACGGAGTACTGGTTGTTCTAGAACCACCGCAGCCAGGTTCTTTGCTGTAATTTCTTGTTGCTGAGTAGAAACATTGTGTGGTAACCACTTCAAGCGAAGGGCATATTGATGGAGAGGGAGGTTTGGAGTCTGGGCGTCAACGGATGTGAGGCATTTGCTATCTGGGGCCTCGGCGTGGTTTTTACTCGATATCCGCATATGAATAGCATTTCACTTTCTTCATGTTAGCTTGTACATGTCTGATGATCCCTGTCCCATTTCAATCAAGTTGAAGCGAGCTCCAGAAGCGTGCTTATCGATAAGAGCTTGAGGTTAGCGCGGGGTTCTCATCAAAGAATCCAAGGGTCTCGTCTAGATTTATCATCCCCTACATTCGCCCCTCGTTATTTACTTCAATAAACTTCACATCACAGCAAATTATATTTATCATGTCTTCAGAAGAACCCCAATCTCTGCGCTCTCTCTACGAAGCCGCTGAAGAAAAGCGCCACGCTTTAGACAACGCCTTCGAGGCAACTTCGCCCGCCTACCGCTCCGATCTCGAGGCTGCACTATCCCTCTACTCTTCTGCGCGCGACCAAATCTCAGCTCTTGCCCTTTTCTCCTCCAACGAAGGACTTGAGGACGTTTCTACATCGGATCTCCCTTATCTCCTTCTCGACGCTCACGTTGCGGAGCTCATACAAAAAACCCCCAATCAAAGCCCTGACCAACGCCTTGAGGTCCTCTCAAAGTCTCGCGCCGCCTACGAGCGCTTCCTCGCCACTGTCGACAGCTATGCCCTAGTGCCTAAGCCTTACGATCGCGTACTCGAGCGATATCGCGACGATCCTGAGAGGTTTGCTGTTGTTGCTAGTAATGATGCTGCGGCGCGACGAGATGGCAAGATTGCGAATTATCGCGCTGAGAAAGCGCTAAAAGAGAAGTTGGAAATGTTGAGACGGAATCCACGATACCTGGACGATGGCGATGAGGAGCTTGTGCGGGAGCTTTACCTGACGCAAATCACTTTCGCGGTGCATTCTGCGCTTCAGGCGTTAGACTCATTAAACCGTGAGGTGGAGATTCTTGCGCAGGCACCTCGACCGCTTGCGCCTTCAGCTACAAATGCGCCATCTCCCGAAGATCACTCTTCCCGACTTGATCAGCCTCTACGACGTCTACACTCTCTCCAAGCTGGTCCGCTACTGTCTAAACAAGGCAAACCTTTGCAGCCATTTACGCTGCTTGGTTCACGGGATCAAATGTCACGAGATGTGTTTCGCTCAGGGCACAACTTGCCGACCATGTCCATCGATGAGTATCTCGAGGAAGAGAGGAGACAAGGAAATATTCTCCAGGGTGGTGTGGAACCGAAGAAGGTGGTGGATGAGGACGATATGGACGCTATAGATCGTGAAACGTACAAGCAGCGCGAGTGGGATGAGTTCGTTGATCATAATCCCAAGGGAGCAGGAAATACTCTCAATAGAGGTTGATCTGTGTTGGAAATATCGTGCAGATGTTTGGCGTTTAGGTACATGCATAGCAGGAAATGGAAAATACTAGTACATGGAACGACACGATATATGAGCACTCACAAGAGCTATTGACCATTTCACTCAAGACTAAAAGCCAGTGATAGTAGCTATGCCTCCCAATCTATATGCTCAAGTTATTTCAGAGACATGTATTCCCATTCGTAGGAGAGTGCTCAATTTTTGGATTCTGGTGCCGTTACCCCGTTATCGTGTTCCAAAAATCATCATTAGACAACCGTATCATCACTATCATCAGAGTCCCACATGCAGGCATCATCATCACTGTCATCTCTGTTTGAGCTCCAGGCTTCGATTACTGATGCTGACTCGGAATCGGTTGTCTCGACTGTCATGTTGACCGCTTCACCCATTGTCTGATGGTCCGCGGGCATGGCGTATCTGGCGTTCGTGAACTCAACATCAGACTCGCCAAGGGTAAAAGAAGACTCCGACGCAATGAGTCTGTCTTGGGTCATCGAAGCAGCAGACGTACTTCCCCAGACTCGTAGCGCATCCATGTCCTCAATGATGGAACCACAGACACTCGAAGGGGTTGAAATTGTGTAACCTGTATGGAAGCCAGGTCCAGGGCCATTAGGTGCTACCAGCAAGTCTGCTGAGGGAATTGCATCCCCAAATACGCCTCCACTTCCGTCATCATTACCTCCACACCACAGAGGAAGGTATTTGAGTTCGTTTTCGGTGAGTGTGAGGAGTAAATGGCGGGTCAGGTTGAGAGGAGGCCAGAAATTTTCTCGTCTCCACGAAAGAGTTAGCGGCCTCAGTCGATCTTTCACAGCAGCTTCGAGGGCATTTAGTGATACAATAGGCCCATGTGAGGAACGCATACCCATTTCTGGGAATTCGCGGTCTCCGAGTGCAAGAATACGGCTCCATAACAGATTGTTGAATAGCCTCGGCGTACATGCAAGAAAGTCGTGGAGGGCAATTGTTGCCTCTTGCACTAGGCTGGTGTATGATTTATGCTTGTGCCCATCCAGTTTGCATCTGCTGTGATTCCATCTTCGATTATCCAGTTCAACACCGAGATCATTGTAGGGCACAGCACAGAGTAGCATCTGAATTGGATTAAAGTCCATCATTATGAAAGTCATCTTGTCAAAATCCTTGGGTTCCACGTATGTCAGGCGGTCTCGATCTATTCCGTTGTATGTTGAAAAGCCATCCACTGGTGCTGAGTCTATCGCGTCTTCCCATGCGTGCGTAAATTCGTGAGTCAGGGCACTCATGAGAAGACGAAGCTTTTTCAAAGCAATTTGACTAAGGTGTGTGTTTTCCTGTTCGAGGAGCTGCTCAGTTACTTGCAGCTTGGCCCACTCGTCGATGTCCCATGAACCGAACAAATTTGGGTTACTGTAGGTCGTGTTGATGTCTGATACTCTGTCGACGAGCGCTTGTGCCCCATGCTGCACAATGTTGCTGAGTTCATCGGGAAGTTGGCCCAGTCGTCTCCCAAATATCGTCGTCTGGCTGTGGGCATTATGTTTTGTTGGGTTGGTGTCAGCCAGTTTAAGAGCGAGCTCGTTGACGAGGATCCTGAAAGCAGAGTCCATTACAGGAGGAATCTTGAGCAGAGACCCAATTTGCAAGGCTTCCTCGGGCAAGACCTCGATGAAAGCAGTGTTCTGGCCGTGCATTATCCATTGAGTAACACGATCGGTAAGCATGGAGCTGCATTCGAAGAGGCAACTCAACTTCAAGATGGTGAACAGTCTCGGAGCTGAATCCAGGATACATCCTTTGCCTTCAATCAACATGAGCAGCCTCACGATGCCATTTCGGTGGCGAATTGGGCAATAATCAGGAATATGCCGATATAGAGGTGTCTCGTACGCATCTTCATTCGTGGCTTTCATCTGCAGAGCACGCTCTGGGTCAAGCTTTAGTTGTTTCAGCCTGTAGCCGGTAGGTGTGTTCCCCTCAATGGGTGTTGCGCTGTCATGCTCGGCGTTTGCATCGACATCTTTGTTGTTTTCTGTGCCTTTCGGCTGTCTGTTGCACTTACAAATATCATCATGGCCTATTCTGCGTGTCAGATGATGCGCTACAAGCTGGATACGATTACTGACCACAAACTAAGAATGGATCAACGCCATTAAGAATATATGAGCTCCACCATTTAATAATCCCAGGAGTTAAAGATAGCTCGGTCATCTGGAACACCAACTCATCTCCTTCCGAGGGTGGAGTCAGATCAAGCAAATACTTGATACCGTCGGGTAGTTTGTTGACCATCTTACGACGGCGTTGGATTTTGAATTGGTATGTAGGGCCAAGAAGTTCGGCGAATTTGGGAGAACCAGTCTCGAGCAGCTTGCTCGAGTGAACTTGAAACTTCTGTGACTTATAGACTATGCCATTGCAGTCGGTATAGTCGAGAACGCCTCTATGATGGACAGGATAGTCGATAAATACAAGAGTGTCCCCCTGGTTGAGTTCGAAGGACACCATGTGCAGTCGATAGAGTTCAAACAGCCGAGTCTGCTCGACATCCTTTTCTGGTAGAAGGTTCGGCACATGGCTACTGTAGAAATTGCTTGCTTTGTTGAAGTAAGGACCCGTCCAGCTTGATAGAGGGGCTGGTGTGGGTGATAGTTCTTCGAGGGCCGTGTCAACATTTATATCAAGATGTTGATAATTATATTGAGACTGAGACTGCGGTTGGGGTTCACTTTGCTGAGCGGTTTGAGTGCTATGTTGAGGTTCATGGTTGTTTTGATTAACCAGATCATCCCAGGCAACATGTGCTTGTTCGATCTGCCAGTCATTCGGGATATCCATTGTTGTTAAAGAAACGTGGCTCACGCCAACAATTCGAGAAAGTTCAGTACGGTTAATCTCTAGATCAGTTGATATAAGAGAGCAGAGGCAGTTGGAAGACTCGGTTATAGAAAATTAAAAGGTATAGATATGGTTTGGCGTCAAGAATCGCAGGCAGCCAACCCAGAAGCTGTGTCGGCAGGGTGGATCGCGCAGGTTATGTAGGCCAGACAAGGTTGGGTAAGACAGAAACAATATACGCAAAGAAATAGATATGCAATTGGTCAAAGAGATGTTGATGCTCTGGTTTGTTTGTTGATAGAAAGAAGGAAATAGATGAATGTAAGATGAAGAGTTGTGAGAGAGGAAAGCATCGGGCTGACGGTGGAAAGCGGCAGGTAGCAAGTTTCAATACAGCCCTATGAAAGTACCTGCACATGCCTGTGCATGCCAATGAAATACCTCCATTTTTACCCCTCCATAACCAAGAGCTGATGCCTGAGTGTGGATGTTTGTCGGAGGGGTGGTTGCCTTGAGGCTGCCATGCGATCCAATGATCCAGTGCATTAGGTGTGGCAGCTCAGCCTCCTATACTTACATTTACAGTACTCCGGGTGACACTAAGACTGGAGACCTTCAAACGTTAGGACGAGACAACGACTCTTCCGTTTGTGAGTCAACAAGCAAAACACCACTCAACTGGCATTGTTAGGCAAGGATCATGCAGGACAAGTATTGACTCAACAGCTACGTCTTTATCGTATAAGGAAACCTGGAGGATGCAAGCATCAACACCAATGCAGCTTGGTCTTCCCAGCCTGGAATTATGCACGTGTGACCATTCAAGTCTTGCCTGATCTTCTCATAAGTGGCGATAAACAAACGTAGGCAAAAATAACAACAAATTAGACTATTGGATATCAAAACGGGCACCAGTGCGAACGCTAGCGAAAAGAAACCTCCGGTGTTAGTGCTTTTCCTTTTCCAATCTCAACTTTAGGGTAGTATTACTGGAAGCGTTCTACGAGACTAAATAATAAGTAGGTAGATAAGTGCATGGTCGCCCCAGCACCTAGTTACTACTCGGTAACCTACATATGTTGAATATCGTAACTCTTGCCCTTGTTGAAGAAAGTTTCTTTGACAAGTCCACTTTATTTGATGAGTGACAAACTTCCCCGCAGGACCTTCTAACGTCCCCTGGCAATCTATTTTGGCAAGGAAGTAGACGACATCTGGAATGCTCTACTCACTAGATTACGAGATCGAGGTGAGTTTCATCGACTTCTTCTGTCAGATTTTTACCTCATCTTGCATGAGACTCCTTTGCCCTCGTTATTTCTCTTCAGTATGTGCTTCTAACAGAACTAAGCCCAGTAATTCCGGAGAGACTAAAGATACTTGCGTAACAACCGCATTCTCGACCATTAATTCGAGCACAAAATGCATTCTATTCATACAGCGGTCAAGTTACCGTCTAATTGCCACCTCATTACAGAGTACTCCTATCTTATGCATTCATTACCGTATCGAACCACAAAGCTATGCCCAAACGCCACCTATGCTTTACAATGAGCCCCCTTTCTTGAACAGACTGTCATCAGTCTCTGCCTCATCGTCGGACTCATACACTACCTCCTTGCCCTTCCCCTTGTAATCCCACATACCAGGCTTCTCCTCCTTAAGGCTTCTTCGGCTGACGGGTCGCTTAGACGCAACTTTGCGTTGACTGTTGTCGATATGGTACTTTCTTAAGCGGTCTCGTCCAGCCACCTCAATCATCGGCGCCATATTTGCCTCATCTCCCGAGTTACGCCGCGTTGTAGGGACCGTTGAAGAATTCTTCAAATCCCGCATCTCCTTGATCACATCCGCAAAGCTTTCCTCCAGTGTTTTCATTCTAGCCAACACCAGCCTTCCCATTCTGTCGCGGTCGCCAGAGTCGTTACCACCGCCTGCCCGCAACCGATTGTCCTTCATGAAAGTTGCAAGTTGTGTCTGGAAGCTGCCAGGCATCGCACCAATATGGTCTCCCACAACTTGATCAGACATCGCACTCAGATCAACCGAGGACAACCTTCTAATGTCCTTAGGACGATTTCGTGGCTCAATGCTTAGAAGGGCTGATCGACTAACAGCACCAGCCTCGGTCATACCTCGTGGTGGCATCACTGGTCGAGGTTTCGTGTTGGCGACGTACATAGAGCGGCGAGGTGAACTGCGTCTTGGTGTCTTTTCACCAGTGGTTATGCGCCCACTAGTTCGTGGACGTGACTGGCCAGGCAGCGGTGGCGATATCGACGACGCCCTCTGCATTTGCTTGACATCCTGAGGGTTGAAGAGTATCGTATTTGTAGAAAGTGTTCGGTTGTGTGCTCCTCGTTTGGGTCGGGGTGTCTGAGATACATTCTTGCCAGAGGAGCTCCTCTTCCCAGAAGAACTCACAGAGGATGCCAGCTTTCCGAAGTTATTGGCATTGGGTGCAAAGTAGCTTTCCGCTTCCTCGTGAATTCCACGACTTATAGCAGCTTGACTCTGCCCAGCATTCGTAACATGATCATCCTCATCCTCATCATTTGTCACCAGTTCGTCATCGCCATCAGCATCAGTCTGGTCTTTGTATTCGGATAAATCCGCAGTCAGACGAGTCCTGGAGAAATGTGACGGCCGGAATGGGTTTCCCACGTTAGACATCCTATCAGCAGGATCACTCGCCGTCGATCTAACGTCCGAAACACGCCTAAGATTAGTAGTACGAGCAAGACCGACGCTGGATCTTCGCTGCCAAGGAGGCATAGCACCATCAGGCGTTTGCCAATTCCCTGGCGATGCATCATTATCGTCGTGTTGATCCATCCAGTTACGAATCGCTGTCTGCGTCTTCCGCCTCTCTTGACGTCTTTGTGTCCTCAATGTTAGGGGATCAGGTAAGCGCCGGAACACCTCCTCGAGGGCCCGGTCTTTTTGAAAGCCAGCCACGGATTCCTCGCGAACCCTAATGCTTGGACTAAAAATGGCTGCTCTGCTTACAGGATCCATGAAAGAGATGTGCCGACTTCGCTCCCGAACTGGGTGTTCCACCAAGTCAGTTGCCTCGTACATAGACGGGGCAAGCCAGTATCTCTCGTATAGGTAGATGCAGAACAGCACGGGAAAGTGCGTCACCTTGATGACAGTCCTGTTCAGCCACACGAAGGTTCTCAACGGCATGCAATATCGTAGAGGCATAAGAAGCCACGCGAAAATATTGCTAGGGGCAATATACGAGAACAGTGCGTCATTCTTCACCATAGATATGGTGTTGATAGCGAACAAATACCTTGAACACGATTAGAGCGGACCTATTATGCAGATAGGGGCACTTACTGGTGCTCTTCATTGGCATTGGACGCAATAGCCATGAATGAATTCGTGAGAACGGTGATGAGAATTGTCCTGAACTGTTTAGCAAACAAAGAGTAATCGTGCCGTGAGAACTTACACAACAAGGAAATGGCAAATACTCAGGAAGAGAACCAACAAGGCTCGTCCTAACCAATTGTACGCATCCCATCTGTATGCTATTAACCTCAGTTCGTTTCATATTTGCAAGCATACTTACACTTCCCATGCTGCAGGAGTGAATCCCATCAGGATCTGAAAGATCTTATAAGCAACATCACTCGCACCGAATGAGTTCTTTGTCAAAGAGAAAAACACGAAGAACCCGCTACAGAGTACCAAGATCAACGTGAAAACGGCCACCAAGTCCACAGCCATAAGACGAAATGCAATAAGAAGTTGCGAGAAGTATTGGTAGTGATCCAAGATGCTGAAAATACGCGGGAGGAGCAGAATCGCATTGGCCGCCAGTATATCATAAGCATTGTCGTAGATGTGGTGAGAGTCGGCCAGGAAAACGCCATATGCTCGCATGCAGTAGTATACAATGAGCAACAGCAGTATTCCGAGGTCAAAAACATTCCACACGTTCAAGATGTACAGCGCGAACCCTTGCTCGTTGAATCCAACGAGCTCGTCAAGCATGAAGCCGGCACTCCAGAACCAAAAAATCAGTTCCAGACCTGTGATTTGAACCGAACGTTCAGCGAGAACAGCAAGAAACAATCCGATCAGAACAGCGAGAGATATTGTCGAAAGAAAAGATCTGTATCGAGGAACCCGAAGGCGGGAAAGTTTGAGGAGAGACGCTTGTCGAGGATCGTAGAGCGACGCCGTACGACGCCCTGGTGGGGCGAAACGCGTTTCTTTCTGAGCAATTGCACCAAGTAGGGGAGTTCTATCGGTCGCTTTTCCAATATATCCATTCGAGTTAAGGCCTGCGGCTGGTGGAGGTTCCCGATGTAAGCTATCGGCAGACGAGTGGAAAGTAATCGCACCGCTCCAGATAGCTTCGAGTTGTTGGACGACAAGGGGATGAGCAAGTAAGTGCTTGGCTGAGGCTCGAATGGCGACCTCGAGAGTTGACGTTCGGGACGCTATCAGAGGCAGCTTGTTGGCCGGCGGTGATTTTCGAGGAGATGTAGGTGCTTGAGATCCGGGGAGGCCTTGAAGTGGGTAAAAGTCATAGGCGAGGGCATCGATCAACTCGCGGACATTGTACTCTTTGAGTAGCTTGAGAGTCAGCAATTCGCAAACCTTGGCACGAGTGCTACTGATTCCTGCATTGCCTGGGTAGCGTTCACCCTCTTTGGTGAATTGGAGACAGTTGATCATGAGAGCATACAGAGTTGCGCGGCTGAAATGCTGGGCACGAATCTGTTGCTGCATAGGCTTGACGAGGAATTGAGAAACCTGAGGTGATCGAAGTTGATCCCATGACAGAGTCGTTTCAGTGCGTGTCGATACAATAATTCGGATGGCGTGTGTTATGCTGTATACTGGCAAAGAATCTGTTAATTAAGGTTAGAATGACCTGTACCAAAACTTGATATCTTGTGATTCCAATATCTTGAGCGTACCTAAATGAGATGCCGAGAACAGAGGAAGAACAGGAAGGCCGCCGCGTCGTCCGTCTTCGCCAGGCCTGTCTTCCTCCTCCCCTTCGTCATCTTCGTCCTCTTCTTCATCTCCATCATTATTCGTACGGCGGTCATTACTCCGAAACCGGCTCAATCCCTCATCATGAGTATCATCACCGTCGTCGTCGTCGGCTTCTGTAAAATCGGCCGTTGCGTGTCGTTCAAGAGTATAACGCCGCCGAGCAGGACCAGGAGAAGGAGAGAAACTTGTGTTTCGGCGGCGATCGATTCGACGGGGACCAGCCCTGGGGCGTCGTAGTAGGGAGGAGAACATCTGTTGGTGTTTTTGATCTTTTGGGAGCAAGCTTTCCGCCTTGCTTGGGGTTGTCTCAACGCGCCATGGAGGGGAAGTAGCGCGAAGTTCAGAGCTTGGTGTTTATCGAACGAACGTAGTGAGAGTAGAACTCAGTAAAGAGTGTGTGGGAGACTAGATATGATAATCCAACAACAGAGCCCGTTGCCGGAGTCGAATTTTGCAATCTTGGTAGGAAGAAGAGGGTGTAGGAGCGAGATGTTCCCTACCGTACGTAGCTGGGGTCCAACGACACCCTTCAAGGCTCGGGGCGCTGTCGCTACTGAACCTTGGGAGGCAGACGACGCTAAAGCAGGCGAGAATCACGTACCTATTCGCTTACTCCGCTGCTAATAGATACATGAGAGAGGGCCCCTGGACAGGCTAGATTTTAGCGTCGTCAGGATCGTGAGGGTGTAACGCCAGTGGACAAGGTTCTATTCAGAGGGATGTCTAGGGTCCACCGAACGGTTGACTTACATGCACTATGAGAGGATGAAAACCAAGGAAATTTAATGGCTTGTGGGACTTGAAGACCATGTGAGAGTTGGAGCTTTCGTAGTGGCCGAAAGACTTTCGCAAAGGAGAGGCTTCTTCTAGGAAAGATGTTGGATATTGGGAGTCTGAAGCAAAAGCGTGCCCACATCCGTTGCTCTTCAAGTGATGAGGTTGTATGAGGATCACTGTTGTTGTGCAATAGATATTCCAACGTATAAACAATGGAACGGCAGACTAACGTGATTGGAGGTGGGTCATCAAATTAGCCATGGCCCTGTTAGACTAACAATTCCTGCATCTGCAGGACAGTCAGTTCTGTTCTGACTCGCAGTTTGATGGACCAGAGTACAGGGTGGGTGAGGAATTGGAGATGTTAATTGAGATAATGGATGTGAAGACGGGCACCAGCTGATGAGAGGCTGGTTAACATTGAATATGCTATGCTGTTTATTCACTGATTTCCTTCTATAACAACTTCGACCGTGAAGGCGAGTTCCATTCCTCGTCTTGTTGTCAATGTAGTCGCAATAAGCAATATCCTTGCTTGACTCCTTGTTTTTTTGTTGATCCACACTCATTCGCAAGTAAGCAGCCCTGAAGACCCGACCAGACGTCTCACTTGTGCCCTGGTCCACTCCCTCTGCGACAGAAAATCAAGACCGATCCCATGATCAGCAACTAGACATTCGATTTTGAATCGCTCGGTCATGAACCGGTATGCACTGCGACAATGTTTGTATCTTATCTGCACTGGATTTGTGTGTCTGACAAGAACAAGATCAAACCAACGGCATTTCCCAGCTTGGACTTGCAAGTCGGCCTCAGCTTTTGAAGCATTGCCATCTCGATGAGATTACAGATCTAGTTAGATCGCTCCGGACCATGATAATCGCGAGCACAGACGATCCGGGGTGAAGAGTAGACCACCCAATTACCCCCTCGCGATAGCTTCGTTTCGCTATCGCGATCCCACTACCCGAGCACCAAGCCAAAGTACCTCGACATGTGCCGCAGATCTCGCCTGAATGTCCCCATGTTCATGCTTGCTGCCGGGTAAGCAACTTCTTTGCAACACGGAGGCTCTTCCGCTCCATTTGACCTGCAGAACCACCCCGGCTTCATGCTTGAGTGTTATGTATGTATGTGTGAGCTCATCGTTCCAACAGGCAATCACTGCTTAACATGAGCTTCAAGGTGATCTTGATAGGTCAGCCCACGCGTTGTGAGCAGACGTAATGCAGACTGTAACATTGTAGGGTGGTATGGATGCGGCCACAAGTGAATGTAGTGTAGATTCCCCCACGTCCATTGCTTCACCGCCGCACCGGATGTGTGCGGGGATGATTTTCGTACGAGAAATTGGCTCCCTTATATCCTCACCTGATCGATCATATCTTCCTCATTCGGCTATGAGTGTTTCGATCACATTGGCAATGCAGTCTGGAACATGGTCTCGTATGCAAGCCACACCGCTGCTGTAAACAATGAATGCATTCCACCAAACGACTGAGGTTGGTTTCCCGGAGATTTTGTATTACTAGGATTTGACAACCAAGTAGTTACGACGAAATAAGCTTCTCAATAAAAATACCGGCAGGGAAGTAATTTTAAGCTGATATCTCCACAATGATATTCGCTTGAATTTTTAAAGTGAACTTTCAGTTGAGCCGCAACGGCTTTCAATGACTCTGCTGAGAACGGAGGTTGTGTGTGTAATTGTCTTACCAGGTTTTGCTCTTTGCGGACAAACGGGATATTGGATATGGTGCTACAAGATGACAGAACACCCCACTTGGGACAAAACGAAATACGTAGGACCGTAAACAATAATTTACTGTCTCCGGACCGTGGGTGACACAACAAGAGCTGAAAGACTCTCAGCCACCCATGAGGTTCCCATAGGACATTTCCCTCGAGCACTCGTATCTGTCCTGTTCTCAAGAATTCATGCACAGGATATAACTAGCATAATGCTTGTTATGCTCTATACTTAATAAAAGTATAATAATTGCCTTATTAGGTGATTTAATGAACGGTTATCCCTTCGTTACAACCGTTGACGCCCACCAAAGAAAATGGTAATGTTGCTTGTTTCGTTTTATGACTCTTTCTCTACGGAATGATTCGATTATGAAACGTCTATCAGTTATAGCACCAATTTCGATCGATCATAGATAGGATAAAAGGGTTGCCTACAGCTGCTTTTGGAGCTTAGAGATATCATGTCGACAGAAACGTCTATCACTACTATTATTCAGATATACCATATCCCTCCTTTTTGCAAACCGAAGAAATCTTATGAGCAACTAAACTGACGAAACATGACTTACAGAACTACATTGGTGCGACATTAAAATCTGGGGTTAGATGGATTGTTCTGACTTGAGACATCGGCAAGGACCAACTGCAAATGCGGTCCAGGATAAAAGGAGCAATACTTGAGACATCACGCAAACAACTTGTTGTTGATGTTTTCGGGACCTGCCAAGTATTCACGCTTTCGTGACAATAGAACCCATAATGTTCGTTGGTTCATGTTGTTATTGCTATATTATAAATGGTGTTTCCCCTTTTCTTAGGTCTGTTACGAGCATGCCCGTTGTCCATGTGCCCATCATAGATATTGAGGTCCATCATGTTCACCGTCTTGTCTCCCAGCTATGACAAATAACCTGCAGCCTCGGCCAGTCTACCTTCACAAATACGCACATTAGGAAAAATGAGCACTGCATCAACCTTCAAAGGACTAGTAAAGTCCACCTATTACAAGTCACCTGCAACAGCGGATCTTCAACCAGCTTACAAACATGATATATCTGAACAAGGCCGCACTATTGAAGACGATCGCCCAGCTGAAGAAGAACCATTGGAGTGCTTGGTCTATTATCTCTTTTCACATTCCATCTTTCGGCCGGCTCGAAAGCCACTGATCCGCTACCTTCGGGACCAAGCCACCATCAAGCCTATTCGCCAGAGTCCGTCGCTTGAGATCATCACCGACCTACCTTCAATGCTCTTCGGAAGCCTTCCGTTGTTGATATCGATATGGGCATTGACTAGCTACTGTTGGATCCCTTTATGCGGACTGATGATATGGGAGCGTACGGGCTCTGATGTCGTATATGAATGCCTGTCATGGATCTTAAAAGGGTTTGGGACTGTGGTGAATGTTATGGGGAGAACATATGAGGGCATCACTACGATAAAAACTTCTGCAGTTATATCAAACGGAGCTCGACGGGTTTTGCAGTGGGTAGACGAACAGATGGATGACGATGAAGCGCTCGGGAGTCTTTTATATCCCCATTGTGGGACCTCCTAGCACAGCAATGGTCAGAATACGATAAAAGAAATGGCATATGATACCAGTTAGATAAAGAGTATATTGTCGACGTAATGATAGGATGAAGAATATGTGCATACAGAGCTTGCCACCGAATAGCTTCGGACACTTATCATGAAGACAGCATATTGATCCCGAATAAGTAATTCACTTGACAAGATGCTAACATGACCACAGGAAAATATGCTGAAGATCGTTAGCATCTTGAGGTTGGGCTGTCTATGATGGTAAGAGGCGTTTGGCACAGCAATGTTTACAAAGCTTGGATCTTGACACAACATGATAAGTGGATAAAATTCGGTGTCAAGCTCCAGAATGGCCGCGACTATGCCTCGACCCATTCCTGGCAACAGAGCGGCCTGTCCCTAGCGAACGAGATCGGTTAAAGTTAAAAGAACCACGAACTTTGATCGTGACAGATGAGGAACGATGATCTAATCTACTAGGACCAATGGAGATTGTTTGGCTGCTGAATTGATCAGGGTCTCAAAGATAGATGCAAGGAACCCGGAAGCGTGCATGCCAATAAGCCACAGCCGACGCCTCTGATGACTGTTTTCTTTTGTACGGACCTGCATGAACGACCATTGACCACTGACGGGACCTTATTGTTTGGATGCGACCACAACGTTGACCATGAATGTCACGTCACGTTTGCGACTGGAGTCATATCTGCCCTTGACAAGCATTTAAGGGGCGTTGTCCCCTTGACAACAAAATGGCCTCAACGTCAATGATTTGGCAGGTAAACACAGTTGACGCACAATAACTTGCTGTTCCAGATGGTTAGAGGCAGTTCAAAGACATGCAAATCGTCAAAGACATCCATTGTGTCGCAAGCGCGTAGTCACTCTCCTTTGAGACTAAAGAACGGGCCAATTCATGCTTCGGTGGCGGTCACCTCGCCAGCCCCGGTCTTTGGTCCTCCACTTGGCTTCCCCCGGACCGCCATCACCTCCGCCGCCCAGTGAGGAGAGACCATGAGAGACGCTTCAATGCCGGCCTTGGAGCGGATCGTCAACAAAGGTCAAGGGCTCTTGGACGCTGGAACGGTCCATGGCATTGGCGAATGGATAAAATGAGCGGGTCTAAAACAAGAACCGTCACTGGTTGGCGATTCCTTGTCAATGCACCCGCCTTCAGTTCAGGGCACCTCTCAACTCTCAGGGCAGCCTACGCTACTGCGCTACTGCGCTACTGCATGCTGTAGCTGCCAGGGTCCAGATTATGGGCGGGCTACCCCTGGCCGGCTTCAACTTCTTACCAGGAGAAGGTGAATATCCAAATCAGACGACCTGACCCAAACCAAATCCAACCTTGTTGAAACTCCACCGCCAGCCTCGCACGATTGTTGAGACGCTCTTTTTTGTGTTTACCGTAACTGCTTTTCCCGCTACTCCATCGTTACTCCTCCGTCCTTTGGCCCTCTAAATAATTAGCTTATCCTTAGAGTTTGGGTTGGATTCCAACTCAGAAATCGACATCGCCCCAGGAGCTCCGTTTCAGCCTCTGGGACCACCCCTCGATGAGCCAACTTCCGTACTTGAGGCGTCTTCTTCGACAGGCTGGTCCTTTCTTCGACCTCTAAACCTGATTTTCAACCTGTTGTCATCATCCATTTTTCTCTCGATATACACAAACCATAACCAACACGCGACAAAACGCCTTATCCTACCTGTTGTCACAGGGGATTCCTGCCTGCCCGCTGGTGCTAGATTGTGTCTTTCGTTCCAGTCTCAGAGACTCTTGCACAGTTCTCCACCAAACTGACGGGCCGGTATGGACGCCCAAGTTAGAGAGAGCCTACATGAGCCTCTCCCTTTGGCCGCGCCTACCGAACGAGCATCCATGATGGCACGAGACCCAGCTCCCGAGACCCCCAAGATGGCTCACGATTCTTTGGTAACGGTTCGCCTCTCCGAACCGGATCCTATAGTCCTTGATTCTCCCATTGCCACCTCGACAATTGATACAAACCAAACAACTCCTACCAAGGATCCAGTCGATAACCGTCCTGATACTCCCATATCTCGCAAGTCTAGCCTGTTGGTAGATGACAAGGACGATAAGGACGAAAAGGACGATAGCCTGGACGACGAATCGAAAACTCTGATTAAGGAAGACGTGGTCGATACAGAAGCTCTGCGTTCTTCTTCAGCGACAATGCCACCACCGATTTTAACAACGCGGTCACTACAAGACGAATTGGCTGATGATGGCAATCTATCAGACGACCAAGACGAAGTGAACTGGGCACAACTTGAGCAAAAGGAAGATGAACAGACCAAGGATGAAGAAACAGACAACGTGGGTTCAGGCACTCTCAACTGTCGGGACCTTGAAGCTAATTCGTGTAGTCAACTGCATTGCTGTTGGCCCGACTTGAACAGGAAAATGCAAAGCTGGCTACGAACCCAAAAAGCGTCAAAGTCCAAGGCGTCGACCGTGCTACTGCTGAACGTAGTGCAGTTAGCAGGCCTCGACCGCCTTCAATGGCACAGCTTCGCCAGATGGTCCAGGGACCAACGCCCGCTGCTCTACGATATTCGATGCTACCGCCACCTCCCATGACAGATCTCGAATTTTACGCCGCTCTCGTTAAGGATTACAAACAAACAGCTGCCCGACTTCCGACTCTTCTTTCAAATAAGATTCGTAAAGGTATCCCGCCACCGTTGCGTGGGGTGGTTTGGCAGAGCATGTCTGGAGCTCGGGATGCTATATTGGAAGAACAGTTTGACCGCTTCTGCGGTGAGTCTAGCCCATACGAAGTCATAATTGGCAAAGACCTGGGCCGAAGCTTCCCAGGAGTAGACATGTTCCGCGATCCAGAGGGTGATGGACAACGTATGCTTGGCCGCGTCCTCAAGTGCTTCAGTCTCTACGACACCAAGATTGGCTATTGTCAGGGGCTGGCCTTTCTGGTCGGCCCATTGCTGATGCACATGCCCGACAAACAGGCATTCTGTGTTTTGGTTCGGTAAGCCGCAGCCAATTTTCCTCCCTCACCTTGGCCACAGTGACATTGACTAACAAACAATCTCAGCCTCATGGAGCAATACGACTTAAGGGCGTGTTTCCTCCCTGATCTGTCGGGTCTCCACGTACGCATCTACCAATTCAAGGAGCTACTACGCCAAAGCCTCCCAGTTTTGTCGAATCACCTTGACGAGCTACAGGTTGACCCTGCTTATGTTTCGCAATGGTTTCTCAGCTTTTTCGCCGTGACTTGTCCCTTGCCGATGCTGTTTCGCACTTACGATGTGATCTTTGCAGAGGGCGCTTCAGAGACATTGATGAGAGTCGCGCTATCCTTAATGCGGAAGAACGAGGCGCGACTATTGGCTTGCACAGAAATGGAGGATGTGATGCAGCTTCTTTTATCTCGAGGCCTCTGGGATTGCTACCATTACAACGCCGATGAATTTGTTCAGGACTTTGTCGGTTTGACAGGTGCCGTTACCGCCGAAAACATGCAGCAGCTCGAGCAAAGTTACCGCGAGTCCAAGACGGCCATCACCAACCCTGTCAGAGGTTCTGAGATTACTACTGCAGCTAGCCGCTTCCTAGGTCGCATATGGGCTACCTCTACCAACAACAAATCTTCCAACCTTAGCCCAGGAAACACTGCACCTGCAAGACCGACGAGTATGCTGCGGCGAAGCGCGTCCAAGCAAAGTCTTGCATCAACATTGAACTCAATGGAGGCCAGCTCAGCCAGCGTCACAAGTTCATCATCAACCGACGTAACCTCAATGTCGAGAGATTCTTCCAATACTGAGGATGGCCGGGAATCTACACCAGTCGGCAATAAGACAATAACAGCCCATAAAAACACAGACGAACGAAACTTGCATAGTCAGATCGAAGACCTCCTGACCGCTCTCAGTGAGCTGCAGCGCAACCATGCTTTATTATCGAACCAGCTACAACGGGAACGCGAAGAGCGACAAGAAGACCGTAAGGCCGTCCAGTCACTTTTGAATGGATTGAGACAGAAGGCAGACTCTGCTACGTCAAGACCCAGCAGTCCACAGCCATCGGTCTTATCCGATAAAGAGGACAGCTCAGAGGCGGACAAAGAGGACAAGTCAGAGACAGAAGGTGATGAGTCTAAGACACCGAGTCCTGAGGAAAAGGTCCCAGCGAGCGACGACGAGGCTCAGAAAGGAGTGCCATCCACCACTGAGGACCTGGAAAATTTGCTCAATGTTGTCGAACAGCGGTTCCAAGTGGAGGATGACAAACGACGTTCGTCTATGCTGATATCGAAGGCGCAGCTGCGGGATGAGCTGAACCACGCGAAGGATCAGCTTGCTGCTGCACTGTCGCAATCACAAGAGTACAGTCGCCAGATCTTGGATCTTAACCAGGAGATGGCCAGTGTGAAAGAGCAACTAAGGGAAAGTCATGCACATGTCAGGACGCTACATCAGGATAAGCAAAGACTCGAGAAGCAAATGCATGGGTTAAAATCCCGGGTCTCATCAGCCAGCTCAGCCCATGAGGTAACCAAAGAACACGATGTGGATCGAGGTAGCAAGACTGGAGGTGGCCTTCGAGAGTTTAAGCTCAACCGCAGTAAGACTACACCGCACCCACCGCAACAGCAGCCTCAGGATCACGAGCCTATGGCGGCCACGACGAGCAAGTTCAACAAGCGGATATCATCCCTGCCTCAGAACCACGAAGCCAGCGTACCAATGGTGACCACGACCGGTCCTGCGCCATCTCAGAGTGAGCACGAGGCTTTGCTAGCTGAGCTTGTCCAAGCCAAAACCGCCGAAGCAGTGGCGAAGCAAGAGGCTGAAGAGGCTCGGCAAAAGCTGGAGTCTATACGCAAATCTCACGGATTGAGCCGCTCCGTATCAGCGCACGCTCCTTCGGCATCGCAGTCTGGACCTGGTGGAGTGTTCAGCCTTCTTACCGGCCACGGGGCAGCTGCCACAAACGAAGTCGCGATGAAACCGGCATCGACAAATGCTGGATCTCCAGGATCTGGAGGAAGTTTCTGGGGTTGGCGAAGGTAGAGAGTTAGGATTGTGGCTTCGGTCTCAACGAACGTTGAACCGTGTTCACGAGTCAGTCACGCGACATGTTTGAAGTGAAAATTGTCGATTCTTTGTACATATTTTGGGAAGCATGAGATTCGTGCCGTCGAGCGCATATGTTGGGATGTCAAGGCGAGAAGCTGGGAACTCTGAGTGTTGGGCATGGGCCACATGTGCCCTTTTAACGGTTGTTTTCCTTGTTTTCACATGTGCCACGAAGGCACCATCATTGTCGTCATATCAGGGCGTTTGTCTACTTAGCACGGGAGTTGGAGTCTAAAGATGACTTCTGTCGGGGTTTCTCAGAATGCCGCACGATCGCGGATTGATAGATACTATATAAGTCTATGTAATTGAAAAGACATTTTTATTCATGATATTCTTGTTGCAAAATTGCTCAATGATGCCTACGATATCTACTGGAAGGTAATGGAGAAATCGGAATTAGAGCTGGGTACGTACTAGTAATTATGATGCAAGCCATCGATCGATGGGGATCATTCAGCCTCTGAACTTGGCACTTGAACATGTCATGATTAGTATCTTTTCGTTCAGGACTGAATATTGGCGCTCTTTATAAGGTCTCCATTGGAATATTCAATACGATTTCATGAAACCATTAATCTCCCCTGGTTCAGGAAGTTTGTGGCATCAACATTCACGGTCGGATAACTCAGCTATTCAATATTTAGTGTGGTGGTGATAAGAAGATGCAGGCTTGTGCCCTTTAAGTTAGAGCTATAAAGGCAAGGCCCTGTCATTTTGAGATAAAGAACCCCCCTTTTTAGTGCGACTTTCACATGCGTTAGAAATGACCAGATCATCACGTCAAAGCATCATACAGGTTTATGCAGCATTGCGGGTGAATTCTGAGGTATCCCGTACTTTGGCTTGAAATGGTAAACTGTCGTCTGTTTACTTCTAGCTCCATATGTCACGAAGAGAATTGACTTTTGTCAATTTTTTAGAGCTGCATGCTTGGAATGTCGTCGTTCAAGCTCCCTGATGACGGGATCAACCCTTGTTGACGGATCAGCTTGGACATTTGGAGAAGTGGTGACATTGGCGGTACCTGCAGCTGCTGACTGGTGGAGCGCATATTGGATGTACTCCATAGGTCTAGCACTGCGTCATGGGTAACAGAGCTCCACTGGCATCATGGTTTGGTAAAGTATCCAAGCTCCATCGTCCAGCTTTTGGACAAAGAGAGAGATCCAATGCTACGCAACAGGAGCTCTCTCGTTGACACCGGCGTTGTTGAGGGTCGGTCCACTAAAAGGAGATTTGCAGTGATTCACAGTAGCAATTCAAATCTTGCTGTAATGGACGGATAATAATGCGTGGGTACCACTACGAGCAGCTGGAGTTGTGTAGCCAGTCCAGTTTTTCTTTTGGTGGGCTGGTTGGCGACACTGTCGTCACTCGTTCGTTCCCCCGTGCCTTCTTTCCCACCTGAAGCAAGGACGAAACTTGGTCCCCTCCAGCACCTAAAAGAGAAGTGTCCCGTCCCTCTACGAACACAAACGTCATTCCTGATTCCTTCTCCTCCATCATACAAACCTGACTTCCTCGCTCTCGACGAGACTCTTTCAACCATCATCACCTCACCTCACCTCACATCACTTCACTCGTACTGAACTTTTAGCACTCTCAAGGTACGTTTCACATGCCTTATCCTGGACCTAGTCTGCTGCCTCTGACGGGGTCGCTCGTTTCGCTTGACTTGCCTGTTCCTCTCACACGACCACTCACCTCGCTCCCCCGACCGGACGCCCCTTAAGTCTGTTTTTAGTCACCTATCGGCTCAGACGAAAAAAACGTTGCAGCTCTGTTGTAGGTCCAGAGACGGGGAGCGGAGCGAGCTAGAAGTCGCTACGTAGCAGTAGCTTGTCAGCGTCGTCCCCTTGTCCTTTTTTACCCTGCATTAAACAAACAAACCAAGCTGTCCAAAATTTCTCTGGCCACTTTCGCTCACGCCGCTTTTCGCTTTCTAGAGAACATCTTCTTCCGATTCACCTCCTATTCTCGTTCCCATACTTTCACCTACAACTCCACGACGGTACTTTCAGCGAGCGCACCACTTCTCTACACATTCTTCACACTAAACCGTCGAAATGGCTGATTCCACCTTGGCCGCCAACGGCAACTCTCTTCTTGAGACCACCAAGACCAGTGAGGTATGTTTCTTGCGCTGAAATGCGCTGATATCGTACGGGGCGCCTCGAACAGACTTGCTAACTTCACTTTACAGTGTTTCCCCGCGATCTTTGCGCGTCAATGGCACTGCCCGCCATGATACAAGGCCTTCCCGCAGACCAACATAACTGACTCGACTTCCAGACGCCGCTGCTGCGTATCAATCCGTCGCCAACGGTATGACGCTTCGCTAAGAACTGTGATTTTGACATGTTGCTAATGCTGAATCTTTCCAGGCCCTGTGGCTCAGAACGTCTACGATCACACTCAGAAGGCCTCCAACGAGCTCTCTAACCTTGCTGCTGCTCGACGCACTCCCGCGAATCCCGCTGCTACCGGCCAGCCGCTAACTCACTACCACTCATTCTTTTCTGAGCTTCTTTCATGGAACAACCCTCGTAAGTTGACTATTGTGTCCTATCTGATCTGCGAGAGCTAACGTTAGTGACACAATAGGCGCATCTGCCATTGCTTATGTGACTATCATCGGTGCTATCTTCACTGCGCGATACCTGGATCTTCTCCGATGGGGACTTAAGGTTTCGTGGATGATTCTTGGTGTAACCATTCTTGCCGAGGTTCTTGGCAAGGCCATTCTCAACAACGGCCTTGCTACTCAGGTTCGCCCTCGTCGATACTACACAGTACCTCGCGAGACTCTGGATGCCCTTATTGGGGACGTTCACGAGCTCATTAACTTCTTTGTCATCGAGGCCCAGCGAATCATCTTTGCCGAGAACGTTTTTGCTTCCGCCGCCGTAAGTTTGATATTCGACAGGTTTAACAGCTAGAACTAACATTGAACAGGCTTTCGTCGCCGCTTTCATTTCATACTACCTCGTCAAGCTTGTTCCTTACTGGGGACTTGCTCTCATCGGTACCACCGTCGCCTTCGTCGTTCCCCTTATCTATACATCCAACCAGGAGCTAATTGATGAGCAACTCCACCACGCTTCCGAGCTCATCAACTCCCAGACTGCTCAGATCCAGAGCGTCGCTTCGAAGCAGATGGAACAGGTCTCTAACATCAGCAAGCAATATGCTGGTGACTACAGCGGCAAGGTTCAGGACCTTCTTCGTGGCAAGACTCCTTCTCGCCAGAAGATTGACAAGCCTGAGCAGCCCATTTCTGCCAAGCAGCCGGAGTTTCCCTCTCCTCCCACTGAGGACCCCATCAAGTCCACAGAGGCTCCTCAGATCCCTACCCCTGCCGCTCTCAAGGAGGAGCTGAATGCGCCCACCGCTATCGATACCGCAACCCCTGAGCTCCCTCACGAGGACGTTGTCCCTAGCAAGGAGCCCATGCTTGCTTCTTAAGTGACTAATAGGAGACGCGCCATGTGTACACGAGCTCAGAAGGCTAAGCTGCCCTGAGCAATGAATATGTTTTACGGCATTTTGGGGCGTATGTCGATCCTTGAATTAGGAGCAAGGGTTGTTCAGATTGGACTCGGGCGTGAAATGGTTTCTTGGGAGCATTCTTTAACACGCAATGCGACGACGATTGTTGACGTTGATGAAGGGTGGTTAAAATACGGATTGAGCGGGCAGATGCTGATGTCAGGGAGAGTATTCCTATGGAAACTCTTGATTAATACGTATGGGAGGACATCGCATCTGGCCTGTTGCTTGTTTTTGTACGTTTGTGTCTCGAGGATAGGTGTTTAGGATTGTTACTGTGTAGCTTGCTGAAGCAAATGCTATTCACTCAACTTTTAAACATACTGAAGAATTCTGCCATGTGCACGTTACCTACATTAGGTTCGTCATCAGACCCGGGAGTTGAATGTCCAAGTAATGCTATTGTGCTGTCTTGAAGGAGGTTTTTATACTATGTGAAATGCAATATGATTGATCTTTTGATTCTCGGAACGCCAACCCAACAAGGTATACAACTGGCACCTTTCTAACCACTTCCGTATAGTTCAAGCAACTGTAACGGAAATATTTACTCTCTCCTTTACTTCCTGCGCTTACCGCCACCTCCGTCTTCGGCGGCTGCGCGCTTGCGACCATTCTTCCTCCAGAAGTCCTTGGATTCCCGTTTCTCGCGAGCTTCCTTCTTCTCCTCGCTGTCTGCCAACTTCTTCTGGAAAGCAGCGCGGTTCTTCTCCTTTGCAGCACGACGCTTGGCAGCAGCGTCGTTGCGGATTGTGAGTAACTGCTGCATGAGAGCGCGGGCTTTCTTCTCCTCGGAACCAGGAGCCATGACGACAGCACGCTTCTGCATGTATGTCTCTTTCTTTTGCTTCTTGGTTTCAACAATCTGCGACTTGAAGGGAAGGTCGGCAGCAAGGGCGCGGGGAACACGGAGAGGGTTGAAGTGGCGGGTCTCTCGTTCAATAGTGCGGTACTGGCTGTTCTTGGGCTGGGGAGTGGGCACGTTCTGATCACGGCGGACCTCGCCTGTGAGTCGCATGGGCTGCCAGCCGATGAGGTTGGTGACTGGATTGTAGAACCGGTGAGGCTTAATTGGGTACCAAGCACGCAAGAAGACAATGTCACTAAGAAGAATCTTGTCCTCGAAAGTTGCGCGGAATTGGCCCTCGGGCTTGGACAAAGCACGCTTGATCTGACCACGAATGCCAGAAACCGTCTTGATAGAAGCTCCCTCGAACTTCGCGATTTCAAGAGATGAGTTGAACATGTCCTTGATGAAAGCTGTGTTCTTGTAGATCTTTGCAGGTGTACCAGTAAGCTTGAGCTTCTTGACGATCTCTGTGGACTCATCGACGCTGAGGATTGTACCAGTAGCAGCGATGCGGAAACCGGGTGTCGACGCTGACATTGAGTTGAAGCAAACGAAGCCTGTGTTGGGTGCAATTAAGGGACCATAGATAGTACCGAAGCAATGCATATGCTCAGGTGTATACTTGAGCATACGGTTACGTGTGCGCGAGTCGGTGGTGCTGTAGATGGGCATGGTTTGGAAGCGACGCCATCCCAAAGAGAAGATAAGGGGGTCATTTGTCTTGAGAATGCGCTTGTGCCAGCGGTGACGCTTAATGCGGACTTGAAGATAGCCGAATCGGTCTTCAGTAGTGGAGAGACCACCAACGACGATAGGTCGACGAGCATCAAAGAGCTTGACAAATTCGGCCGGAACACCCTCGAGGACAACCTTGGCATATTTGCCGGCTCGGTAGCCTTCCACAGCAGAGCGTTGACGTTCATCGAGGTTCTCAAATTCCTCCTTGTTGATATCGAGCTGCTTTTGGATCATAGCCTTTTGCGCCTCGTACCACTGATCCTCACCAAACTCTTGCACATCTCCACCTTCTCGTCGAGCATTTGCCTTATCATTGAGGAAACCCTCACGATCTTCCTCTTCGAATCGCATCTTGAGTTCCTCCTTTCGCTTTGCGTTCTTCTCTCGCTCGGCCTCAATATCCTCGACAGTGGGCTGTGCTGGCTCTTGTTGGCCTTCAGCTTCGAGATCCTCGAAGACACCATCGCCCTCATCATTTGAGTCGCCCAAGCCCTCGAAGTCGCTGCCATTCCCATCCCCATCACCGTCATCATCATCGCCGGCAGCGAGGGCTGTCGAAGTGAACTTCCTCCGTAAAGCTTCGACGTTCTTCTCTGATGCCCATTTGGCCGCTAGATCCTCGTAGTCATATGCGGGTATTGACCTATCCTCTATAGCGTCTTCCTGCTCTTGTTTCGACTTCTTAAAGAAGTCATCTTCATCATCGTCGTCCTCGATATTCTCCTCTTCCGATTCGTCATCCTCGCCCTTCCATCGCTTGAGAGCATCTTCAGGGCTTAGTGAGTCGTCGTACATAAACCTAGCCAGATCACTTGTGTGATATGAGCGTCTCTTGCCATGAAGCTTCATCGCAGTGCCATTCAAGTTGTCCTTCCACCTTAATGCTGCTGCTTCCTCATCTGAATCGTATTCTTCGTCGTCTTCCACCTCTTCCTCATCAGACAATGCTCCAAGGTCTGAGTCACTGTCGGCAAATGCAAGATCATCTTCACCGAGTTCCTTATCGGCATCCTTGCGGAACATGTTGCCTAACTTGCCTTCATTAAATTCAACCTCGGCATCCGAGTCCAAGCTTTCGTCACCACTGACAGAGCCCTCGTCGTCCTCGTTTTGGTCATCATCGCCATCTTCTCTTTGGGCAAATCTAGGTTTGCGATGTGTTTTTCTGCCAGTGTCTTCCTCTTCTGGCACTGCCTCGACCTTGTTGCCGCCCTTGAAAAGCTGGACGCCACCCTCCATTTGGCCAAGAAGCCTTCGCTCAGCTTGAAGACCAACAATCATCTCTTCTCCTTCTCCTCGCTCGGCATCATCATCCTCCTCCCGGTCGAAGCTGAAGCCCTTGTCGCTGGTGATCCAGATGGCATCACCGTCGATCTTCAAGCCACTACGATCCGACATGGGAGCATGAAGCTTCTTTTCCTTTTCGTCAAGTCGCCTTCGTCCAGTCTTGCCTGTGATCTTCGCCATTGCCAGTTCCATCGATGGCGTTGGACAAGGGTCTGGCATAACCTCCATATTAGATACTGTAAAATCACCCAAACCAGGGACGTGGACTCGTTGGTTGTGCGATGCAAAATTTGTACCTCGCAGGTAACCGGATAGAACAATCGACCGGTCGCAGTTGGGGTCTTCCTCGATCTTGGTAGGGTGTGTAATATCTCGGAAGCTGTCGATGATAGAGTAAGGGTGAGAATTGCGCCAGACGAGAGGACGTGGGTTCTTCATGACAGAGAGGAAGCGTGACAAGTTATGGATTTCGCGGTCGGGATATCGGCCGTTCATAACACCGGAGAGGTAAAAAAGGTGGGCGCCCTGGTACAGCTCTGTCCAAAGTCTCCTCTTGAGACGCTTCTTGGCATCCTTCAGCGCCTGTGGCTTCCGGAAAAGATCGAGATGTGTCAAGATACCAAAGACGTTTCCTGGCATACCTGTAGCGGCAAGAATGTTGAGAAACTCCATAGTTTCCATCTCAAAGCCGTAATTTCCATCAATCATCAAGAGGACAATATCGGCAACCTTTGCGATGTCGACCATGGCCTCCAGTTCGTTTGGGCACTCGACAAAGGTCAGGCGTTGCTTCTTCGATGTGACGACCGTCACAGGGCCCTGAGGGTCCGATATCGTTTCTTTGGCATATCGTCGAATGAGCGATTTCATCAACGTCGTCTTTCCTACACCGGGAGGGCCAACAATTGTAACGAGTCGAGGAGGGGCCTCATCGGGCAATCGATCCACGAGCGGGACATGGAGACGCTTTTCCTTGATCTGTTGATGACTTTTAGCATTGGGGCTTCTTATTCAAGGGAATAGAGAAGAGTCCTACATCTTGCGATCTCGCTGCCTGTCTCTGGAGCTTGCCAGGGTTGGCGAAGGAAAACGCCTTTGGGTTGCGCTCTGACATTCGTTAGTATGCGCCAATCGCTAATTGGAAGTGTGTATGAGAATAACTTACCGCCTGTATGCTGCTTCTTGTCCTTCTTGTCCTTGGACTTGCGATGCGGCTTGTGCACTTGATCTTCCATTTTTGCGTGCGACGTCTTCACCTTCCAAAGACCATCGACTAACTGGCACGGTCTTCCACCTTTCACTTTGCTTCCAAATTTTTTTAGACGCTAATAGAATTGTTATCGATAAGAATCGCGTTTCGCCAAGAACGTTGCGGAGACCGGGCACTGCCACTGCTCTCAGCATAGCCACATGTGGCTTGTACTTTTTGGACCCTATCCACTCTAAAATTTAACGTTATTTTGTGAGCTGCCCGTTTAAGCATAGAGTCACTGGCCTTGTCAACGTGCAGAACCAACGCGTGTCTATTGTCCGGTGACGCATGCTTTGATACTTGACCGCTGTCGTGGGACTCATTTCGAACAAATTCTACGATTTCTAAGTGGTGAGTCCCTAAGCTGATAGGTGAACAGAGTAAGACGCGGCTGAATTACGACCCATCAAGTGTAATTTCTATCGAAAAGGGACCAACCTATGCAGGTGACATTCATGTTGTACTAAACAGTCGTCAGATGGTGGGTAACAAATAAATACCATGGAATTCAACAGTGTTATTGAAAGAAATCGTCTTGAGATGTAACCCACTTGAGGCATGGAGAGTGTCATTCTCACCGTTTTGTCTGATCCAAGACACCATGTTTTTAGGTAGATAGATCCTCGCGGGATTCCGTATTAGCCAATTCGAGGTCTCTACTCATCTTCGAATTTGGCTGAATGGCCAGTGGAAACGCCAAGTCGCCGAGTGAGTAATCCCCAGCACTGGCGTAATGGAAGCTGGTCCTCTGTATGACCATCAGTCCAAAGTGACCAATACCAGCTGCATGTTGCTCCTCTTTATTCCTAAAGCAGCATCCATCACTCACATATCTCACACATATCAGGGAATAAGATGGTGTTCTGCGTATGCGCTTACACAGTACGTACGTATTCCCGGATTCTTCGTCAGCCTTGTACGCACCCATGGTATACGTAGACTTTTCTACTGGCGTGCATGCAGTCCTTCGTCAGCCCTAACGCCTGGTCGATGGCTTCCGTCATGACTCACGCGCGTCGTAGACTACGCAAGAATCCTAGTGGTTTTCCTTCGTTCGTAGTCATCGTAACAAGAGTGCCTTGCAAGTTACATTGGCAGGATTGAGTATATAAGAATCAAGATGCGACGCCTTATGGACTTCATTCTCAGGCAGAAGCAATCGACAGTTCCATACTAAGAACAAGAATACAAACTATTAAGCTTAATACTTTAATCCAAACCTTGTCTATATCCACTCACCCAATCGCTTCAAACCTCCTTCACATCCTTCAATATGTCCAACAACTCAGGCAACAATGTTCCCACAACCTCAGACTGTGAGCATCATGTTTGCAGCAAGCTGACCTTAACTAACAAGTAAATGTAGCCCAGGTAGATTCTACCAAGTATAACAGTTCCAAGGTCGCCGATCCCGAAACTGCCTCTATTGCTACCTTTTCCTCGTCAGCGCCCCTTTTCAAAAAGGACCAGAAGGAAAAGAATGGAACGGAAATCGATGCCAAGAAGCTCCAGGAACAGGCCCTCAGGTCACAGATTCGATTCAGTATGTAGTCGACGGATTCTCGAGGTCTGGGACATGGTGCTGATTTAGAAAGCGGACTGAAAATATGGTGAAGGGCACGGGCACATAAATGTAAAGGGGCGAAGGGTATCTTTTGTTTAAATGCAGGACTAGTTTTTATACTCGATGAGTCTTTAGAATCGAGTAATAAACGACTGTTTATTCTTTTGATTTGAGAGTTGTGGATTTAGAAACTATCGTTCAAAATATCTTCGTTCATCTTCACCATAGAGGGGCTGTATTCGGACGAATTCGGATCGGCCCCAGCATCCAGTAGAATGTCACCAACAATTCTTTGGCTGGCTTCACGTGCTGTCAGACAGCGTTAGTATATAGAAGTACATATGAGAGCGGTATAGAACTTACCAGGTGTTTGCAAGAGCTTCGAAGGAGGCAGCGCGAACTGTATCGTCTTGGGCGGGCTCATGCCTGCATATAAATCGATATCCTCATCTCCTTCATCACTATCCCAGTCGATCTCATACTTCTCCTTTCCAGTGGCTGTGACAGTGTCATCAGCGAAAACGTCTCGCGTCTTTCGTGCTGTCGCTGGCGTCTGAACACTAACACCAGGTGTTCGAGGACCCTGCGTTGCCGCCGCAAGACGTTGTCGAGCGTTACTTTTGTAGGGCGACATAAAAACTTCGCTGCGCAGAGTCGGCACTGCCATCTCGGGCGAGGAGCCTGGTGAGTCGTTCCATGCGGGGGCATCCATCTTGCGTTGTGCGCTCTTAGGTTGGGCGCTCTTGAGTGGAGAGATGCGAAGGGCAGGCTTGTGTGGAGTTGCCTGAATGCGATAGTTCTTGTCGAGTACACGGTGAAGCAAAGGATCCTTATGAGGCTGAACAGACTGCTCGCCGGTCATTGTGTGGTCGCGCTGGGCCTGCGGAGTCATTGACATATCGGGGAGTCTAGCGGTGTGTTGGGCGAACAAGACAGTCGAGTCCTCGTTATCGTCTAGGACTGTGGTGTTGTTTTCTTCTCCTTCCATCTCGCGTTTCATGGCTTCGTAGGGAGATTCCATGTCAGAAAATCGTGTCTTCGTCTTTCCAGGCCGGGGCGTGCTTCCTGTGAGCTCAGCATCATCAAGGAGGGAGTCATCGGCTTGGAAGGTAGATTGCTCGATGCCAGTTGTGGCGGTGACATCTTCGTGATGCTGAGATGTGTATTCTTCTGTTATATCTTCCCTCATAGCGGTGCTTTCTTCCACGTTTTCGCTTTCGTCGTCGTTGGCGAGCTCTTCATAACCGGAGAGAGATACGTTGGCCGATGCCTCGAAAAATTGCTTCCAGAACTACATGTCGTGAGCATCACCTCCTTCCAATCCCAGTGACTTCATGTACCTTTGAAGCTTCCCAAACAGCGCGAGAGTGTTCTCCATACTGTTCTACTAGTGGTAGAATGCTTGTTGTTACTATGCGATGCGACTTGCTAAAGTTGTGATCGATTTCTAGCCACCGGTCAGCTCTGCGTCGCGAGAATTCAAGATTCATGTATACCTTGAAGAGTCAGAGTGATCGATTGCTCTAGTCTTTCAAGCTCTTCAGTTAGAGACAGGTTGCGCGCTGCTACGCTTTGTCGCGACATTTTCGTAATGGGTAGGTTGCTATGGTCCAGTGTTGAAGGTTCAATATAAACAAACAGCCCAGTAATTAATGTTAGGAACTAACGCGTGGGGTCATTTGGAGGGGCATCTACCACTAAAGATGGCCCGCCGCAGCAAGGGTGCAACCGACGTCGATGGCGGGGTATCGGATTATCAATAGAATGAATAGGCAGACACAGATATTACTTCCAGGCTTGACAGAATTTCATTTATGCCTTCATATCCTTCATGGTTAATACTTAATATTATATATGGTGTCCTAGTGTTTCGTGTAGTAGTGTCCCATATCGAGCTTTAACAGTAGTTGAGCGACCATATGGTCCTCACCAATACCCTCCTGTTTCAAACCCAAATCGTCAGAGACCTTATTACTTGTTGATCGGCTCTTTTCGGTCAAGGCTCGACAGACGGTCATGAAGATTTGCACTTTCTTCTTGAAGTTGCTATACAAACGCTGTAATTCTTCCAATTCTCTTGGGTCGGTAGTCTGGTTCTTTCCAAGAGCCTTGATTCGTGAAAACTTGGCATATTCCAGAACTGCACCAAAGATTTCTTCGAGCAAATTCAGCACTGGCTGCTGTCGTTTCCGGAGAAAAAGAGAAAGCATGACTCGATCAAGCACTCGGGAGTGAAACTCTCGTAGTCTATCAGGACTCTCAACCTTATCTGCTGTACTCTTGGCTGTCGAGGGGTTCTTCAAGTCGGCTTCGATTTTGTCTAGTTTAGCCTCAAATGCTTCCCAAGGAATGGCGACCCCAGCATCCATGAAGAACGAGGTGATACCGGAGACGAAATGGTGGGCCTCTCGAGTGAATCGGTAGGAAATGTCCTCGGGGTCGTTCCAGCGACTGGTTCTAGCATTAACATCTAGGAACAATTGGTTGACGACATAAACCATCCTCATGATTCTTAGCAACAGCTTGAAGACTCGATCGTACTGCGTCAAAATCACAGGGGTGATGATGCTGGATAATGCCGCAGGGGGCTTGTAGGACAATCGTAAAAAGTCAAGAGCTTCCAAGGAGTCTGGGTTCATGCACTTGTCGATCTCTTCCTGCGACAAATCTCGAACAGCAAAACTCATGTCTCCTGGGAGCTCAGATGCATCCCTCGATATACTGGCCAGCTTTTCCTTAGCGAACTCGTTGTCTGAATCGAAGCTCTCGGCCAGAACGCCCATAAGAGCTAGACGTAATTCCGAGCTCGCTGGTGGCCAAGTATCTCGACCTCCCAGGCGAAGACCCATGACACCTCCTTGTCGTGCAACTCCAGCCTGTCTTTCGGCTGTTTCCAGATCTGGGTCGAATAGGGCATGGGACAAGCGGCTTACGAACATGCCGCTACCAAAGAGGTGGAAATCACGGTGCATCTTCAGGTGACCACGTAAATCATGGTTATTAAACAGCAGCCTCAGACTTTCCTGATTGACAACCTCAGATTGCGCGGAAGCAATACTCCCAAACGAAAGCACGGGAAGAAGTGATGGATGAGGCGTGAAGTCGAAGCCATTGGTAGGAGATTGAGACTTGCGGGTAGCAGACTGTGTAAGACGTTCACGCAAGATTTGGCTCAATTTATCCTCTTTGCTCACATCATCAGGCAAGGGCTCATCCATACGCGCCGTAAGAGTATTCAAGAGCCCTGTTTCTGACGTGGGGTCTTCACGAAAGAACGGGTTTGCGATCTCAGAACCAATCGCGAGTTCATTGCTTTCCGAGGTGACTCTGTCTTGGAATGAACAGTCGCGGATTGCCCCTAAGAGATCTTCGTGATACTTGGCTACACGTTTCTCAAGGTTCTCGATGGCGTTCCAGTCGTAAAGCCAGCTAACCTTTGGGGGATCAGTCGCACTGACGATACCTGACGAGGCCAAGGGGTGCTCGGGATGGCATTCCCTAATGAACCGCAGATTCTTGCCTGTCTCAAAAATAGACTTGGCAATATCGTAGGGCATGAAATGGGGCATTTTGGTCTCGTCCAAGAGAAAGTCAATGTCCTCAACTTCCTGCCCGAAATCATCCGTATATTTCTCTGTGTCGACTTTGACGAAGCCTTTGCTCGCTCCAACATTGGCTTTGGTCAAGGGAATCCCTTTCTCTTGCCTGGTACCGATCCATTCTTCCAAGAACTCGATCCAAGGCGAAGAGACTCTCTGTAAAACTTCACGCATGATACCTCGAAGCTGTTCTTCGCCGTAGTCGACTGAGTATGCTTCATGGAATACCTGGGAGAGAACATGTTGGTCTTCGTAACCTTTGCGGAATTTGGAAGCAAGTCTTTGAAATGGTATCAGAATCGCAAGCATTCCTTTGACTGTTGATTGGAGCTCCAAAAGCGATCGTGGCGTCTGCCTATGGAGCGCGACATGTCGCTGAACGTCCTTAAGGATTTGATCAAGCACACCAGCCAAAGCAACACCGCATTTGGACGTGCGCTTTGCATAAGTAGAATTGACAAAGGACCGCAATTCGAACAACATCGATCCGCAGCGGTGACATTGTTTTTCTAGACCCTGGAGTACATCTTTGGAATACCCTGTGACCCGCATGCTGGGAATCGCTGGTGCAAAAGTGCGACCTTTCTCCTGTTTGGAGTAGAAGATCGATTCTTGACCAAGAGCCAGAGCAAGCAATGAAGAAAAGTAGGCTTTGATATTGACAACAGGGACCTCGGAACTTTTCAGTTCAAGAGGGTCGACGGACCAACCTAGTAAGGCATCGTAGACGGTGGCTCCAGCTTCTGTCACCAAAGGCTGTTGTCGGCCAGCCGGCGTACCCGAGATGAAGCTGTCCCAAGTCCTGTGTTCTGGTGTCTTCTCTTCTGGCTCATCGGTGTGTGTCCAGATGTCATCACCAATTTCCGGATCAGCTAGACTTTCCGTGGAGGCTTGGATGTTGTTGGTAGACGCAGTTACTCCTGGCTCTGGCTCTGGCTCTGGCTTGCCTTGAAGCTCAAGCTGGGACGGTAACTTGAAGAAGCCACTTTGCTCTACTGACACTTGGCCAAGCTGGACAAGCTCCGATTTCATATCTTCTAAGAATACAAGTTAGTAGAGGTACGGTTCAATTTCAAGGTCCAAAGTTACCTCTGAGCCCAGGAGAAAAGAAGGGATTCTGAGCTTGTGGGTCACCATCTAATTGATGCAGGAATTTCGACGGTTCCCAAAAGTCAGGTATAGTGAATACAGCCCCCAGGTCTTCCTTGGATTCAGCCATGATCCTTTCTCATAAAATTCTTGCGATTCAATAACATAGTGCTCAGCGGCGCGTTGTGGGTTGCAATGCCGAGCCTGAACTTGAGCTTGTTATCCAAGGTACGTCTGAAGGGCAATTAACGCGAGGTCAGTATCACTACCCTTCCGTAGACGCGCTTCAGCGGATGTTAGGCGCGTTTCAGGGCCCTGTGCACTAAAAAATGGAGCACCTCAAGCTTGGGGCGCGCTTTCCGCAAGCCAGGTTAGCTTATGATTTCATCAGAACCTCCTTCTCAGGCAGCCCATTGCATTAGACGACGGGTTCGGTTTTTGAAACCTTCAATTTTGTTCGAGGCGTCCAGATTATCCATACCACCAAGCAACAACCCCGATACACAGTTGTCACTTACACAGCATATCTCACGAACATCACCATAAATCGATCGATCTTGGTCTCCTCATCACAATTACAATGGCGCCGAGGAAGCGCGCTCGGGCTAGCACCCAAACTGTTGCGACACCAACTCCTGCGCGAGATGACGATGCAATGGACGTCGACACTCCCCAGACTGGTGATAATGAAGGTTCTAGCGAGACAAAAGAGCAACAGCCAGGCAATAACTACAATGATCTTTGGACGGATGATCAAGTGGCTTCATTATTCAAGGGTGTCATTCGCTGGAAACCAGCTGGTCAGTTGGGTCTCTTCCTTCATGTCGAGCTGTTACTAACCAAGACTGTGTAGGCATGCACAAGCACTTCCGGATGATAGCAATTTCGGAGCACTTGCGGAACCATGGTTTCGACCCTGATTTTTACCAACACACACGCATTCCGTATATTTGGCAAAAGCTCCGAACATACTACAATCTTGAGGTCATCGATGAAAGAGAGAACTTCGACGATGACGAGAGCGAATACAACGAGTTCTCTCTGCCAAGATCGCAATTCTTTGATGCCATGATGGCCCGAGCCGCGGCCGACCCCAGCGAAGCTCCAACATCACCACCCCAGCTCGAACTTTCTCCGGCACCTTCACCCGCCAAGAAGCGCAAGCGAGGTGATACGAAAACAAGAGGCACATCGGTAGAAGATACGGAGGAGGGTACAGATGCCCCATCGCCAGCGCCCAAGTCCAAACGAGGCGCTTCGCGACAAAAGAAGAAAGCGACCCCGGCCAAGGCTGAGAAGCAAGAAAAGGCCGAGACCACAGAAGAGGAAGAAGAAGAGGAGGAGGAAGGGGAGAGCGAAGAAGAAGAAAGCGAGAGCTCTTCTAGTGAGGAAGAAGAGAGTGCTGAAGAGAGCGAAACACAAGTATCAAAGTCCACACGAGGTGCCAAGAAGGGCCAAAAGGCTAAGACTACTAAAGCAAAGGCAAGACCAAAAAGGAGACGTTAACTTGAGAATTAACTGGTATGATGCAAACGATAGATGGGGCGGTTCAGATACCCTTAGACATGGGAGTCATAATAAGTATTTTATTCACATTAAAAAGCGAGCTTCCGAGCTCTAATGCCCTTTCACTGGCTAGCATCAGGTATTGTCTCCTATTCTCTTTCCCACTCGCTGCGGTACTTTATCGTGGTTCTCCAATCCCTTCCTATGGGAAAGATACTCTCCACATCCATAGTTGACCGTTGCAACGGACCCGGTTCTGGTATCCTAGGTAGTTCAGTCAGAGGTTTCTTCTGTAGTAGATCCCACATCTCAGTCTCAGCCTGCCAGCTGACGTACTGGTCGCGTTCTTCGGCATATTGCTCCTGTCGCCGCTCACTTGCGATGCGGTTCTTGAGAGTCTCTTTCTTCCGATACGTTTCTGGGAAGTCGGCGGCCGAGAAGAGCAAAACCTCGTTGGCCTCCCGTGCGATAGCAGCATCCTCTTCGTTCGAATGTGAGACGGGCTCCTCGAAATCAGAGCTCAGGGCCTCGTTTCCAGAAGAGTTGGCGACTTCATCTACGTCAGATGGCGCTTCAAATGCTTGGTCAGCCTCATCGCCGCCGTTAGAAAGAAGGGTTTCCACTTCTTCATAGCTAAGAGGTTCACGTTCTCCTTCCTCCTCACGCTGGGGCGGCTCCTCATGGACCTCAAGTCGTAGTCTTCGTGCGCATTGGTTCCAAAACTGATGGGAATTATGATTCAATCCCAGGGACGATACGGCTGCTTCCACATCTTGTGCTCTGATGATTTCGCGAGTAGTTGTTACGAGTTCCTTTTTGGCCCTGATTCTTGACTCGCTGAGAAATATCGTTGTTTGAACCAATCGTTTCGTAATTGAGACTGCCAAAGAGTGAAAGTCTTCGAACGTAGTGGCCCATATCGAGGGAGGCCTGTTGTCGATAGAATCCCAGTTCTCACTAGGAATGGAGGAATTCATAAAGATACGCTCAGAGAGTCTTAGCCACGTATGCAGGTTGAATAGCTTGGAGAAAGGAAGATCCTGGCCTTCGACGACGGTTTCGCCCTTGTCTATTCGGCGAGCAATCCTTGGGCTGATATCCCAGCAGTCTCCCCATTTGCTCTCCTCTCGCTGTTCCTCCTTTCGTTCCTGGCGCACAGAAATAGCATCTGCAGCCTCGTCCAAGGCGTGGCAACATTGCTGACTTAGTTCTACGGCGGCTGGGATCTCCGGGAATTCAATAGCGGGGCGTCTGACTTGTCGTTGTCTAAGAAGCCGTGCTCTTCGGAGCACGTCGAGGTAATGATTCACCTCGATCTCGCTCTTGGTGCCTATCCGGGATGCAATACCTGGAAGATCACTCTGACCAAGACGAGCGATCGCTTCGAAGAAGATTTTCTTCTCCGGTATCGACCAGTAAGTGAGACCCATTTGGCTTGGATACAGAACGGTTTCTTCGCTATCGTCGGTAAAGCAGACACGCTGGGCTGCATCTTCAATATCTCTATTGAGAAGATCCAAGTATTCGGTGTTGAGAACTCCTTTCTGTCTTTTGAAGAGTCTCGGGGCTAAGTCTTCCTCACCGCGTCTTTTCAGGGAAGAATCCTCGTTGTCTTGGTCTGTTTCATCCTCCTTCTCACTATACACGCTGCCAGATGCGTCGGTTTGATCAGCAACGTATTGCTCGTCAAGTGGCGGTAACAGAACATCGTCTCCCAATTCCAAGTTTCCGACTTGCTCTGTGTCGCTTAAATCCTCATCGAGGGGTTCATAATTGGTTTCCGACTCCATACTGGTTTGTGTATGATAGCTGTAAAGATATGAGAGGGCGAAAACATGGTAGCAAGCAGAATAAACCTGAGTTACTCCTGGCTAGGAGCGGGTATCAAAGAGTAAAATAAAAGAACCTTTGTAATACTAAATAAAAAAGACGATCACAAAGTTGATATTGACGTTAACGCATCGCTCATATTGCACCGAGATTTTATAAACGGTTGTCCACTCCTTCAGTTGACGTTGAAATGAAATATGAGTGGAAGAATGTTGCTTACATAATGCATTCACACCTTGGTCTAGGTTAGCATTCGAAGGCTCATGACATCTTAACCATGAAGTATTTTTTTATTATCACATATCGATGAGACGAAACGCATTTTTATTGCACCTCTCATCATGTGCCATGTTACGGGCTATACCGCGATGTGTTTTGCGGCCCAAAGCCGCAAGGTTGCCATTCACAATAAGCCCACAGCCATTCAGAGCCTTTGCCTCAGCTGTTGCTCATGAAACCCCCAAGTTACAGCTTCGAGATTATCAAGAAGAATGCATCGACTCAGTTCTTTCCTCCCTAAAGAACGGTCACAAAAGAGTCGGAATATCTCTAGCTACTGGTAGCGGTAAAACAGTAAGTGCGTTTCTCTTACAATGAAAGTTCAGTCGATTGACATAAAGAAGGTCATCTTTACACAACTCATTGATAGAATCCCAACAGCAAATAAGGACGCGCAACAGACACTAATATTGGCGCATCGTCGTGAACTGGTGGAACAAGCAGCCAACCACTGTCAACGCGCGTATCCTGACAAGAGGATCGAGATCGAGATGGGTAATGTCCATGCAACGGGAACGGCAGACATCACAGTCGCCAGCGTACGAAGCATAACGTCACAAGGCCGTCTTAAGAAATTTGACCCGTCTCGCTTCAAACTTTTGCTGGTCGACGAGGCTCATCACATCGTCGCTCCAGGGTACCTCAAGACCCTTCGTCACTTTGGATTGGATCAGAAGCGACCTGACTCCCCAAATCTAGTTGGTGTCTCTGCCACGTTTTCACGGTTTGATGGAGTGAAACTGGGCGCAGCCATTGACGAAATCGTTTATCACAAAGATTATGTGGATATGATCTCTAAGAAGTGGCTGTCGGACGTCATTTTTACAACTGTTGAATCCAAGGCAAACTTATCCGAAGTCAAGAAGGGGGCTTTCGGCGATTATCTTCCTTCGGATTTATCCAAGGCTGTCAATACCAGTGAGATCAACGACATAACAGTCCGCAGCTGGATGGCGAAAGCTCCAGGAAGAAAGTCAACACTTGTGTTTTGTGTTGACGTCGCCCATGTGGTGGAGCTGACAGATCGGTTCCGACAGCATGGCTTTGACGCGAGATATGTTACTGGAGAGACCCCCAAGATTGAAAGAGGCGAGACGTTGAACTCGTTTCGAAAAGGAGAGTTTCCTGTGCTGGTCAACTGCGGTGTTTTCACCGAAGGAACTGATATCCCAAATATCGATTGCATTATCCTCGCGAGGCCGACGAGGTCTCGCAACTTGCTTGTTCAAATGATCGGTAGAGGAATGCGGTTGCACCCGGGAAAGAAGAACTGTCATATCATTGATCTGGTCTCGAGTTTGGACACTGGAATCGTGACCACACCAACGCTATTTGGTCTTGACCCTGATATCCTGGTTGAGAGGGCAACAGTGAATGACCTACGCAAAATCAAGGACACAGAGCATGTCACGTCTCAACAACCTTTGTCATACCAGACAACTCCCGGGCCTGGAGCCGATAGTGTCACATTCACAGACTATGACTCGGTTTTAGATCTTATCGCTGATACGTCTGGCGAGAAACACATCCGGGCCATAAGTAAGTATGCATGGGTTCAGGTCGGAAAAGAAAAGTTTGTGTTATCGTCACCGAGCGGTTCATATGTTCGAATCGAGCGGGTTAATGAACAGCTTAACACAAAGGGGCCGCTTTACCGAGCTATAGAGGTACGAGCTCTACCGCCTGGCGTAGCCAAAGCACCATACGCAATGCCACGGGAGATCCTCACGGCAGCCACATTCACTGATGCAGTGCATGGAGCGGACAGTTTCGCGGCCAAGATGTTCCCCCACACATTTATTCACCGCTATCAAAGATGGCGGACACTTCCACCTACACAGGGACAAGTTGATTTTATCAATAAGATGCGGGGAAAGGCGGAACCTTTGAAGCTCGAAAACTTAGACAAGGGTAAGGCGGCGGACATGATCACAAAGCTCAAGCATGGGGCGCGTGGTCAGTTTGCGAGAATTGAGGCAGGACAGAGAAGACAAGATAAACAAGACCGCTTGGCCGAGGCTAAGAGACTTCGAGAGCAGGTCAAAGTAGGACCTGTAGCATCATAATGCAGGAAATGAGCCATATGCAGCAGTGTCTGTGCTTGTGATTGTATGTATAACACGGGATATAGATGGCGGGGGGGGGGGGGGGGTCGTTTATGGACTTTTGTATATAACTGTATTATAATCACTTACGGAATGTTTCTAGAAGTTGACACGGATCAATGTATGACTATGCAACGTTACAAACAACCCGATCCACGAGTCTCCCATCGTATACACCGGCTCTGCCGAAGATGTAACCGCCACAGAACGATTTCGTGTATGCTCAGAACCCGGGACCAAGAACGCAAACAGTTTATAAAGCTGGCTAAATCCTCATATATCGTTGACATCGAGATCTGTCCCTCGGCTCGTGACTCACTGACGGTGAAGGTATGTGGGAGTAGTTAGCTCATTCAAGACGTTGAGAGAGGGGATTTGGTCTTGTTACGTTCATTCGTAAAACTTTTTATCAACACAAAGTTGGGCCACAACTTATATCAGTGAGAAATAGGTACTCATACACTTTTTTCGTGTGGCTGTATATAAGACAGTGACTGGAATTTGCTTCCCTGCTGAGTGAACTTTCTTCAACACTCGCAGAAAGCCGTTGACACTGGCTACCCCTGATGAGCAGCGCATTACCAATTGTTCAGGCGTTGTTGGTTCTATACATTCGACTTGTTCAGGTCTAGGTAGTTGGTGAGTTGGAGTGACAGGCACTGGCGGGCGGCTGCGCAGCTCCGTTCAGTCATTATTTGTTCACCTATACACATTGTGAATATTCGCCTTCCTCCTCCCGCGCACACAATACTTTCTCATTTTAGAATAAACACAAATCTATTTTTTTCTGGATAGATCTGTTGAAGACTTGTTATCGGAGACACATCTTGATGACCTGAACTCAACACCAACCTTCATCATGAAGCCGAACAAGTTGTCGGCCCCATGCGCCCAACCTACTCCTCTTCTACTCATAGAGAATCTAGGCAAAGAAGTGCCTCTCAATAGAAGTCAAGAAGAGAAACAAGACACTTACCCAAGCTCTTCATCTAGGAACAATCTCAAAGTATTCTCGCCACACATTCCGCGAGCTCTTAAAGATTACCTCTGCAGCCCCAACCAGGGAGAAGTGTCTTCAGTTGATCTTCACACCCCTCCTACCGACCCTCAAAAGGATAAGCTCGATGTTGGAGATGGACGCGAAAGCAAGCTCAAACGGAGCATCGACGCCCAAGTCAATCGACCTCGGGAGTATCACAAGCCCAACACTAGCCACCGATCTCAGTTCACCTTTCCAGAGCGCAAGCCCGAATTCAAGATGCTAAAGAACTGGCATTCCGAATGCACCTATCCTTGCAACAAAGAATATCCCGAAGATGATGAGTTCACCTTTAAGCCCAGAGTCCTCGCTAAGCATATCGACCCTGAGATACCTCTATCCCTACACAAGTGGCATAGCGAAGTCAACTTTCTCGAGCCACTCGCTCTTGAAGCAGATATTCGTCAAGAGTATGCTGTTCATGCTACCTACAAGAAGCACCATCACGATGCTAGTGTCAAAAAGATCAATGATGAGAGACAGGCCACTGCGGAACAGGAGGCTATCAAGATGCTCGACTTGAACACTCCAATCGAATTCCCTGTGGTGCCCCGCGAGGTACAACAAGCAATATACGACGACAAAGTCGACGTTGCCGCTTTGACCAGAAAGATTGCCATTCGCGATGGATATGTCGAAGGCGTGATTGCTGGAGAATTCACTTTTCACCCAGATACCTCTCACTTACCACTTACCGAGAACCAGACGGCGGTTCTTCGCGAAGCTGAGAGTTTTCAGGGGCTGTTCTCGCTGGGAGAGGTCAATGAAGATGAAGGTGAATATAATATTCTCCAGGAGACTTCAAAGGTCAAGTCTTCCAACAAGTCTTCGACTTGCAAATCTTCAAAGTATGATCAGTGGCTCAAAGAGCAGTCATCCAATATCTGTCAGGCGACTAAGTGGCTTGATGAAGAGGCGGCCTTTTCGAAGAAGAAGGCATACAACAAAGCCTTTTCCAAGCAGGTCAAGTACCGCTTCCCAACTTTCAACTCATCCCATATGAAAGAACTTCCCAAAGCCGTCGACACCAACAAACTTGAATGGGAAACCGACTATTTCCCCTACCTGCTCCCTGAGACTGAGTATGACTCTAAGCGTCACAATATGTACGAAACTCCTGTCAAGACTAATGTCCCCAAATGGTTCCCAACCTTCACCAGCTATGGCGTTGTCCCCCTCAACCGCCGCAACGGCATCGGGAAGCAGTACGAAGAGTTCCTTACCCAGATCTGGAGACTCGAGAACCAAATGCGCAGCAAGGAAAACAACAAGTGGGATAAGAAATGGCACGAACCCAGCTCTCACTGGGCCGAACCTTTCCAGAAGGCGAGCGGTGGCTAGTGGAAATGCCGTTTCGACCCTGGCAAGCTGGTAGAGGAGCAGTTCTGTTACAAGTACCATAAAGGTCAAGAATGGGTCACATTCGAGAAGGCCGCGCCGCGCGATCTTGTCGAGCAAGATGTGGTTTCTGGGGAATTCAGCTTCGATGATGTTTTCGACATGGACGGTGGTCATGACAACAAAGCCATTGGTACGAAGAAGCCCGAAGTTCATCTCAAGGAGATCGAAACGGCTGTGAAGAAGGCCATTGCGAAGGTTGGTATATGAGCGTGGAATGTAACCACCAGAACTGGGGCTGATGACCTACGAGAGATGAAGGCAAGGAAAGGAGACGTCGATGAGGGATGAGTGAGGGCCATGTCATTATAGAACGTTTTCGCATAGATAAATTTGGATAACGTTCTCAC